GTAAGACGCATTTGCCGGAGTTCATTTCAAATCCTCCCTAAAATCTGTGTTGTGGCTCCCAGCCTTTCAAGTTTTTGCTGAAGATTGTATCAAGGTGTTGGAGCCCATGCCAGGAGTTCACATTGCTAATAACTGTAAGGCCTGCATCGTAAATCAGCTTTAATGAGCAGATAATTGTATTCTCCGGCAGCCTTGGAAGCAGCCTTCGACTTACTGGTTTTCCGCCAGCTCACATCCAGTTGTATTTCTATTTCTACTACCTTTTATTATCTTTTAAGCACTGCTATTTTAAAAGACTCATAACGATGGGCCAAGGCAAACGCCTAAGGGATTGTGACGAGGCTCTGCCCTCCCCAAGAGCCAAACAATTAAAAATCGACCCCCCCGTGTCTGACAAACGGAGTGACCCCATTGAACACTGCTATAGGGTGAAAACTCAGAACCGTTTCTACCCTCTAATGTCTCCAGAAACAACGTCAACACCAGAGGAATTATTTTTACCTCAGACTAAAACTGCGGACGGCAAGCTTGGAGGAAGAGGGAGTGTCCCATTGAGGGTGGTGCAGGACGCTGGAACTGAGGACTGCGCAAGACAAGAACAACATGAACATCTCCATCTTGTGGTCAGAACCCTTAATTGCATATTCAAGAAGATTGATGTGCTATCCTCCCAGCTATGTAACCTCGAACAGAAAATTGATAACTTCTGGTCAAAGTTTAAACCAACTGTAGATACGGGGGAATTGAAGTGCCAGAGGTCCTTGCCTTCTACCAAAAAAAGAAGTGTGATCCCTAAATATAAACCAAATCCTGCACTGAAACATCAAGCGTTGTCCCTGCAACCTAAGAAAATCTGCCTAAACATCGGGGCAGGGTCACCAAGGTGGCTTACTCTGAGTGGGGTTAAAAGCACCTAAGCAATCTCCTAAACATAGAAATCTCACAATGCGATCTCATTGCAGTATTACCTTTGAACCAGCACCTCAGGCAACAGAAAGTGATGCTTGCGTTTTACTCTCCAAGGATCCCTTCAGCTATCATCAGGCAGAAACCACTCTTGGCTAGGTATGATATCATCCCAACAAGAGTTTTTATGGATAGCATGATCCACCCCCTCCTACTTGCCGGTCACGGTACGGAGTGGACTCTGTCGGAGAGGTCGGGAGTACCTCGGGACATCGAGCCTCCTCTCCCGGAGGATATCCATCCGCACCGAAACTGGACTTACCCTACGTCCCCACGAGCTCTAAAGAAACCCACTGGCGCAAGTAATTCTCTGACCCCGCCGGAGGAAAGAGAGCTTTTAGCCACCTTTGGCGACCTTCCTCTGAGAGAACAACAAGAAATAATTGATAGACTAGAAGTACTTAATCATCAGCTCATACATGTCCAGAAGAACGGAAAAGTCCTGCCCACTTTTCAGGATAACTCTGCCAGCTTTTCGGAGTCGTGGTTTAAGGAAGCAGGAAGTCTTCCATACCTTAGTCCAGCTCCTAAACCCATGCCTCCCCCACTTGTGGGCAAAACCCACCGACGCTTGGCAGACCCAGGTTTTGCCTCTCAAGTTGGCCTCTCATCCCAACTCTTGATAAATTTTGACTCGCCCTCCAAGAGTCCCCCGCTGAGGAGTGTAACTCAGAGTTCCTTTCACCAAAACAATTCCTTACCATCTAATCCATCAATGCCGGAACTGGAGTCCTCTTATTCCCCTGAGCGGCATAGACCCGACATACAAACGGTACCAGTACGCCAAGCATCCCCTGTACCTTCGCCAGCATCAGGTCATGGGAGTGTTCCACCTACATCAAAAAATGGCCCGGATTTGATTGAAGACCCGGCCGGACATATAAACCAAATGGTTTCATCGGCGACCTTTAGACCTCGCGGTGGGGCAGTCTCAGCAAATCCAGTGGAGTTTCCCACTGAAGTGTCCGCCCTTGGGTTAGCCCGCGGGAGACCCGTTTTGTCGCCCCAGTCAGAATACCTCACTACCAACTTCAAGACTAGGTACCTTCAGCAGGTGCCTGCCATGCAAAGTAAAATAACTGACTTTTTCGTGGGGTCTGCCTTGCCTCCAAAGGACTCACATCTCTCCCTGAAATGACAGCGAATTGGTTACAACAGGAACTCCCCCCTATCAGTCCTCAGCTGGAACATTGTGGGCTGGAGGGGAAAAAAACTTGACCCAGAATTCTTGGAGTATATTAACCTGTTTCATATCATCTTGTTCCAAGAATCGTGGGAAGTAGAGAGAATTGATCTAAATGGCTTTGAGCTTCTAGAACTCCCTGCCTGCCCCTCCCTGAAAGGAGGCCGCCCTAAAGGGGGCCTAATAATAGGCATCTCCTCAACTTACATTCTAAATTTACTCTAGTACAGGCCTTGCCTCCTTACGCCCTTACCGGGCTGATTGCGGGGAAAAGATCTCACTTCTAGTTACAAATGTTTACTTGCCACCCGGGGGTTCTTCCTCTGAACTGGGCTCTAAATGGGGCTCGCTAGAAGAGCATTTGCTCTCATGCTATGTTAAGTTTCCTAACACCCCGGCCATAATAGGTGGCGATTTTAATGCCCGCACAGCAGCAAATTGGGACTCGCTGACCAAAGCCAAATGGTGGGTTACCCCAAACCTTGATAATTATGATCTGGAACATATCATGAGGAGAACTTCTAAAGACCAACGAGTTAATGAGGCTGGAGTACTCCTCTATCAAATGGCCATCCGTTTAAATCTGGTCCCCCTAAATGGCACATGCCTCCCTGATATTCCAGGGGATTTCACTCACCTGAGCGTTAAATCAAACAGCGTCCTCGATTACCTGCTGGTCTCCAGTGATCTACTTAAGTGTATTTCCACCTTTAAGATCGAGAATGTACAATCTAGTGATCATCTTCCCCTTGTAGCCAAGCTTTCCCTGAACTGGCAGTCGGAGGCCTATAGACATGCGACCCAGATGGTAACCAATGTATCTCTCCAAGTAAGAGGAATCAAATGGTCGGAGACCCAGGCTCAAAGGTATCAGGAATTCTTTCAAAAAGAAATCCTCGGGCCCCATCCCTACATAGGCTCTGCCTCAGACGAGCATAGCATAGTGTTGGAACGCTTCCACCATCATACGACTGATCTTACGTCCTTCTTCAGGTTACCACCCAAAATATTAAATCGAAACGAGTATACTTACGGTGCCCCCTGGTATAACTCTCAGTGCAAACAAGCAAGACAGCGCCTTCGTGCTATATATAATGTATATAAGACCTCCGATGCATCTACTCTGCCAGCTAGTTATGCACAAGCCAAGCAAGTTTACAAACGCACGCAGAAAATTGCCAAACGTGAGTGGCAACATAATCGCTGGCAGGCCTTGATTACTGCTTCAAAACCACATAGATCCAGGGAATTCTGGTCTTTGATTAACAGAAGGGTGAGGAAATACCCAAGGGCAGTCATCCCTGCACCGACATGGGAATTGTTCCTGAAGAAATGTTTCTCACAGGCAGATGCTCCCTCCGACCATCTGATGCATCTGTTTTCCCACCTACCTATTTGGCCTCCCACCGATCCTGACGAAATAGCTAAGCTAATAGCCCAGCTGAAATCGGGCAAAGCCCCAGGGCCCGACCTGATCCCTGCTGAAGCCATCAAACTACACCCAAAATGGTGGGCTGGCATCTTGGCCAAAACCTTCGACGCAATCAACGCTTCTGGTCTCATCCCCAAAATATGGAAGGAGGCCATTATAGTACCAATTCATAAAAAAGGTTCTCCAATGGAGCCAGAAAATTACCGTAACATCAGCCTCCTTTCGATCATAGGGAAAATTTATGCCAGCTTTTTGCTGACGAAACTATTGCGATGGGTAGATGAGACTAACCAGATTGGCCACGAACAAGCAGGGTTCAGAATTAAACGTTCTACAACTGATCATGCGATAGTTCTTTACCATCTGGCACGGAAGTACTCCTCCCCTCCCCGGGGCTACCTTTGTGCTGCCTTCTTAGATCTAAAGGCAGCCTTTGACAGCGTTCCTAGAAATATTCTTTGGGAGAAACTTGCGAAACAGGGCATCGATAGAAGACTCTTATGGCTTATAAGTCAGCTCCACGAAGGTACCCTTGCCAGAGTGAGACTTACTCCTGCGGGCGACCTCACAAATTCGATACCAATAAACAAGGGAGTGCGCCAAGGATGTATATTGGCTCCCTGCCTATTCAATCTATTCATCAGCGACATGCGAGCACCCCTAGTCAACTCATCTCCAAGTACACACGCGCCTAGACTAGCGGATTACCGCTGTCCACTTCTTTTATATGCGGACGACGCGGTAATTCTATCTTATACACGTGTTGGACTAACCAGAGCTCTGAAGATCTTTGCCACATATTGTCAACTCAACCAATTAACCATCAACCATGTTAAATCTAAGATTCTGATTTTCGCCAGAAGTCGGAGATTATACGAATGGAAGCTTGGTGGAGGAAAAATAGAGCAAGTCCTAAAATTTCAATACCTAGGAGTTATTTTTCAATACAATTTGGGGTGGAAAGCACAAATTCAACACCTACTTAACAAGGCCAAAACTCTGTCATATGCGCTCCTCCGATTTTTCTTTTCGGATGGAGCTTTGCATGTTCCCTCGGCCCTAAAGGTGTTCAAGGCAAAAGTGGTTACCGTGCTTGCTTATGCTGCCCCGCTCTGGGCCGTGATGACAGACCTTGCTCCTCTTGAGACTCTGCAAAACCAATTCCTACGTCGGCTCCTAATGCTCCCCCTGTGCGTAAGCAACGCAGCCATGCGACTAGAATTGAAGATCGCATCCTTAGAAACTTGCCTGTGGAAGCAAGTCTTCAATTATTGGTTATCATTGTGGCATAGATTACCAGACCATTACCTTGTCCAATGCTTATGGCGAGATGAATTCTCCAGCCTTTGGATTAGTAGAATTCATGCCAAACTCCTGAGTTATGGAATCTCTCCCTTAGATTCCCTAAAACTAGACCAAATCACTGCTCAAAGACTGATCTGCCAAAGACTGGATGACATCGATTTACAGCGAAATTATACGCTGGGGGGAGGTGTTTGTTCGCCCCAGAACATTGGTATCACTTTAACTTACTGCGTTCCATCATACCTCTCCTCCCTTTCGACTGTTGCCCATAGGCTGGCCTTCACCAAAGCGAGGTTTAACGTTTTCCCCTCCAATGTCCTGAGACATAGATTCTCAAAGGGCCAAGCCTCCGCCATGTGCGAATGTGATAAGGAGACGCCGGAGTCGCTTCAGCACATTATGTTCACTTGCCCCTTATTCAATGTGCCACGGGCAAATTTGTTGGGATCAATCATACAGAAACTGGAGGGTTCCCCACCAAAATTCCACCTTGCCCAAGTCTTGCAGGATAAGGATACCCATACGACCCTGAAAGTGGCTAGGTTTCTGGTCGCTGTCTTTACCCAAAAGCGTTGCCAAGGAACACCACAAGCTAATTAAGGCGTAGTATGCCATTCCATCTCATAGTATTTTATTGTTATAGTAGTGTTTTAGCGGCTGTTTTTTCCCACGTGCACAAGCTGTTATTTATGTCTTGTTTTTATCTGTATGGGCCTATGGCCGTAATAAAATTATTATTATTATTATAGATTGTCTCTGTTCTCTCCTCAGAGGTTGTCAGTGGTGATGTTCTTGGTCTGCATTCAAAGGCAAAATAATATAAAGGCAGGAAGACCCCCAGAAATGCCTTCTGCAACCTTCCTAGAGGGCAGTAAGGAAGGCGGAGGAAAACCCAGGGCCAAAAGAGTTTAAGCCCTTTGCCTTGCTTTCTGCCCTCTGGAGGCTCTTGTGAGATATCGCACGGCCCCTTCTGAGTGTTACTTCCAAGCCTTGCGCCATCTTGATATTTTTGTTTTGATGAAGCATGCAAGGCAGGGATCGTGCAACTAAGCTGCGTGCAGATTTTGGGCCACTTTGGATATAGAGATTTTACTGAAATGCCACATAAGCTTCCCTGAGCAACAGCAAAGAAGAAGGGATTTTGGTTCTTGCATCTCCACAGCCAGTGAAGATCTTGGGGGAGGGAAAGGGAAACGGAAAACAGGATGGAGGCTGAGGGAGGTTTTAAGCGATGCCTATTCAGAATTCTGATTTTATTCAGAAGTGATGAGGGTATTCTCTATAGAAAGCCGGAAGTCAGACTTCACTGACTTTCAGGAGGCTGGAAAAAGTACTACATCAGAACAGGCATGAGGGTAGGGGTGCTTTTGTGTTTATTATTAGGCTGCGTCTTTGCCCCTCCTGCACCAACTGAAGCAGCTGATTCCCAAGGGAGACCATGAGGGAAAGGCAACAGGCAGGTTTCAGGACTGACAGGAGACCCAACCAATTGGTACCATTTACAGAAGTGGCCTGAGAAAAGAGAGTTGCACCATGACGGACACTCGGGTCAGTCAATCACTGTTTTGCCAATATGGCTGCCCCTTAGTGCTTCTAAGAAAAGAGAAAACTTAGACTGAAGATGTGGTGATATGTATCTGCTTGTCTGTCTCTACTCTCAGAGTGCTAAGTGGCCTTTTGCAGACACAAGAAACAAAGGCTGGATGGTCTCTACTGAGAAGGAGGCTGCCAGGAATGTGCAGAGGAGGGCTGCTGTATCTGCATCGTAAAAGGACACCCGTCCCCCTTCACAGTTCAGGGCCACTCGGATCCTCTTGGGTTCCTCTCTTGGAACAGGGGCCTTAAGGGGGACGTACCCTCCGTCCCACTTCCCGAAACCCCAGATCCCTTCAATAGGACCAAAAGAGAGAATACCCTTCCTCTTCACAGACTTTCTGGCAACCCCCACCCCCCATCTCTCCTCTCTTCCCACAATGACCTCCCAGAAATGTCTGCCTGCTGTGAAACCCTCACATCCCAGCACAAAGCCATGTGTGTCAAATCTCTCAGGGTTGTCTGGCAGGTCTTGATAGACTTTCCCCCTTCGCACACTCTTTCGATCCTCAGGAAGGATGAGCCAGGGATTTGCTGTGTCTGGATCCAAAGTTACATTTTCTGTGGGGGCAGAAAGAGAAGAGAAACGACGTCAACTGGGAAGCTGACTTATCTTTAGACAGAAATGTAATTCCCTTTGAAATGAACAGGGACTTTGTTAACTGCGTTCGGGACTAGGATGCTCCACAAGCTCTTAATAATACTTCTTGCAACATCTGTGTGGTTTTGGGGGAGTTGTGCCATCAAAAGGCACCCTCCTATTTTCTGGAAACGAAAGCACTCCGCATGCATTATGTTCACAGAAACCTTACACAAACCATGTAAGTAAGGTCAACTTTATTATGCCCGTTTTTCAGACGGGAGGACTGAGGCTGAGAGTGGCCTTTTTACTTACCCCCAAAGCTCAAGGAAGAAGGCGCAGTCAAAGCAGGGACTCCCTGATTCACAGCTCAATCTTTTCCCTCACACGACACACTATGCTTGAAATGCCAGGTAAATCTGGCAGGAGGCCACAGCAGAGAACACACCTGTCTCATGACAACCACCCAAGTTCAGTTACGTATTTAAAGAATGTTTTACCCCACCTTTCCAGGCAGTTTATAAAAAGTAAAACACTGACACCCATAAAACTGTATGCTCTGCTGCTTATGAAAGCGACTAGTCTCCCTTGACCCTCTCTGTGTGAAATGACCTTCTTGGGGCTCTGAGAGCGAATCGGGGGGCGGGGGGGGGTTCTGTTTTGATGAGGAGACGTTGTCAGGCAGGCTGCCTCTCTCTGCAGAAGCCAAACAGTTGACTTGCCTGTTGGGAATGTTGAAGCTCTGCTCATCTCATTGATATTGGTAATGAAACTCAAATAGGACAAAAATGCATTCTCCTCCAATGATATCCTTCGAAAGATCATTTTAATGAAGGCCTGGCGCCTTCGTTATACACATTTAGGTGCCAGGCAAAAACATTCCTCTTTAACCTTTGGCTGATTGACACCCAATGCCCTTTTAAAATGTGTTTGGGGCGGGGTTATTGGGTTGTTTGTGTTTTTATTTTGATTATAGGACGGTGAACACCCGGCTTATGAGCAGTACATGTCAAAAGGATCTAGGGGTCTTGGTGGACGTGTTAACGTGAGTCAACAGTGTGATGCAGCAGCAAAAAAAGCTAATGCTATTTTAGGCTGCATCAACAGAACTATAATGTCCAGATCAAGGGACGTAATAGTGCCGCTCTATTCTGCCTTGGTCAGGCCACACCTGGAATACTGTGTCCAGTTCTGGGCACCACAATTTAAAAAGGATGTTGACAAGCTGGAATGTGTGCAGAGGAGGGCGACCAAGATGATCAAGGGTCTGGAAACCAGGCCTTATGAGGAGCGGTTGAAGGAGCTGGGTGTGTTTATCCTGGAAAAGAGGAGAGTGAGAGGAGATACGATAGCCATCTTCAAATATCATAAGGGCTGCCACAGGGAATAGGGAGCAAGTTTGATTTCTCCTGCTCTGGAGGGTAGGACTCGAACCAATGGCTTCAAATTACAAGAAAGGACATTCTGAGTAAACATTTGGAAAAACTTTCTCACAGTAAGAGCTGTTTGGCAGTGGAACAGACTCCCACAAGAGGTGGTGAACTCTCCTTTCTTGGAGGTTTTTAAGCAAAGGTTGGATGGCCATCAGTCACAGATGCTTTAGCTCAGATTCCTGCTTTGCAGAGGGTTGGACTAGATGACCCCTGGGTCCCTTCTATGATTCTATGTATTTTGTGGTTTTATATTGTGATCTTATTGTGTGAACTGCCCTGAGACCTCAGGTATAGGGCAGTATAGAAATTTAATTAATTTATTAAAATAATGAAAGGAAACCTCTTGGAACTACTAACTGACAAGAGAATTGGGGGAGTGTAACAACCTAAGTAAGAGACATGGGGGGTGCTGTGGACTAAACCACTGAGCCTCTTGGGCGGCAGTTTGAGTCCCCATGACGGGGTGAGCTCCCGTTGCTCGGTCCCTGCTCCTGCCAACCTAGCAGTTCAAAAGCACATCAAAGTGCAAGTAGATAAATACCGTATTTTGCGCCCCATAGGACGCACTGGCCCATAAGGCGCACCTAGTTTTTTTGGGGGGAAATAAATAATTTTTTTTTTATTTCCGACCCCAGCCCCCAGAACAGGCTGCTCTGCGCAAGCTGTGGGAGGGCTCCCGCGGCTTGCGCAGAGCTACCCGAAGCCCCACAGGACTGCCCAGCACGCCGGGGCTTCGGGACAAGAGGCAGCTCTGCGCAAGCCGGGGGAGGGCTCCTGCGGCTTGTGCAGAGTTTCCTGAAGCCTGGAGAGCGAGAGGGGTCGGTGCGCACCAACCCCTCTCGATCTCCAGGCTTCAGCGAAAGCCTGCATTCGCCCCAAAGGACGCACACACATTTCCCCTTCATTTTTGGAGAGGGAAAAGTACGTCCTATAGGGCGAAAAATACGGTAGGTACTGCTCCGGCGGGAAGGTAAGCGGTGTTCCCTGCACTACTCTGGTTTCGGTGTTCCGTTGCACCAGAAGTGGCTTAGTCATGCTGGCCACATGACCCGGAAAAACTGTCTGCGGACAAACACCGGCTCCCTCGGCCTGTAAAGGGAGAGGAGCGCCGCAACCCCAGAGTCGTTTGCGACTGGACTTAACTGTCAAGGGTCCTTTACCTTTACCAACCTAATTTATCACTTCCTGAAAGTGATAGAAAACCTGTAAGGCAGACATGGAAAGTGCTAACTGCGGGGGGGGGGGGGGGAAAAAGGCCTGGACTGAAGAGCTGCAATGACCTTTTGAGAAGCAGATTCCATTTCTCCCAAAATTGTGCCGCTATTCGACCCTGAAATTTACCTTTTTGCAGCTCAAGTCCAGATTCCACAGTGTCTGGCGAAGAAAAGGGAACAGAGATTTAGCATCACACCATCACCCTGGTAACTAATCTAGTAATGACAATATGAGCTCATGCAATTATAGCTGGGGAAGCCAGAGTGATGAACTTTAGGCGTTGTGGACTACAGTTCCCATCATCCCTAAGCATCGGCCATGCCAGCTGGAGCTCATGGGAGTTGCCATTTAAAATGTCTAAAACCCACCATGCTGCCTATACCTGCATAAGCCAGGGCAGGGGCGAGGTCAAGATTCAGGCCTGCTCAGACCTGAGAGGAGGAGCAGGACCCTCAGAAGATCTCCCCATAAGCAACAATCTTGAGGAGATGTAATTATTATTATTATTATTATTATTATTATTATTATTATTATACGCCGCCCAGTAACTCTGTGCGGCTCACAGCATGTACAGTAGTACCTCAGGGTACATACGCTTCAGGTTACAGACTCCGCTAAGTCAGAAATAGTGCTTCGGGTTAAGAAATCGTGCTCTGGCGGCACGGCAGCAGCAGGAGGCCCCATTAGCTAAAGTGGTGCTTCAGGTTAAGAAGAGTTTCAGGTTAAGTACGGACCTCTGGAACAAATTAAGTACTTAACCTGAGGTACCACTGTATTGAAACATAGTAAAAAAATCAAACATTAAAAACTTCCCGATACAGGGCTGCCTTCAGATGTCATCTAAAAGTGAGATAGTTGTTTATCTCCTTGACATCTGAAGGGAGGGCGTTCCAGATGGTGGGTGTCCCTACTGAGAAGGCCCTCTGTCTGGCTCCCTGTAACCTCACTTCTCGCAGGGAGGGAACCTCCAGAAGGCCCTCGGCCAGTGTGGTGTAGTGGTTAAGAACGATAGACTCGTAATCTGGGGAACCAGGTTCGCGTCTCCGCTCCTCCACATGCAGCTGCTGGGTGACCTTGGGCTAGTCACACTTCTCTGAAGTCTCTCAGCCCCACTCACCTCACAGAGTGTTTGTTGTGGGGGAGGAAGGGAAAGGAGAATGTGAGCCGCTTTGAGACTCCTTTGGGTAGTGATAAAGTGGGATATCAAATCCAAACTCTTCGGCGCTGGACCTCAGTGGATGATGGGGGTGGAGACGCTCCTTCAGGTATACTGGGCCGAGGCCTTTTAGGGCTTTAAAGGTCAGCACCAACACTTTGACTTGTGCTCAGAAACATACTGGGAGCCAATGTAGGTCTTTCAGGACCAGTGTTATATGGTCTCAGTAGTCACTCCCAGTCACCAATCTAGCTGCTGCATTCTGGATTAATTGCAGTTTCCGGGTCACCTTCAAAGGTGGCCCCATGTACAGTGCATTGCAGCAGTCCAAGCGGGAGATAACTAGAGCATGGCAAGACAGCCTGCGGGCAGGTAGCGCCTCAGCCTGTGTACCAGATGGAGCTGGTAGCCAGCTGCCCTGCACACAGAATTGACCTGCGCCTCCATGCACAGCTGTGAGTCCAAAATGACTCTGAGGCTGCGCACCTGGCCCTTCAGGGGCACAGTTACCCCATTCAGGACCAGGGAGTCCTCCACACCTGCCCACCAGTCATCCTTGTTCCAGGACTGGAGGTCTCAACCCCAGTTCCCTCTGCTCCTGGGTGGCTTTTTGACAGCCTCCCGCCTCCTTCACATCAATCTCAAGGCCAGAGGAACAGAGGAGACGCCCAAAAGGCTGTAGGTGAGGCTACTTGGGAAATGGGAGAGGTGTGGGAAAGCACCCAAAGCCTGGCTGAGAGATTTGAAGCAGTAAAATACAACTTTTTACAGACAACTCGCAATGTACGCGAGGGTTACTTTCCTGGGGATTGTTCATAAAGTCATGCAAAATCAGAATTACCTCCCGAATCACCCCCTCCCATTAAAGATCTTGAATGGCCCCACTAGAGCCTCTCACAGCCTAGTAAGCAATGCAGAGGGCTTTAAAGTGATTTTCGTGGAGGGATTAAGAGCACCATTTCTCACGAGAGCCTCCACATCCCAACAAGTAATTGTTTCCTCCCCACTTCCTATTTATTTATTTGTGATCCCCATCAAGCTGTGACTGTGTAAGTAAAATTAGCGAACGTTGTGAGTCATCTGTATACGAAAGGGAGGCATCTGGATATTGAAAGAGGATAAATACATAAACCTTTCATTTTCCTGGCATTGCTAATATAACATATAACCTGGACACTTTCATGAACACTTTGAAACATCTAGTATAGAATCCTCACAGCCCTTCTTCATTACCTCTGAACTGCTTCATGACTCCCTCCAGGAAGGGATTTATATCACAGAAGTCCCAGATCTTCCACTTCAGGGCAGGAGGAAAAGCCACAGGAGGATCCTCTAAGTTCTCCTTCTCCTGAGACCTGGGAGGAGAAGAACAAAGTCAAGCCACCATCCTTCCAATGCAAGGAGCTTTCTGACAAGGCAGGTGTCTCATCCTGATGATAAAGGCACAATGGATATATCATGAAGACTTGGGAGCAGAGTTCTTCCTATGGCAAAAGGGAGCATCAAGATGACGTCTGAATCTAGAAAGCATCTAAGAAGTTGAAGGAAAACCGACACACACCTGCTTCCATAGTACATGGAAGGGAATATATGAAAATAAGACTGAATGTATGCAGATGAATTCTTTAGAAGAAAAAATAACAATACAAGGTCCTTAGAAAGAGATCTAGAACTGCATCAGTTTTAGTGAAGCATTTCAAATGATTAAAGTTATTAATACTTTTTAGCCCTGTGGTTACATTTAAAGTAGGGAGAAATATTAGAAATTAAAGCTGTATTTTCTAAACATGGAAGATTTAAAAAATATATTGAAGTTATTTGGAGAACAAAGCTCTCAACACTTATTGGCCACGATAGCTGGGTCAAAGGCAGTGGTGCCTCTGAACCACAGGAGGGGAGTGTCCTCTGGGGTCGGATCCTGCTCGTGGGTTTCGCACTGACATCTGGTTAGTCAAATATGTCAAATATTTAAGGGTAAGTTATAAGATATTTACAAGCACCTTTGGGATGTCCTCCCTTTTCTGTAATTATTCCACAGTAAATGAATCCATCAAGGAAAATGGAGAAATATGTAATGGAGGGGAATGAGGAATGGCTTCCTTCCTATGATTCTTGATGAGACCAATAGCTACAAATGACTATGAAAATGTGTCCCTATTTTTGTCCATGATTTTGTGAAATGGATGATGGAGTCCTAAACTATCTCTGGAAGGAGGAACTGGAGAGTGAGTTCTTCTTAAAAGAACTTTTCTAGCAACATAATGAGGCAGGGGTTTTTCATCACTTACCTCTGCATGAAGCTTCCAATATCCTGGAAGGAAGGAAGGAAGGAAGGAAGGAAGGAAGGAAGGAAGAAAGAAAGAAAGAAAGAAAGAAAGAAAGAAGTCAGTGGAGCCATTTCTGCAGTCAGTTATAAATACTAAACAGCTGAGTGGCAACTGCTGGGAATCACAGGTTTGGAGAGCGCTACTGTTTTTTAGGCTTCTCAGAGACCTCTGGTTGGCCAGTGAGAGAACACAATGCTAGAATGAAGAGGCCTGTGGTTTGATCTAGCAAGGCCCCTTTTGCGACCCCAGGACTGACGCCTTTCACCCTTCATGTACTGTTTTCCTTGCAGCAGCTTTTTTTTAGGGTGGGGGCTAAGACATGTTATCCTCCTGTCTGTAATTTGAAGCAGCACACTCCACCCTCTCACATCAGGATGAGGCCTCACCTGCAGGAGTTCACTCTCTGGTTCCTGAAGCTTCTCCTCCATCTCCCGGATGAGGCTGTCAAGAGAGGAGAGTTCCCCGGAGAGTCTGGCCAGGTGCTCCTCCCTTTTGGCTGCAATCTCCTTCTCCACCTCTGCCATCTGGGCCAGAATACGTTTCTCTTGTTCTTCCAGAAACTGGTGCAGTCGCCTGAACTCAGCCACCATCTTTTCCCTCTCTGCACCTGTTTGTTTCTGCAGCAAAGAGGTTGAAAGAAGAGAACAGTGGGCCAAAATCAGGCATCTAGTCTGCTCTTGCAGGATAAAGAGGCCAGTTATCCCAATTCCCTTGGAAGGCCACTTCTGACATGTTCAGCAGAGAAAGAACTTCGTAAAAATTTACAAGCCCACCGCCTCCTTTAAATGATCTTTCATGCTCTGTAAGAGATCAGACTGTTCTAAAATAAACCTCTTTCTGTATTTCGTATTCATTTCCCCAGATTTTGATTCAAGACTGCAGAACTTATTCCCTTTCAAGTGAGAATGATGCTTACAAGCAGGTCTTGGCTTTCCTTTTCTGCATCTGCTTTAAATTTCAGAATTTTCTCTCTCTCCTTCCTCACATTGTCTAGGCAGTTGCTGATCTGATCCTGAAAAGAAAACAAAATTTAAAAGTTTGGTTCCTTTTTTTCTTCATATTAACAGCAAAGTTGAACCATATGCTTGCTCCCTGCCCCCAAAACTGTCCCTTCCCAACTCAGGGATTCCTAAGGGAGCTGCTGCCAGAGGAGGAGCTGTGGGTGAGTTACTCCTGCACTGTAATCCTCTGAGTTACTCCTGCACTCCTGTTACTCCTGCACTGTAATCCCCTGAGTTACTCCTGCACTCCTGTTACTCCTGCACTGTAATCCCCTGAGTTAATCCTGCACTCCTGTTACTCCTGCACTGTAATCCCCTGAGTTAATCCTGCACTCCTGTTACTCCTGCACTGTAATCCCCCGAGTTAATCCTGCACTCCTGTTAAATCCTGCACTGTAATCCCCTGAGTTAATCCTGCACTCCTGTTACTCCTGCACTGTAATCCAGATGTTAATCCTGCACTCCTGTTACTCCTGCACTGTAATCCCCTGAGTTAATCCTGCACTCCTGTTACTCCTGCACTGTAATCCCCCGAGTTAATCCTGCACTCCTGTTACTCCTGCACTGTAATCCCCTGAGTTACTCCTGCACTCCTGTTACTCCTGCACTGTAATCCCCTGAGTTACTCCTGCACTGTAATCCAATGAGTTAATCCTGCACTCCTGTTACTCCTGCACTGTAATCCCCTGAAAGGAAAAGAGAAATGTTTATTGAACAGAGTTTCAGAAGTTTAGTTTTAGAAGGCTGCACAAAAGCTCTTGCAGGCGAGTGACTTTTTGGCTGCCTGAGGGGAGAATACATTAAAGCGTTTTCTTGCAAGACCCCCTTCTCTGTTGCTATTTCACCCTCACCATCCCCGAAGGAAACCCAGAGAGATTTCCTACCTTGTACTCCTGGGACGCCTCCTCCAGAGGAATCACCTCGTGGCCCTTGTGCTCCTTGGATACATTACACACGAGACAGATGGGGCTTTCGTCCTCCTGGCAGAAGAGCTTCAGGGGCTCCTGATGCTTCTCGCAGACGCTTCTTTTTCCTTCGGCCGCCTTTTTTCCGCCCAGATGACTGAATTTCTTGGCTATTTCTACAAAATTTGCCAGCTGCTGGTTTCGCGTGATGCTGCTTTGCTCCACTGTTTCCCTGCACTGAGGGCAGGAAGCCTCTCCCTCGGATTTCTCCCAGCACTGGATCAGGCAGGATCGGCAGAAGTTGTGCCCGCATTCATGAATGATCACTGGATCCCTGAAATACTCCAGGCAGATGGGGCAAGTAGCTTCCTCGCAGAGATCCTGCACGGGACCCTCAGAAGCAGCCATGGCTGCTGCCTCGACAGGAAGAAAGAGTTGGTTTCGTTTTCTCTCTTTTGCGCCTGCAAATGGGCGTGTTTCCTTTCCAGGAAATTCAGACTTGATGGCTCGAGATCACAGCTGCCTGAAGAGAGGGGGAGTTAGCAGGGACACAGAGTCTTTGGGGCATGGGAATTTATATATTAAAAAGAAAGGGGATAAATCCTGGCTGCCGATTTAAGGAGCCATTTTCCAAGGAGAGGTGGAGGGAAGCGAGTTTTTTATGAGCTTCATGTCACTCTCAGTTTTAGTTGGAAACCAGTGAATGAATCTGAATCTTGCAAGCCCCTCCCACCCAATCGCTCAAACTCACACGCCCTTTTCCAGCTGCAAGACACAAAAGTTCAGACTCCAAGGAGCAGCGCAGCCGGAGTCCAACCCTCTCCTGTGATACACATTCCCACGGGACAAGTGAACACGAATCTGAAGCCCCTGAGAACGTGGGATGGAGGCTGGGGAATTTCTAAGCTGCTCTCCAGCTCCAGCGTCACATTGCAAATATGGGGTTTCTGCTTGGCTCAGCTACCCCATCTTATTTTTGCATACCTTGGGGTTTGCTTGGCCTCTGAGAGAAAGAAGCCTGATAAAACAAGGAGAAAGTAAGGCTTTCCTGCTTATTTAATTACTTGCCTCTGGAAAATTTAGGGGGACAAAGAAATTTGGGGGGGGGACAGCATTCCCAGCAGCCATGTCACGTGCTAGGAGGAAAGCACGCTTGGCAAATCCACACCGTGATCAACTCCTGCCCGAAAACCAATGTCCCTACTGTGGAAGGACGTGTGGGTCCAGAATCGGCCTCCACAGTCACTTACGGACTCATTGTTAAAACCGTGTTTATGGAAGACAATCTTACTCGGCTATGAGTGATCGCCAAAGAAGAAGAAGGTTTTCCACAAACTGAAACGCAGCCAGGGATTGGGGGAGGGAGGGCAGAACCGCGCAATCTATGACACAATTGGTCAGGTAGTTAAGTGTTTTTATTTATTCACTTGATTTAGGGTGGCAGCTGACCTCCCTGCCCCCCTCTGTCTACACCCATGGCAGACACCATTGTGGGAGAAAGGCAAGAAAGCAAGGGTTATGGCAGAACCCAAACTGGATTTAAATCCCCTTTAAAAGCTTCACTGTTGACACAGGAATACCTGAACATAAGCTGCAACATGAAAGAACTTCACAATGAGGGCTTGTGAGCACATCTCTGAAGAGGGCTTGGCAACGTGGTGCAGATGCTGAGAAAATGGATAGGGAGATCTTTCGTGATCTTAGCTCCTGGAGTGATCCAATGAAACGCAAGGAGAGCTGGAGGTGCTGCTGCAGGAGGCTTTGGGCTGAGAAAATCTGGTGTTTTTTAGATACAGTGGTACCTTGGTTTGCAACCATAATCCATTCCAGAGGTCCGCTCGAAAACCAAAACAGGTTGTAACCCAAAGTGCACTTTTGCCAATGGGGCCTCCAATTTTTTATTTTTATTTTTGTAATCTAGGAAAAATGTGTTATAATCCAAAAGAAGTTTGAAAACCGGGACATTCATTTCCAGGTTTGACGTGTTTGTAATCCAAAATGCATGCGAACCAGACTGTTCGCAAAACAAGGTACCACTGTACTGCTAAAGTTATTATTGTTGGTGGTTGATCAATATGCCTAATAAAAATATATTACAAATAGATTATGATGTTCAATGTGGATCCTCTTACAAATTTTACTCTGTTTCATGATCCAAGCTGAAGTGAGAATTTGATTTTCCCTTAATCTGGGTTCAAAGGGACTTGCTCCCAGGGAAGTGGGCCTTGGGCTGTAGCTTTAATTTCCTCTTCGCTCCATAGAGCTCAGTTAGAAAGACATGCTGCCCTCACTTCCTCTTCTCATTTGAGAATCACCATTTGGGTGGCAGAAATGAGGAAATGTAGTGCCTCTCCACATGTGTGATACCCACCTGCTTGGCGCGGGTTGAAATTGTTAAGTAACAAAGTGGGGGCAGTGGCAGCCCTATTGCTGTGGGGATCAGATGGGATATCACCCTGTTTATATCCCTGGGGGAAAGTGTCATGTGGGGTGGATAGGGCCAATATACCATTGAGTCTGAAATAACACCAGGAGCAACAATAAGTAGCATCTTTAATAAAATCAAGCAAGTTAACAGATGAAGCATATTTCCACATTTGTTCAGGCATGTTACAAAAAGGGATAAGAGATCATCTCTAAAAACATATAGAGTCATACCTCTAGATATGTTGCCTTCGGGTAACAGAATTTCATGTTATGGACAGTGGCAAACCTGGAAGTCCCAGAATTGGTTACTTCCGGGTTTCGCTGTTTGTGCATGCGCAGAAGCTCGAAATTGCGCCGCGTGCATGCGCAGACACGGCACTTCATCTTATGGATGCTTCGGGCTGTGGATGTGCCTCCCTGTGATGGCCTGGGACTCGGGCTCGGACTCAGAACCAGAGGAGTCTCAGTCCGCACCAGATCCTTCGCCTCAGGTGGCATCTGAACCAAGTCTGGGGCCTGATTCTGAAGAGCCCCAGTCTGCACAGGTTCCCCTGCAACAAGCACCAGCTGGGCCGAGTCAGGGGCCTGAGCCTGCCCTGGCTCCAGATGCGGGGATGACCTCGTGGCCTTCAGCTGGGCCATCACTTACAGCTGCTTTACTACCGGTTGGGTCAGGAGAGGCTGAGGCGGCCTCTGGGTCTAGGAACCCACGACATGTCCCGAGCTGCAGAGACTAAGGTCTGAGAGAAGGAGAGACCTGAGTACTCGCAGGAGGAGTGCTCGCCTTCGGGCGAGACAGGGAGTTGAGTCACCGGGGGATCAGGACCGGCCGTTTCCCCGACAAAGATAAAAGGCTGTCGGACCCCACCCCAGGTTGTGGAAGCAACATTGTTGTTTGCTAGAACCTGCCTGAGACCCTGTGCCTGACCTAGCCTGGTTTCCTGCCTCGTGTCCTGCCTCGGCCCTGTCGGACTGACTCCTCGTGGAATCCTTGCATTCTGGACTGGACCTGGACCACATTGCTCAGGTTAACCCCCAGGCCCAGTACACTCCCGAACGGATTATGTCTACAACCTGAGGCACCACTGTAGATGTATCTGATTGTTTGCAAGAAGTCACTGTTAGAGAAAATAATTGTATAAATGGGAATTTACTACCGCTCCCTGAAATCCCCCAAATTGACTCTGTTCTGTCCTTGGAACTGTCAGAGGCTCTTTCGTTCTGGGGATTAGCAAGACAAGTCAGGGAGACCCCTGCAAATGCTTTGAGGAACCTTTCCTGGAGGTCAGTAAGCAAGGCGGAGGGCTCAGAAACTATTTACAGAGCAGGATTTGGGCACCAAAATGGTGAGCCTCCATCTTGCTTTCTGGGCTCTGGAGGTTCTTGTGAGATCTCACACGGCCCCTTCTGACAGTCACCGCCCCCAGTCTCCCAAACTCTTTTTATTTATTTTTGTTTTGACAAAATGCACAAGGCTGCGAATACCTAAGTGAGTCGCGCACAAATTTTGGATCTCTTTGGACAGAGAGATTATGCTGAATTGCCACATAAGCTGAGGGAAAGGGATTTTGGTTGAGACGACTGAAATGTCATCGTGGTGATGAGTTGTTGGCGTGAGGGTGAGCGTTCATTCTTTCCAGAACTAACTGGAAGTTCTTGAAGATTCCAGAAGATTCTGGAAATTGCTAGAAGCTGTCAGAAAGCTGGACCTTTCGTCAAGGCCACATCTGTGAGAGGAGCTGCTTCAGTTCTAACAGAAGCTGTATAAAAATTGTGTTTAGTCCGCATTTATCTGGCAAGCTGACAGAATGCAAGAAAGGGATGTGGGTCACAAAAAACAAAGCCCGGAAAACTCTAAGCAATGCTTCAGCAGACAAACTGTAAATGGGAACCATTATGCTTTTGACCCGGTAGTAAAATACATCTGTCTGTGCTTAATTGCCTCTGTGAGTTACTGCCTTCGTTGTCTGGGTCAGAGCTCCTGAAGCGCTTTGATGTTGCACATCTCTCTGCTGATTTAGGACTGCTGGTACTGAGAAGCATACTTAGCAGTGAACTGGGAAGCTTGTCTGTCTCTACACTCAAGAGAGTATCAGGTTCCCTTTCTCCCTCACGTAAAAGTAGGGCTGGAGGGTCTCTCCTGAGAAGGAGGCTGCTGGGAATGAGTGGAGAAGGGCTGCTGTATCTGCATCGTAAAAGGACACCCGTCCCCCTTCACAGTTCAGGGCCACTCGGATCCTCTTGGGCTCCCCACCCAGAATTGAAACAGGGTGCCCATCATGGGTGGAGACCCTGTATTGATCACCCCGCTTCCCTATGCGCCAGATCCCTTCCTTAGGACCAGGGGTTAACCTGCCTTTCCTCTTCACAGACTCTCTGGCCACTCCCACGGCCCATTGCCCCTCGCTCCCCACAGCGACTTCCCAGAAACGTCTGCCTTCCTTGAATGCCTCACGTCCCAGTACATAGGCATAAGTGTCAAATCTCTCAGGGTTTTCTGGCAGGTCTTGATAGACTTTCCCCCATCTCACACTCTTGCAATCCTCAGACAGGATGAGGTGGGGATTTGCTGTGTCTGGATCCAAAGTTACGTTTTCTGTGGGGGCAGAGGAGGAAAGAGAAGAAAAACAACATCAACTGGAATCTGGCTTTTCATTAGGCACATGACAAAAAGAGCATCCCCTCTGAAATGAACAGGGTCTCCATGGCTCTGCATTCAAGACAGGGATGTTCATCAAGTTCATATTAAGTTAATCTTCTTCTTCTTGTTGTTGTTTAGTCGTTTCGTCGTGTCCGACTCTTCGTGACCCCATGGACCAGAGCACACCAGGCACTTCTGTCTTCCACTGCCTCCCGCAGTTTGGTCAAACTCATGTTGGTAGCTTCTAGAACACTATCCAACCATCTCGTCCTCTCTCATCCCCTTCTCCTTGTGCCCTCCATCTTTCGCAGCATCAGGGTCTTTTCCAGGGAGTCTTCTCTTCTCATGAGCTGGCCAAAGTATTGGAGTCTCAGCTTCAGGATCTGTCCTTCCAGTGAGCACTCAGGGCTGATTTCCTTCAGAATGGAGAGGTTTAATCTTGCAGTCCATGGGACTCTCAAGAGTCTCCTCCAGCACCATAATTCAAAAGCATCAATTCTTCGGCGATCAGCCTTCTTTATGGTCCAGCTCTCACTTCCATACATCACTACTGGAAGTTAATCTTACTATGCCCATTTTTCAGGTGGGAGGACTGAGGCTGAGAGACGGTGGCTTGTCTAAGGCCACCCCCATCCCCTAGAGTTCATGGCAGAAGGAAGTAAAAGCAGGGACTCCCTAATTCACATCTTAATCTTTTACCTCACATCACATGACAGACCACGCTTGATATGCCAGGTAAATCTGGCAGCAAGGTACTCTTGCCCGCCTTGTAACCACCATTCAGGTTTCAGTTGTATATTTAAAGTATGTTATACTCCATCCTTCCAGGTAGTGCATAAAAAGCAAGAAAGTGGTTAGGTTACCCTGCCCCCCGTGTGAAATGTCCTACTTGGGACTCATGACAGCACATCATAGAATCGTAGAGTTGGAAGGGACCCCAAGGGTCATCTAGTCCAACCCCCTGCAATGCTGGAATCTCAACTAAAGCATCCATGACAGATGGCCGTCCAACCTCTGCTTAAAAACCTCCCTTCCGAGGGAGACCGTTGCATGTTGTGCAAAATTCACAAACTGGAACACCTGCTTCCGGGTTTGCAGCGTTCTTTTTCCAAGTTGTTTATAAAACCAAGTGTTCCAAAACACTTCCTTACAAAGGAATTCTTGGACTTTTGGCAACAGGAATTGGTGAAGGAAGAATTTAAGATAGTGACTGCATTTAGACTTGGTTCAAGACAAAGTAGTAAGAAGGCAAGAGACTGTCTGATAACTTTAAGATCAAAAGAAGAAAGAGACCAGATTCTGAACTTACATTACCAAAGAACCCTGGAAATTGAAGACTCCTTCGTGGAAATTTTTAAGGATATACCGAAGCATATCTTGGACGTAAGAACCTTACTATAAAGACCTGGTTGTGTTATTGAGAAGAAATAAAATACTCTTCAGGGGGGAATTTCCCCAAGGCCTTTCCTTTAAATATAAAGGAAGGAAAATAAGAATAAAGACAGTAAGTGATAAAGACAAGTTCCTGAGAGATCACGAAGAAGATCTTCTGAAAGAATTGGAATCTGGAGAGGAGCCAAATCCACCAGGAGAAGGAACACTAGACATAAGAAATTTGTCATTTGGACTGAAACTACCGACAGGAGAAGAACGTCCACTTGGAGCGGAGGGAGGAGGAAGTAAATAGTCTCATCATGGCTCTGCAACTTTTAAGCTGGAATTGTAACGGTTTGAACCTTCCTCGAAAGAGGAAAAATGTATTTCATATATTGAAAAAATAACAATTGGACTTGATTTGCTTACAAGAAACACATGTGACGAGGTTACATAGAAAAATACTTATCAACAAAAGATTAGGACAAGAATTTATCTCATCTGATAAAGTTAAAAAAAGAGGAGTGGTGATTTATGCAAAGGAAAAATTGTTACCGAAATTGATTTTCAAAGATGAACAAGGAAGATTTTTAGCAATTGAAATTCAAGTTCAAGGAGAAAAATTCTTGATTGTGGGAATTTATGCACCAAATGAGGGGAAATCAGAATTCTTTAAGAAGTTGCATGAGACTTTATTGGACTATTTGGATTACAACTTAATTTTGATGGGAGACATGAATGGAGTGGTATCTACAAATATGGATAAAGCACAAAGACAGGAAGTCTCTAGAGATGGAAGATTACCAAAGACTTTTTTTGAAATGACTGAAAACATGGACCTGATTGACATCTGGAGAACAAAGAACCCTCTTGAGAGAGAGGGAACCTTCTTCTCTGAAGCCAAGATGACATGGACTAGAATTGACCAAATATGGTTTACTAGTGGGATGGCACCAAAGATAAAGAAAGTGGAAATCTGCCCAAAAACGTGCTCCGACCATAATGCTGTAAAGATGGAGATGAAGTTAACAACAGCTGGTTCCTTTAGATGGAGGATGAATGACACCTTATTTAGAGATGAAGAGGTATACAAAAAGGCCCAAAAAACCTTGAGAGATTACTTTGAAATAAACCTAAAGACCAATGTCGAAAAAAGAGTAATCTGGGATGCAAGTAAAGCGGTTATGCGAGGATTCTTGATACAACAGAATGCAATAAAGAAGAGAATCCAAAGTGAGAAAAAGGACAAGATCCTGGAAAAGATAAAAGAAGGGGAAAAGAAATTAAGATCCAAACCAAAGTCTCAGGAGATTTTGAGAGAAATTAAGTTATATCAGACACAGTATTTGGAACTAATGAATCAAGAAATAGAATGGAAAATTAAACAAATGAGACAAAAGACATTTGAATCAGCAGACAAATGTGGTAAATTATTGGCTTGGCAAATCAAGAAAAGACAAAAATTAAATACAGTTACAAATTTAGAAGTGGAAGGAAAGAACATCTACAACCCAAATGAAATCAGAAACTGCTTCCAGAGATATTTTAAACAACTATATGCACAAGGGCCACAGAAAGAAAAAGACATAGATGACTTTCTTAAGAAACATGGATTACAAAAAATTTCTCATCAAAGTAAAACAGTTTTGAACCAGAAAATAACTGAACATGAGATAGAAGGTGCCATTCAAAATATGCAACTGGGCCAGAATCCGAGATTTGGGAGAAGAAACAATGGAAGAGGATTGGAAAAAATTTAAGGACTATTTACAAAAACATTACAAATTGTATGAATGTTAAGAAACTGCACGATTTAGAAAACCAAGGTTCCAGTAACTCGATCGAAAGATATAGAAAATTAAGTGATATATAAGAAAAGATCGAAACTTAAAGTAATATTATATTTAAATTTAAGCTACAACTATCTGATAAAAACTACTTGAAGTTTGGAAATTTAATATCTGAGAGGTATAAGCTAAGAAATGAAACAAGGTAATAATTTGCTGACACTTTTATTATAAAGAACGCACGGTAGGGAGATGCGAGGAAGTCCAGTTAGCTATACAAAAAAAGGGTTATGAACAGTTGTGCTTTTTCTTTTTACTTTGCTTTATTATTTGTTGGTGTAAATGTATGTCTTTTTTGTTTGTTACCTCTTTGGTGAAGGGCTTTTATGTAATTATTAAATAATCTTTTGTTCTTTGTTTGAAAATCGAATAAAAATATTCATAAAAAAAACAAAAAAACAAAATATGCAACTGGGCAAATCTCCGGGACCGGATGGGCTGACTTCCAGATACTACAAAGCTTTGAAGGAGTGGTTATTACAACCTTTGAAGGAAGTCTGCAATGAAATTCTAGAGGGGGAAAAGGCACCAGAATTGTGGAAAGAAGCTTATATTACACTCATACCGAAAATAGAGACAGAAAAGACGCAACTTAAGAACTACCGCCCTATATCGTTACTTAATGTGGATTACAAAATTTTTGCTGACATTCTGGCTAAAAGGCTGAAGAAAGTATTGATGGAAGAGATTCATAAGGACCAAGCAGGCTTTCTCCCAGGAAGATATTTGTCAGACAATGTGAGGAATATAATAGATATTTTGGAAAAACTAGAAGTGAATATAAACACTAAAGCAGTACTGATATTTGTGGATGCGGAGAAAGCCTTTGACAATATTTCTTGGAGTTTTATGAAGAAGAATCTACATGGGATGGGGGTAGGCCAAGGATTCGAGAATGGTATGGGTGCAATATATTCTGAACAAAAGGCTAAGCTAATTGTAAATAATGTGGTTACGGAAGAATTTAAAATAGAAAAAGGGACACGACAGGGGTGCCCAATTTCCCCATTGCTTTTTATATCGGTCCTGGAGGTTTTGCTGAACATGATTAGAAGGGACCAGCTGGTTAAAGGGGTACAGGTCGGAGTTAAACAGTACAAACTGAGAGCATTCGCAGATGACTTGGTACTTACATTACAAGAGCCAGACACTAGTACTAAAAGAGTTTTAGAATTAATTCAAGAGTTTGGTCAAGTCGCAGGATTTAAACTGAATAAATTAAAGACTAAGGTATTAGAGAAAAACTTAACAGCTACTGAAAGGGAGAGGTTCCAGAATGAAACGGGTTTAACTGTGGTTAAGAAAGTGAAATACTTGGGGATTAACATGACAGCTAAAAATGTGAATTTATTTAAAGACAATTATGAGAAATGCTGGACGGAAGTAAAAAAGGATCTAGAAATATGGTCAAATTTGAAGCTTTCACTGTTGGGCCGTATTGCTGTGATCAAAATGAATGTATTGCCTAGAATGTTGTTTTTGTTTCAAACATTGCAAATCGTGGACAAGATGGATTGTTTCAAGAAGTGGCAGAAAGATATCTCGAAATTTGTCTGACAGGGCAAGAAACCCAGAATAAAATTTAATATTTTAACTGATGCAAAAGAAAGAGGGGGATTTGCCCTGCCGGACTTTAAACTTTACTATGAATCAGCAGCTTTCTGCTGGTTGAAAGGCTGGCTGCTTCTTGAGAACACAGACATTTTGGATTTAGAAGGCTTTAACAACATTTTTGGGTGGCATGCATATTTATGGTATGACAAGGTTAAAGCTCACAAAGCTTTTAAAAATCATATTGTCAGGAAAGCATTATATAATGTCTGGATTAGATATAAAGACCTGTTGGAAAATAAAACCCCAAGGTGGTTGTCGCCAATGGAAGCTAAGGCTGTGAAAAAAACTCAATATGGAGGCCAAATGGCCGAAATATTGGGAAATTTTGGAACAAAAGGGGGATAAATTGAAATTGCAGAGTTTTGAGAAATTAAAAGACAAAGTGAGAGACTGGCTCCATTATTACCAAATAATGGAGGTTTTTAAGTTGGACAGGAAAATTGGCTTCCAGGTGGAAAAATCAAAATTAGAAACAGAACTGATAGAACCCAATACTAAGAACTTGTCAAGAATGTATAACTTGCTGTTGAAATGGAATACACAAGATGAAACAGTGAAATCAGCTATGATAAAGTGGGCACAAGATATTGGTCATAACATTATGTTTGCCGACTGGGAACAGTTGTGGAACACCGGTATGAAATTTACGGCATGTAATGCCTTAAAGGAAAATATTATGAAAATGATTTATAGGTGGTACATGACCGCAGTCAAGCTTGCAAAAATTTACCACTTGCCTGATAATAAATGTTGGAAATGTAAAGAAACTGAAGGTACTTTTTTCACCTTTGGTGGACATGCCCAAAGATTAAGGCTTTCTGGGAAATGATATATAATGAAATGAAAAAGGTATTTAAATATACCTTCCTTAAGAAACCAGAGGCCTTTCTCCTGGGCATTGTCGGCCAATTGGTGCCAAAGAAAGACAGAACATTCTTTATGTATGCTACAACAGCAGCAAGAATACTCATCGCAAAGTATTGGAAGACACAAGATCTACCCACCTTGGAAGAATGGCAGATGAAGGTGATTGACTATATGGGACTAGCAGAAATGACTGGCAGAATCCGAGACCAGGGAAAAGAGACGGCGGAAGAAGATTGGAAGAAATTTAAGAACTATCTTAAGAAACATTGTAAAATTAATGAGTGCTAGAATGATGTGGTTTTAGAAATTAAATGGAGTACAGCTGTAAAGATTAAGTTAAAAGAAAAGAAAGGTCGACAATTAGATAAAATTAAGGGTGAGGATCTGCTGAACTAAATATTTGAAATGGGAATGCAGAAAGGGGAGGTATGAGGAGGTCGGTGAAGTAAGTTTTAAGAAAATAAGGTTTTGAAATTATACTTGTTCTTTTTTTTGTTTGTGTTTGTGTGTATTGTTTTGTTTGATATAATTTGTAAAATCTTAATAAATATTTATAAAAAAACAAAACAAAACCAAGGTGCCACTGTATATTATATTAAATCAAGCCAAAACCAATAACCCAATAACCCGCCCCCCAAAACCTCACATTCTAAAAGGGTGTTGGATGTCGATAAGATCAACCAAAGGCCTGGTTATAAAAGAACGTTTTTGCCTGGCGCCTAAAGGTGTGTAATGTAGATGCTAGGCAAACTTCCCTGGGGAGAGCATTCCACAGATGGGGAGCCACTGCAGGGAAGGCCCTGTTCTCGTGTTGCCACCCTCTGAACCTCGAGGAGGAGGCACACGAAGAAGGACCTTGGAAGATGATCTCAGGGCCTGGGAAGGTTTATGTGGGAAGAGGCGGTCCTTGAGGTATTGTGGTCCTGAAACATTTAAAGCTTTATAGGTCAAAACCAGCACTTTGAATTGGGCCCGGAAACCAATTGGTAGCCAGTGCAGTCAGACCAGTGTAATATGCTCAAACCGTCTTGCTTCGGTGAGCAACCTGGCCGCTGAATTCTGCACCAACTTAAGTTTCTGAATCGTCTTCTGAACCGCTTTGCAGTAATCTAACCTTGTTTCTGAACCACTTTGCAGTAATCTAACTCTGAAGTTATCAGAGCATAGACAACAGTAGTTAGGCTAACCCTGTCCAGATAGGGGCGTAGCTGGACCACTAGCCAAAGCTGAAGGAAGGCACTCTGGGCAACTGAGGCCACCTGAGCCTTGAGTGACAGCAAAGGATCCAGGAGGACCCCCAAGCTACAAACCTGCTCCTTCAGAGGAAGTGTAACCCCATCAAGAGCAGGCAACCTCCCAGCCATACCAGCTGTACCTTTTCCAGCTCTTATGATTCCCATTTTGTGGTGTCCAGGATCAGGCCAGACTGGACTTCTGTCTTCCCATTGATCCTTTTCTCTCCTGGTCTGTGGTGTAATTCTGCCCTGCTCTTTAAAGTTTACTCAAGTTTCTCTAGTTTAAGAAAAAGAAGTCATGTCTCCCCTCCAACAAAAAAAGCTGAGGGAAGACCCCCATCTTGCAGGGAAGCTGGACCCCTGGAGTTCACACTCCGGGAGCCCCCACCCACTGGTGGAGGAAGAGGAGTGCGGGGGGAGCGCAACCCCACAGGCAGCGCGCCCCGCCCTCGGGATGCACACCAGCCCCCCCACCTGCTCTCCGCCCCCCCCCGGTGCCGGAGCATGAAGCTCCGCCACGGCCCCCAGCTCCCTCCACTGACACCAGAACCCATTCACGTTCTAGCCCCCAAAGGTTGTTGCAGCCATTTTCTGAGCTATTTGTGTTCATGCATTTCCCACTCTTACACCTTACTCTTACATAAACTCTAGAAGGGGTGGGGATCCTGTATGGCTCAAAGGGATATTTCCCCCTCATGTGCCGGGAGCCTTTGGCGTCACACCAGCCCTGTGTCTTATTGAGATTGGGCACAGAAAAGCCAGCCGTCCTGGGCTGGGGGCTTCCTAAGAGTTTGCAGGATCAGGCCAAGAGCCCCTCTAGCCCAGCATGCTGCTCTCACGGAATGGATGCCTCTGGGAAATAAGGGGAAATAAGGCATGGATGGAAGAGCTACAGTGGCCTGGTCTTTAGAGAAGCAGATCCCCTCTCTCCTGAATTTGTGCCTCTGTTTGATTCAGAAATGGCTGAAGAAACTCAGCCAGATGAGCGGGGTATGAATAAATTATTATTATTATTATTATTATTATTATTATTATTATTATTAAATGTACCTTTTTGCAGCTGAAGTCCATATTCTACAGTGTCTGGAAGAGAAAAGGGAACAGAGATTTAGCATTACACCATCATTCAGATAACAAACCTGGAAAGAACAATATGAACTCATGAGATTGTAGCCAGATATTGTGGACTACAAGTCCCATCATCCCTAACCACTAAAAAGCCAGCTGGAGATTATAGGAGTTGCAATTAAAACTACAGAAACTCACCATGCTGGCTATTCCTACATAAGGTGATGTCAAGGTTCATTCCTGACCAAATCTTGGGAGGAGGAGCAGGACCCTCAGAAGATCTCCCCATCAGCAACAAGGTCCAGACATGCCTGTTCCAGGATGGGAGGCCTCAACCCCTCTGCTCCTGGCTGGCTCTTGGACAGCCCCTCTCTCCTTCTGCCTCCCTTACATCAATCTCAGGGGCAAAGGAACAGAGGAGATGCCCGAAAACCTGTAGGTGAGGCTACTTGGGGAAATGGGTGAGATACGTGAAAGCACCTAAGGCCTGACTGAGAGATGGGAAGAGGGCAAGGACAACTTTTTACAGACAACTTGTAATCGTGGAAAGTCAGAACGACCCCCTGAATCACCCCTGCCATCTGAGATCCCAAGATGGCCCCATGAGATTTTGCAGGAGCCTCTCAGAGTCCCGTAAAAAATGGCAGAGGTCTTAAAAGTGATTTGTATGGTGTCCAAACCCTTTATGGTACAAGCTTTCAAGCCCTTTACCTTGCTGACTGGAATCTGGGAGGCTCTCCCAAGATCTCGCAGGAGCTTCCAGAGCCCAGCAAGAAGCGTTTACCACCCATTTCAATTGCCTAAGAAAAATCATTTGTGAATCATCTACATATGAAAGTGTGGCTTCTAGATACTGAAAGAAAATAAATAAGCCTTCTATTTTCCTGGAGCTGGAGTCTTTCATGAACAATTTTAAATATCCAGTACAAAATATTTTCAACCCTTCTTTACTACCTCTCAATTTCTTCATGACTCCCTCCAAGAAGAGATTCATATCACAGAAGTCCCAGAGCCTCCACTTCAGGGCAGGAGGAAAAGCCACAGGAGGATCCTTTAAGTTCTCCTTCTCCTGAGACCTGGGAGGAGAAGAACAATGTCAAGCCAACATCCTTCCAACGCAAGGAGCTTTCTGACAAGGCAGGCATCTCATCCTGATGATAAAGGCACCATGGATATATCATGAAGACTTGGGAGCAGGGTTTTCCTATGGCAAAAGGGAGTATTTAGATAACATGTGGATCTAGAGAGATCCTAACAAGATGAAGTAAAACCAACACACACCTGCTTTCTAAGCATTTTGAATGAAATATATGAACAGGAGATTGAAGATAAAACTGATATATGCTCAATATTTTTTTTTTTGAAGAAAGGTGAACCATACTGGATCCTTATGCAGAGATTTTAAGACTACATCTGATTTAGTGAAGCATTTCAAGTGATTAATGAGCAAAATAGATGTGGAACAGTGGTACCTCAGGTTACAGACGCTTCAGGTTAGAGACTCGGCTAACCCAGAAATAGTACCTTGGGTTAAGAACTTTGCTTCAGGATGAGAACAGAAATTGTGCTCCGGCGGCAGCAGGAGGCCCCAGTAGCTAAAGGTTAAGAACAGTTTCAGGTTAAGAATGGACCTCCGGAATGAATTAAGTACTTAACCCGAGGTACCATTGTAAATGTGTTTTAACACAGTGCAGTGGTACCTCTGGATGCGAACGGGATCCGTTCTGGAGCCCCATTCGCATCCAGAAGCGAACGTAACACGCGTCTGCGCGTCTCGCATTTTGTGGCTTCCACGCATGCGTGTGACGTCATTTTGAGTGCCTGCACCTGTGCGAGCAGCGAAACCTGAAAGTAACGTCCTCCGTTACTTCCGGGTCGCCGCGGAGTGCAACCCGAAAATATTCATCCCGAAGCTACTTCAACCCGAGGTATGGCTGTGGTTATATTTTACAAATGGAGAAAAAAATAGAAAGTAAAGCAGTATTTTCTAAACATGGGAGGGTTTGAAGTTGTCTGGAGGACAAGCCTCTCAGCGGCTGCTATTTGCGACAGCTGGGTCAAAGGCAGTGGTGCCTCTGAAACCACAGGAGGGGAGTGTCCTCTGGGGCTCGGATCCTGCTCACGAGTTTCCCAGAGGCATTTGGTTAGTCACTGTGAAAACAGGATGCTGGACTTGATGGCCATGGCCTGATCCAGCAGGGCCCTTTCTCATCTTCTTATGGCTGAGGAAGAAACTGCAGGAGCCAGAAATATGTCAAATATTTATGGGTAAGTTATAGTGAATATATTTACAAGCACCTTTGGGATGTCCCCCCTTTTTGTATCAATTGCAGAATAAATGAATCTATCACGGAGAAGGGCTTTCAGAGATGTGTAATGGGAACAGCTTCCTTCCCATGTTTATAGATGAGACCAATTGCTACAAATGACTGTGAAAACGTGTCCCTATTTTTGTTTGTGATTTTGTGAAATGGACGATGGAGTCCTAAGCTATCTCTGGATGAAGGAACTGGAACTCTGGAAGTTTCTCACCCTTTAACGGGAACTTTTCTAGCATCTTAAAGCAGCAGATTTCCATCACTTACCTCTGCAAGAAGCTTCTGATATCCTGGAAGGAAAGAAAGAAAAAGATATCCGTGGAGCCATTTCTGCACAGAGTGCTGCGGTCAGTTATAAATACTAAGCAGCTGAAGCAGAGAGAGGTTAGCCAAGCACAAAACAAAAGACCCCCAATAAAATATGCAGCGCCACGTAATTTTGGAATAACCATGAGATGGCAAAAGTCAGCCACTCCAGTGATGACTAATAAAAGGTCCCTTTCTTCTCTTTTGACCAAGTCACCCAAACACCGGAGAGATTCAATCCCACCTCCTTGATTTGCCATTTTGCCCTGCAGCGCATGCTGGCTCCGTGTTCACATGCAACTAATCGGTTCACTGCTATGTACATCCCACACTCAATCATATCCTGGAAACCACCCTGAGACCTCTGAGTATAAGGCAGTATACAAACTTATATATAATAATAATAATAATAATAATAATAATAATAGGTCACCCCCTCTCTGGCTGGACCCAAGAGAGCATCTGAATGAAAAAGTGAAGCAGTGCCAATTTGGAATGCCTGCGTTGGAGGCAGTATCTGTTGTATTCAACTTGCTTTTACTCAGGCACACTGAAATTAATGAACCTAAGATGGTCATCCCCATTAATTTCAATTGTCTACTCTGAGTAAAGGTTAATTGAAGCCCTCTTGGCTTGTGGGCTTCCCAGAGACCTCTGGTTGGCCAATGCGAGAACAGGATGCAGGACGGAAAGGGCCAGTGCTTTGATCTAGTGACAACTTGAAGAAAATATTGGGGGGTGGGCAAGTAAGCTCCGCCCCACATAATCAATCACAATATGCAGTACACCCCCCCATTTCAACAGAAATGTCCATTATTGGGGGGGGCTGGCCCCCTCAAAGATTTTATTGGGGTGTCCAAGGGATCTCAGCCCCTCAGAGGAGGCTCCTATGTACTGCTTGTTTCTCTTACAACAGTATTTTTATGTGGGAAAAGGCTAAGAAATGCTCGCAGTCTGAAGCAGCACACTCCACCCTCTCACATCAGGATGAGGCCTGACCTGCAGGAGTTCACTCGCTGGTTCCTGAAGCTTCTTCTCCATCTCCCGAATGGCACTATCAAAAGCGGAAAGTTCCCTGGAGAGTCTGGCCAGGTGCTCTTCTCTTTTCTTTGCAATCTCCTTCTCCACCTCTTCCATATGAGCCAAAAGAAGCTTCTCTTGTTCTTCCAGAAACTGATGCATTCGCCTGATCTCAGCCACCAACTTCCCCTTCTCTGCTTTCATTTGCTTCTGCAGCAGCAAAAAGAGAAAGAGGAGGAGAACAGCAGGCCACTATCATGCATAATGTTGCAGGATGAAGAGACCAGTTATCAGAATTCACTTGGAAGGGCATGTCTGACATTTTAGAGAGATTTAAGACTACAGCACTTTTTCACCTTCAAATAACAGTGATGCTTACAAGCAGGTCTTGGCTTTCCTTTTCTGCATCTGCTTTAAACATCAGAATTTTCTTTCTCTCCTTCCTCACGTTGTCTAGGCATCTGCTGATCTGATCCTGAAAAGAAAACAAAATTCCAGCTGGGTTGTTTTTTCTTTCCCTTTTTCGAGCGTTTTAGTAATATCAGACAACTGAATCATATGCTTGCTCCCTGCCCCACATTCCCGGGTCCTTCCGGAGGTTCCCCTTCATTCCTGCCCCCTGCCTTGCCCCACCTTCCAGTTCTAGGAGCCTTCACTGGGAGCTGCTTCCAGAGGAAGAACTGTGGGGAGTGACTCCAATATGCTGCAGGGGGACATAGAGGGAAATTAATCTCTCGAAAAGAAGAAGAAATGTTTATTGAATAGTTTTCAGAAGTTTTAAGTTTCACAAGGCTGCACAAAGGCTCCTGCTAGAGGGGGTGGGGAGAATACATTATTTCAACAGTACCTTGGCATCATTCCTGCCTTGCAGGGGGTTGGACTAGATGACCCTTGGGTCCCTTCCAACTCTAAGATTCTATGGTCTTGCAGGCCTGGCTTGCCTACAGCTATTCCATCCCCCGAGCAAATCCAGAGCAGAGGCGTAGCATGGGCCAGCCTGGGGGGAGCCTGTCGTGAGCTGTTGCATCCTTCGCGCAACGTCTTCCATCTGAAGGAGTAACAGGATGGCACCCTGCCAGCCGCACACAGCTTTTGCAAATCTCAGAAAGTGGTGCTGGGCTTGCAGTGCACTGTGAGACTTGCACCCCTCAGAGCAAGGCAGCATCAGCCACGTTGGCTGGCTGAGCTCCCCACTGCATGGCCGAGTAGGTGGCGCAATGCCCCCCTCTTAGCCCCAGTTACTGGGGGTCGCTCCACTGGCACAACCTGTCCCCATGGGGTGCCGCATGCCCCGGGCACCAGCAAGGAACGCTACGTCACTGATCTAGAGTGTTTTCCTACCTTGTACTCCAGGGACGCCTCCTCTATAGGAACCACCTCGTGGCTTTTTTGCTCCTTGGCTCTGTCACAAACCAGACAGATGGGGGCTTCATCCTCCTTGCAGAAGAGCTTCAGGGGCTCCTGGTGCTTCTCACAAACTCTCCCTTTTCCTTCTGCCTCCTCTTTTCTGCCCAGAAGGCTGAATTTCTTAGTTATTTCCACAACATTTGCCAACTGCAGGTTTCGCCTGATGCTGCCTTGTTCCACTGTTTTCCTGCACTGAGGGCAGGAAGCCTCTCCCTCAGATTTCCCCCAGCACTGGGTCAGGCAGGATCGGCAGAAGTTGTGCCCGCACTCCGGGATGATCACTGGATCCTGGAAATACTCCAGGCAGATGGAGCAAGTGGCTTCCTCGCAGAGATCCACGACAGGAATCCCAGAAGCAGCCATGGCCACCGCCCCAGGGAGAGAGAGTTGGTTTCATTTTCACTTTTCCGTCTGCAAATGGGTGTGTTTCCTTTCCAGGAAATTCAGACTCAATGCGTCCAGATCTCTGCTGATACGGAGCTGTGGAGTTAGCTGGAGCAGAGAGCCTCTTTCGTGTAGAGGAAATTACCGTACTTTTTGCTCCATAAGACTCACTTTTTCCCTCCTAAAAAGGGGAAATGTGTGTGTGCTTTATGGAGCGAATGCAGGCTGCACAGCTATCCCAGAAGCCAGAACAGCAAGAGGAATCGCTGCTTTCGTTGCGCAGCAATCCCTCTTGCTGTTCTGGCTTCTGGGATTCAGAATGGTGTTTTTTTTTGTTTTCCTCCTCCAAAAACTAGGTGTGTCTTGTGGACTGGCGCGTCTTATAGAGCGAAAAAATATGGTGATTTCTTTATTTTAAAAGGAGTGCTCTGGGCGGCTGCTCGTTTAAGGAACCATTTCCAGTGAGAGCTGGAGAGAAGTATGGTTGTATTTTCCCTAACTTCACATGAGCCTCAGACTACTTTGAAAACCTAACTCCATTTCCCCCGCAAATGGTTCCATTTCCAGCTCTTAGCCTCAACGTAAAGAGGAGAAGCAGCCCAACTCTCTGTCATGGTGCCTATTTTTAGTGAGTTTGGACAAAATTGCCAGCCTCACTGGGCGCCCCTCTAGGTGAACACTGGGATTGCACAGCATTTTTAGCAATATGAGAAAATTGGGCCCTTCATAATCAAAAAATGACTGGGTCTTTTTTAATCTGCTATGAAGACCCAGTGAAGCTGAAAGGAGGGAGAGTCAGGGCAGGCAAAAGGAAGGACTTCTCTTCACACTGGATTTTGTGGGAATCCGATTAATTTTGCCATGTGCAGAAGGGCTCGAGGGTGGCATGAGGAAGGGGATCCCAGAGACCGAGGCTGAAAGTGGGCCGATGCCTGGAAAAACAAACTCTGGCACTCTTTGGAAAAAGGTGAGTGGTGGGGAGGTACAATCAGAGTTATAGAAAATGTGGCAAAAGTGGACAGGAATACGATTCTCTCCCTTGTAGGCTGTGAGCTAAAGTTCTTGTATGTGCCAAATGCTGTAACGCTCCTAATTTTGGTGCCATTCCATAGGAAAAACCTCCTGTTTTGGGAGGTTTGCAATGCTTGATGTTTTTATTATGTTTTAGATGTGCTGCAAGTCACCCAGAGTGGCTGTGGAAACCCAGCAGATGGTTGGGGTATTATTATTATTTTATTACTTAAAAAGTGTGCCCTAAGGTAAAGGTAAAGGGACCCCTGACCATTAGGTCCAGTCGTGGCCGACTCTAGGGTTGTGGCGGTTGTTAAGTTGTGAGCGAACATATCAGACGACACAGTGATTATTCAAACAGCTCTTGTTTATTCAAGGCCAGAACAGAACTGAACTGAACTGAAGAGCTCAGTCAGCCTGCTTATATAGAGCTCCAGAACAATGTAACTGTTGCAACTTTCTAAAACTATCCAATCACTGAACGTCACTTTTGATCCTTCATTTGCATAACTATCTACAGTATCCCCCTGCTGGCCCAGGGTGAGAACTTCAGTACATAACAGCGGTCATCTTGCTTTATTGGCCGAGGGAGCCGGCATACAGTTTCAGGGTCATGTGGCCAGCATGACTGAGCCGCCTCTGGTGAACCAGAGCAGTGCACGGAAACGCCATTTACCTTCCTGCCAGAGTGGTAACTATTTATCTAAATGCACTTTGACGTTCTTTGGAACTGCTAGGTTGGCAGGTGCTGGGACCGAGCAATGGGAGCTCACCCTGTTGCGGGGATTCGAACCGCCAACCTTCTGATCAGCAAGTCCTAGGCTCTGTGGTTTAACCTACAGTGCCACCTGCATCCCAAAGTGTGCCCTACTCAAAGGTCAATAGTTTGCATGCTAATAATGCAGTCCTTGATCTAATGCCAACGACACAATGTCCCCCACCCGCCTTTAACTGATGAATGAGAGGGAAGAGAAAGAGAGGGAAATGCTTTTGATATTTATGGGCAGAGCCTGGATCATTTTGCAAGGTCTGAGAAATAATAGATTCTGATTGGCTGGAGGTTCTAGTCTATGGAAGGGGCGAAATAAGTGAGTGTGCAGACAAAGCACATGGGTTGTCCACAGGGCTGTTTTAAGCATATCTGGCACGTGGTGCAAAGATCCCTCCGGCGCCCCCGCCCTACCCCATTTCCCAGACTTGTTGACCCTTTATTTAGGGAGGGAACACCAGCAGAAGCGGAGGAAGCCTCAGCAGCTGGAGGGCGGCTCCTCCGGCAGGGAAGAGGCAGAGGCGCCTCCCGGTTCAGCTGGCTGCTTCAGGCCCCACGGCAGGCGGAGGCTCCGGGTGGGTGCTGTTTGGCGCAGCATGGCGGAGGCGGGCAAGGGCGGCCAGCTGATCCACCTCAACCTGTTGGGCGAGCGAGCACACCAAGCGAGAAGGCCTGCGCCGAGCGAAGACGTGTGTGCCGCTCCCGCTTAGCGTCAGCTCTGTTTCCCCCCTTTTAGCCTTCTGGCGCCCTGCAGAATTCGGTGCCTGCAGGCTAAAAGGGAGTTGGCGCTCGGCAGGAACGGCACACTCACCCTCGCTCACTCAGTGCGCTCGTTCGGTGTTCCCCAGACTCTCGCCTGGTGCCCTCCAGAACTTGGTGTCTTGGCGCCCTGCGCCACTAGTGTGTATGGGTAAGATGCCCCCGGTTGTCTAGTCAGAACAGATTTAGTTGACCACATGAACCATCATATGAAAGAAGGTTCAAAACCTGGGTAGATATAATACAGTGGTACATCCAGTTATGAACTTAATTCGTTCCTGAGGTCCATTCTTAACCTGAAGCACCAATTTAGCTAATGGGGCCTCCCGCTGGCGCGCAACTTCCACTCTCATCCCAGGGCAAAGTTTTCTACCAGGAGCAACTACTTCCGGGTTACTGTACATAACTCGAGGTTCCACTGTATATGCATTTGCATATACAGAATCTGGGAGCGAGCCGTTGTATCAAATGACAGCCTTTATACTGTCTTGGCAGATAATCTTCCCTCCTGAGCAACCAATAAATGAAATATAGGTGTCAGATCAAAAGAATTCCTACCTTAAGCTTCCTTACCTGGGGAAGCCTTCTGCAGGCCAGAGTGTGGGCTTTCTCAGCAGGGTGGCCTTGAAGCTCTGCCACATCCCTTTTTGGGGGAAGTTTGGCTTTGTGCCCCAAGAGCATTTCTCAGCAAAAGCTTATCTGGCAGTCGTGTTGAAGCCAAGAGCTGGCTCGGTCATTGTCTCAAGGGCTGTTTGCACACACGCGTGTTCATCGCACGCTTCCTCAGCGCTCGATGTCTGGCAGCTTAACACGCAAACTGACTCCACAGGGAAGCATGGCGTCGGGGGTGGTGTGCAAGTGGCTCTTGTGGCGGCTGATTCATCACAAGCCTCCATGAGACGCTGCCGTCGTCCAGTGAGGGACAGACCTCTGTGAAGCAGCTTGAAGTATCTGGATTTCCTTTAGGGCTGTGGCTCTAAGCATATTAATTTGGGAACAAGTTCCATTGCGGGAAGGGGACAGAGAGAAGGGACAGCCCACGCCAATGTGTTTGGAGGGTGGGGCGAATAGTCCCAAGATCTTAATGCTCCCACTTGAATTACTTGTGAGTTGGGCAGGTGAGCTTTAAACCAAAGCTGGCAGAGTGCTCTGTGTTTGTGAGAGACAGCTGCCTTGATGTACCGTTGGGTCACTAGATGTGGGAACTACAATGTCTAATGCACATGCATGAGATGAGAATGAATTCACTGTGGGTTCCTGTGGAACGTCCTCCCATCAGATGTCAAACAGATAAACAACCACAGAACATTCTGGAGACATCTGAAGGCAGCCCTGTATCGGGAAGTTCTTAAAGTTTGATGTTTTAATATGTTTTTCTATGTGCTGTGAGCTGCCCAGAGTGGCTGGGGAAGCCAAGCCAGATGGGTGGGGTATAAATAATAAAATTAAATTATTATTCTGAGACTGGAATAATGCGAGTCAGGACTGGAAGTTTTAGTGGATAATGTGAGGTAGGCAAACCAGCTCCTTGAGTTGGAACCCGCCTGGTCCCCTGGGAAGCAGTTCTCTCACAGTCCTTCTCCCATAAAGACCCTTATGGATCCGTAACTGCTTGGTTCCTGCTCACTGCAGACAGATCTGCATGGATCTGTCTATTAACTACAAAGCCCCTAAGAGAAAATAATTGTATACATGGGAATCTACCACACCCACCCACCCTGAAATTCCCTAGATTGTCTCTGTTCTCTCCTCAGAGCTTGTCAGTGGTGATGTTCTTGGTCTGCATTCAAAGGCAAAATCACATAAAGGCAGGAAGACCCCCGGAAATGCCTTCTGCAACCTTCCTAGAGGGCAGTAAGGAAGGCGGAGGAAAACCCAGGGCCAAAAGAGTTTAAGCCCTTTGCCTTGCTTTCTGGTCTCTGGAGGCTCTTGTGAGATATCGCATGGCCCCTTCTGAGTGTTACTTCCAAGCCTTGCCCCATCTTGATAATTTTGTTTTGACGAAGCATGCAAGGCAGGGATCGTGTAACTAAGCTGCGTGCAGATTTTGGGCCACTTTGGATATAGAGATTTTACTGAAATGCCACATAAGCTTCCCTGAGCAACAGCAAAGAAGAAGGGATTTTGGTTCTTGCATCTCCACAGCCAGTGAAGGTCTTGGGGGAGGGAAAGGGAAACGGAAAACAGGACGGAGGCTGAGGGAGGTTTTAAGCGATGCCTATTCAGAATTCTGATTTTATTCAGAAGTGATGAGTGTATTCTCCATAGAAAGCTGTAAGTCAGACTTCACTGACTTTCGGGAGGCTGGAAAAAGTATTACATCAGAATAGGCATGAGGGTAGGGGTGCTTTTGTGTTTATTATTAGGCTGCGTCTTTGCCCCTCCTGCACCAACTGAAGCAGCTGATTCCCAAGGGAGAACATGAGGGAAAGACAACAGGCAGGTTTCAGGACTGACTCAACCAATTGGTACCATTTACAGAAGTGGCCTGAGAAAAAAGAGAGTTGCACCATGATGGACACTCGGGTCAGTCAATCACTCTTTTGCCAATACGGCTGCCCCTTTAGTGCCTCTGAGATAAGAGAGAACTTAGATTGAAGATGTGGTGATATGTATCTGCTTGTCTGTCTCTACCCTCAGAGAGTGCTAAGTGGCCTTTGGAAGACACAGAAAACAAGGGCTGGAAGGTTTCTCCTGAGAAGGAGGCTGCTGAGAATGACTGGAGAAGGGCTGCTGTATCAGCATCGTAAAAGGACACCCACCCCCCTTCACAGTTCAGGGCCACTCGGATCCTCTTGGGCTCCTTACGGGGGGAGCAGAACTTGTACCTACCGCCCCACTTTCCCATACCCCAGATCCCTTCACTAGGACCAAAAGAGAACTTGCCCTTCCTCTTCACAGACTTTCTGGCCACCCCCACGGCCCACCCCCCCTCGCTCCCCACAACGACTTCCCAGAAATGTCGGCCTGATGTGAAACCCTCACATCCCAGTACATAGCTATGTATGTCAAATCTCTCAGGGTTGTCTGGCAGGCTTTGACGCACTTCTCCCGCTCTCACACTCTTTCGATCCTCAGACAGGATGAGCCAGGGATTTGCTGTCTCTGGATCCAAAAGTATGTTTTCTGTGGCGGCAGAGGAGGAAAGAGAAGAGGAACCACATCAACTGGGGAGCTGACTTCGCTTTAGACAGAAATGTAATTCCCTCTGAAATGAACAGGGACTCAGTTAACTGTGTTCAGGACTAGGATGCTCCACAAGTTCTTAATAATAATTATTGAAACATCTGTATGGTTTTGGGAGAGTTGTGCCATCAAAAGGAACCCTCTTATTTTCTGGTAATGAAATCACTGTGCACAGAAACCTTACACCAGCCCTGTAAGTAAGGTCAACTTTATTATGCCCGTTTTTCAGACGGGAGGACTGAGGCTGAGAGTGGTCTCTTTACTCACCCCCAAAGCTCATGGCAGAAGGCGTCATCAAAGCAGGGACTCCCTGATTCACAGCTCAATCTTTTCCCTCATGACACACTATGCTTGAAATGCCAGGTAAATCTGGCAGCAGGCCACAGCAGAGAACACACCCTTCTCATGGCAAGCACCAAAGTTCAGTTATGTATTTAAAGGATGTTTTACCCCACCCTTCCAGGCAGTTTATAAAAAGAAAAAACACTGACACCCATAAAAGTGTCTCTATGCTCTGCTGCTTATGAAAGCGACTAGTCTCCCTTAACTCTCTCTGTGTGAAATGACCTTCTTGGGGCTCTGAGAGCAAATCGGGGGGCGGGGGGGTTCTGTTTTGATGAGCAGACGTTGTCAGGCAGGCTGCCTCTCTCTGCAGATGCCAGACAGTTGACTTGCCTGTTGGGAATGTTGAAGCTCTGCTCATCTCATTGATATTGGTAATGAAACTCAAATAGGACAAAAATGCATTCTCCTCCAATGATATCCTTCAAAAGATCATTTTAATGAAGAAGGCCTGGCGCCTTCGTTATACACATTTAAGTGCCAGGCAAAAACATTCCTCTTTAACCAGACCTTTGGCTGATTGACATCTGATGCCCTTTTAAAATGTGAATTGGGAGAGTGTAACAACCTAAGTAAGGGACATGGGGGGTGCTGTGGTCTAAACCACTGAACCTCTTGGGCTTGCCGATCAGAAGGTTGGCGGTTCGAATCCCCATGACAGGGTGAGCTCCCATTGCTCGGTCCCAGTTCCTGCCAACCTAGCAGTTTGAAAGCACGCCAAAAAGTGCAAGTAGATAAATAGGTACCGCTCCTACGGGAAGGTAAACGGCGTTTCCATGTGCTGCTCTGGTTTCGGTGTTCTGTTCCAACCAGAAGTGGGTTAGTCAAGCTGGCCACATGACCTGAAAAAACTGTCTGCGGACAAACACCGGCTCCCTTGGCGTGTAAAGCAAGATGAGCGCCGCAACCCTAGAGTCATTTGCGACTGGACTTAACTCTCAAGGGTCCTTTACCTTTACCAACCTAATTTATCACTTCCTGAAAGTGACAGAAAACCTGTAAGGCAGATGTGGAAACCGCTAACTGGGGGGGGGGGGGTAAAATTGTGCTGCTATTCGACCCTGAAATTTACCTTTTTGCAGCTGAAGTCCAGATTCCACAGTGTCTGGCGAAGAAAAGGGAACAGAGATTTAGCATCACACCATCACCCTGGTAACTAATCTGGTAATGACAATATGAGCTCATGCAATTATAGCTGGGGAAGCCAGAGTGGTGAACTTTAGGCATTGTGGACTACAGTTCCCATCATCCCTAAGCATCAGCCATGACAGCTGGAGCTCATGGGAGTTGCCATTTAAAATGTCTAAAACCCACCATGCTGCCTATCCCTGCATAAGCCAGGGCAGGAGTGATATCAAGATTCAGGCCTGCTCAGACCTTAGAGGAGGAGGAGGACCCCCAGAAGATCTCCCCATCAGCAACAATCTTGAGGAGATGTTGTTATTATTAATTATTTTTTATTATTATTTATTATTATTATTATTATTATTATTATTATTATTATTATTATCATCATCATACCCCACCCAGCCACTCTGCGCAGCTCACAGCATATACAGTGGTACCTCAGGTTACATATGCATCAGGTTACATATGCTTCAAGTTACAGACTCCCCTAAGCCAGAAATCGTGCTTCAGGTTAAGAACTTTGCTTCAGGATGAGAACAGAAATCGTGCTCCAGCTGCGCAGTGGCAGCAGGAGGCCCCATTAGCTAAAGTGGTGCTTAAGGTTAAGAACAGTTTCAGGTTAAGTACGGACCTCCGGAACGAATTAAGTACTTAAGCCGAGGTACCACTGTATTGAAACATAGTAAAAAATCAAACATTAAGAACTTCCTGATACAGGGCTGCCTTCAGTTGTCATCTAAAAGTGAGATAGTTGTTTATCTCCTTGACATCTGAAGGGAGGGCGTTCCAGATGGTGGGTGTCCCTACTGAGAAGGCCCTCTGTCTGGTTCCCTGTAACCTCACTTCTCACAGGGAGGGAACCTCCAGAAGGCCCTCGGCGCTGGACCTCAGTGTCCGGGCTGAATGATGAGAGTGGAGACGCTCCTTCAGGTATACTGGGCCGAGGCCTTTTAGGGCTTGAAAGTCAGCACCAACACTTTGACTTGTGCTCAGAAACGTACTGGGAGCCAATGTAGATCTTTCAGGACCAGTGTTATATGGTCTCAGTAGCCACTCCCAGTCACCAGTATAATTGCTGCATTTTGGTTTACTGTAGTTGTAGTTTCGGGGTCACCTTCAAAGGAAGCCCCATGTACAGTGCACTGCAGTAGTCCAAGCGGGAGATAACTAGACCATGGCAAGACAGCCTGCGGGCAGGTAGCGCCTCAGCCTGTGTACCAGATGGAGCTGGTAGCCAGCTGCCCTGGACACAGAATTGACCTGCGCCTCCATGCACAGCTGTGAGTCCAAAATGACTCTGAGGCTGCGCACCTGGCCCTTCAGGGGCACAGTTACCCCATTCAGGGCCAGGGAGTCCTCCACACCTGCCCACCAGACATCCTTGTTCCAGGACTGGAGTTCTCAACCCCAGTTCCCTCTGCTCCTGGGTGGCTTTTTGACAGCCTCCCGCCTCCTTCACATCAATCTCAAGGCCGGAGGAACAGAGGAGACACCCAAAAGGCTGTAGGTGAGGCTACTTGGGAAATGGGAGAGGTGTGGGAAGCATCTAAGGCCTGGCTGAGAGATTTGAAGCAGTAAAATACAACTTTTTACAGACAACCCACAATGTACGCGAGGGTTACTTTCCTGGGGATTGTCCATAAAGTCATGCAAAATCAGAATTACCTCCCGAATCACTCCCTCCCATTAAAGATCTTGAATGGTCTTGAGTCTCAAATCTTTCATTCTTGGGCAAGGTGATTGAGCGAGTGGTTGCTGAACAACTCCAGGCACGCCTGGAAGAAGCGGACCATTTGGATCCCTTCCAGTTGGGATTCAGGCCTCATCATGGGACTGAAACTGCCTTGGTCACACTGGTTGATGATCTCCGGCGGGCTAGGGACAAAGATGAGAGCTGTTTCCTGGTTCTGCTGGATCTCTCAGCGGCCTTTGATACAATCGACCATAACATCCTTCTGGACCGTCTAGAGGGGCTGGGAGCTGGGGGCACTGTTATACAGTGGTTTCGCTCCTTCCTCCTGGGCCGTGTTCAGAAAGTGGTGGTGGGGGATGAGTGTTCAGACCCCTGGGCTCTCACTTGTGGGGTGCCTCAGGGTTCTGTCCTCTCCCCCATGCTTTTCAACATCTACATGAAGCCGCTGGGAGAGATTATCAGGGGATTTGGGCTGGGTGTTCATCAGTATGCGGATACCCAGCTCTACCTCTCTTTCAAATCAGAACCAGTGAAGGCGGTGACGGTCCTGTGTGAGTGCCTGGAGGCGGTTGGAGGATGGACAGAGGCTAACAGATTGAGGTTGAATCCTGACAAGACAGAAGTACTGTTTTTTATTTTAAACATAATTTTTATTAACAGGCCAATCAAATCACATTATTTCCAAATCACATTAGTTCCAAATTATACAGCCAGATTTTTAAATTTTGTTGGGGGTACCCATACTTCAAGCTCCGAACGGGGGTCCAAGCATCACTTCTATTGCTGCTTTAATTAAAGAGTTCTATCCAGTTCTGTCCTGATAGTCTCTTTATTACTTTCTTCATCTTCTTGTTGTTATCATATATTCCTTTCTTTGCGATCTCTGATAATCTTCACAAGCGGGTTGAAAACAAACATCCTCTGTGTGGGTTTTACACTCTCCAAAAGTTGTATCTCATAGGGACAGCCGCCATTCCACGCCTCCTTAAAAAATTTATCCTCGGTCTGTCCTTTAATTTTCCCAGGCTTGCCAAATATCTCACGAAGGCCTCTGCCAGGTTTAGATCACATTCCAATCATCATTCACATTCCGATGATCCTGGTCCTCCTCCCCCCGTCTTTCTTAGACAAGCCTGTCTTAGCGAGACGCCATGTAAAACTGCGTCATAAAATTTTCCTCCATTCTCCGATATTTACCAATCCTCTCTTTGATCAATAATTCACCCCACACAGTTCTTGAATTCCTGCTTGTGATTAATAAAATGCAACGATTCTTCTTTCTTTGGGGTGGAGGGTTATTAATACTCACATAAGGCAAAGAAAAGAAATGTTTTTTCCTCCACCCCCCTTCTTTTTCACTCCAAACATACCAGTCTCTTAATGGTGATTCATCACTTGATTTATTTGTCCCGCCCGTCGTTCCAGTCCCAGAGATCCATTAATCAGCAGTCTTATCTCCCGAACTTCGCTTGATGTATGTGCTTTAGCTTCTTTCCAATTATATATTTCCAATTATATTTTCGAGCTAAAGCGAACCAGCAAGCGCTAATTGGAGACAACGTCAGGAAGAGCCAACCTCACTGAGGGCTTGTGCCAAGTGACCGGGCACCTCCTTCTTTCGAATCCGGGGGTGCATTATGGACACCACTGGCAAGGCAGTCCCCCCCCCCCAATTCCTTGGGGCAGGAAGACTGCATACTTCCCATAACAGCCTCTTAATTACCTCGTGTGGGTCAGAGAGATATTATTGTCGGCCATCTTCCAATACGCCACCTGGTGGCCCCCAAGACAGAAGTACTCTTTTTGGGGGACAGGAGGCAGGCAGGTGTGGAGGACTCTGTGGTTCTGAATGGGGTAACTGTGCCCCTGAAGGACCAGGTGCGCAGCCTGGGAGTCATTTTGGACTCACAGCTGTCCATGGAGGCACAGGTCAAATCTGTGTCCAGGGCAGCTGTTTACCAGCTCCATCTGGTACGCAGGCTGAGACCCTATCTGCCTGCGGACTGGTTCACCAGAGTGGTGCATGCTCTGGTTATCTCCCGCTTGGACTACTGCAATGCACTCTACGTGGGGCTACCTTTGAAGGTGACCCGGAAACTACAACTAATCCAGAACGCAGCAGCTAGACTGGTGACTGGGAGCAGCTGCAGAGACCACATAACACCGGTCTTGAAAGACCTACATTGGCTCCCAGTATGTTTCCAAGCACAATTCAAAGTGTTGGTGCTGACCTTTAAAGCCCTAAACGGCCTTGGTCCAGTATATCTGAAGGAGCGTCTCCACCCCCATCGTTCTACCCGGACACTGAGGTCCAGCACCGTGGGCCTTCTGGCGGTTCCCTCACTGCGAGAAGCCCAAGTTACAGGGAACCAGGCAGAGGGCCTTCTCGGTAGTGGCGCCTTCCCTGTGGAACACCCTCCCACCAGATGTCAAAGAGAACAACAACTACCAGACTTTTAGAAGACCTCTGAAGGCAGCCCTGTTTAGGGAAGCTTTTAATGTTTGATGTATCATAGTATTTTAATATTTTTTTGGAAGCCGCCCAGTGATGGGCGGGGTATAAATAATAAATAATAATAATAATAATAATAATAATTATTATTATTATTATTATGGCCCCACAAGAGCCTCTTACAGCCTACTAAGCAATGCAGAGGGCTTTAAAGCGATTTTCATGGAAGGATTAAGAGCACCATTTCTCACAAGAGCCTCCACATCCCAACAAGTACTTTGAAATATCTAGTATAGAATCCTCACAGCCCTTCTTTACTACCTCTGAATTTCTTCATGACACCCTCCAGGAAGGGATTTATATCGCAGAAGTCCCAGATCTTCCACTTCAGGGCAGGAGGAAAAGCCACAGGAGGATCCTCTAAGTTCTCCTTCTCCCGAGACCTGGGAGGAGAAGAACAAAGTCAAGCCTCCATCCTTCCAATGCAAGGAGCTTTCTGACAAGGCAGGTGTCTCATCCTGATTATAAAGGCACGATGGATATATCATGAAGACTTGGGAGCAGAGTTCTTCCTATGGCAAAAAGGAGCATCTAGCGGACGTCTGCATCTAGAAAGCATCTAAGAAGTTGAAGGAAAACAGACACACACCTGCTTCCATAGTACATGGAAGGGAATATATGGAGATAAGGCTGAATGTATGCAGATGAATTATTTAGAAGAAAAATAACAATACAAGGTCCTTAGAAAGAGATCTAGAACTGCATCAGTTTTAGCGAAGCATTTCAAATGATTAAAGTTATTAATACCTTTTAGCCCTGTGGTTACATTTAAAGTAGGGAGAAATATTAGAAATTAAAGCAGTATTTTCTAAACATGGAAGATTTAAAAAATATATTGAAGTCATTTGGAGAACAAAGCTCTCAACACTTATTGGCCACGATAGCTGGGTCAAAGGCAGTGGTGCCTCTGAACCACAGGAGGGGAGTGTCCTCTGGGGCTCGGATCCTGCTCACCGTGGGTTTTGCACCGGCATCTGGTTAGTCAAATATGTCAAATATTTAAGGGTAAGTTATAGTGAAGATATTTACAAGCACCTTTGGGATGTCCTCCCTTTCCAGTAATTATTCCACAGTAAATGAATTGATCAGGGAAAAGGGATAAATATGTAATGGAGAGGAATGAGGAATGGCTTCCTTCCTATGATTGTAGATGGGACCAATAGCTACAAATGACTATGAAAATGTGTCCCTATTTTTGTCTGTGATTTTGTGAAATGGACGATGGAGTCCTAAGCTATCTCTGGAAGGAGGAACTGGAGAATGAGTTCCTCTCAAAAGAATTTTTCTAGTAACATAATGAGGCAGGGGTTTCCCATCACTTACCTCTGCAAGAAGCTTCCAATATCCTGGAAGGAAGGAAAGAAAGAAAGAAAGAAAGAAAGAAAGAAAGAAAGAAAGAAAGAAAGATATTAGTGGAGCCATTTCTCCACTCAGTTATAAATGCTAAGCAGCTGAGTACCAGCTTCTGGGAATCACAGGTTTGGATATCACTAATTTTTTTTGGCTTCTCAGAGACCTCTGGTTGGCCAATGAGAGAACACAATGCTAGAATGATGGAGCCTGTGGTTTGATCTAGCAGGGCCCCTTCTGCGTCCCCAGGACTGACGCCTTTCACCCTTCATGTACTGTTTTCCATCCAGCAGCATTTTTATGTGACTAAGAAATGCCTGTAGTCTGAAGCAGCACACTTCACCCTCTCGCATCAGGATGAGGCCTCACCTGCAGGAGTTCACTCGCTGGTTCCTGAAGCTTCTCCTCCATCTCCCGGATGAGGCTGTCAAGAGAGGAGAGTTCCCTGGAGAGTCTGGCCAGCTGCTCCTCCCTTTTGGCTGCAATCTCCTTCTCCACCTCCGCCATCTGGGCCAGAAGAAGCTTCTCTTGTTCTTCCAGAAACTGGTGCAGTTGCCTGAACTCAGCCACCATCTTTTCCCTCTCTGCAGCTGTTTGTTTCTGCAGAAAAGAGGTTGAAAGAAGAGAACAGTGGGCCAATATCAGGCATCTAGTCTGCTCTTGCAGGATGAAGAGGCCAGTCAACCAGATTTCCTTGGAAGGCCACTTCTGACATATTCAGCAGAGAAAGAGCTTCGTAAAAACTTACAAGCCCACCCGCTCCTTTAAATGGTCTTTCATGCTCTGTGGGAGATAGGGCTGCTCAAAAAGAAACCACTTTTTGTATTCCACATTCATTGCCCCCCCCCAAAGACCTTAAAAGAAACAATTATGCTTACAAGCAGGTCTTGACTTTCCTTTTCTGCAACTGCTTTAAACACCAGAAATTTTTCTCTCTCCTTCTTCATGTTGTCTAGGCAGGTGCTGATCTGATCCTGAAAACAAAACAAAATCAAAGTTTGCTTGCTTTTTTTCTCTGTTGGAATTCATAATAACAGGAAAGTTGAATCACATGCTTGCTCCCTGCCCCAAAGACTGTGGTCTTTGCCTTCGTCATCCTGGGAGCCTGTGATGCAATGGGTCAGTGTGTCTGGCTGTTAACCAGAAGGTTGGTGGTTCGAGCCCAACCAGGGACGGCTGTGGGCAGAATTCCTGCATTGCGGGGGGTTGGACTAGATGCCCCTCAGGGTCCCTTCCAACTCCACCATTCTGTGATTCTATCCCTGCCACCTCCATTGCTCCTCCCTCCAGCCCTTCCCTAAGGGAGCTGCTTCCAGAGGATGAACTGGGGGTGAGTTTCTCCTGCAGGGGGACATTAGGGGCACTGTAATCCCCAGAAAGGAAAAAAGAAATGTTTATTGAACAGAGTTTCCAAAGTTTAGTTTTTAGAAGGCTGCACAAAAGCTCCTGCTGGCGAGTGACTCTTTGGCTGCCGGAGGGCAGAATACATTAAAGCGTTTTCTTGCAAGACCCCCTTCTCTGTTGCTAATTCACCCTCATCATCCCCAAAGGAAACCCAGAGAGATTTCCTACTTTGTACTCCTGGGACGCCTCCTCCAGAGGAATCACCTCGTGGCCCTTGTGCTCCTTGGATACATTACACACGAGACAGATGGGGCTTTCGTCCTTCTTGCAGAAGAGCTTCAGGGGCTCCTGGTGCTTCTCGCAGACCCTCCCCTTTCCTTCGGCCCCCTTTTCCTCATGAAGACGGAGTTTCCCGACTGTAAGTTTTTCCACAACATTTGCCAGCGGCCGATTGGGGATGAGGTTCCTGTGCTGAAAGATTTCCCTGCACTGAGGGCAGGAAGCCTCTCCCTCGGATTCCCCCCAGCACTGGATCAGGCAGGATCGGCAGAAGTTGTGCCCGCACTCCGGGATGATCACCGGATCCCTGAAATACTCCAGGCAGATGGGGCAAGTGGCTTCCTCGCAGAGATCCTGCACGGGACCCCCAGAAGCAGCCATGGCTGCTGCCTCACCAGGAAGAGAGAGTTGGTTTCGTTTTCTCTCTTTTGCGACTGCAAATGGGCGTGTTTCCTTTCCAGGAAATTCAGACCTGATGGCTCGCGATCACAGCTGCCTGAAGAGAGGGTGAGTTAGGTGGGACACAGAGTCTTTGGAGCATGGGAATTTATATATTAAAAAGAAAGGGGATAAATCCTGGCTGCCGATTTAAGGAGCCGTTTTCCAAGGAGAGGTGGAGGGAAGCGAGTTTTTTATGAGCTTCATGTCAGTCTGAGTTTTATTTGGAAACCAGTGAATGAATCTGAATCTTGCAAGCCCCTCCCACCCAATGGCTCAAACTCACGCGCCCTTTTCCAGCTGCAAGACACAAAAGTTCAGACTCCAAGGAGCATCGCAGCTGGAGCCCAACCCTCCCCTGTGATGCACATTCCCACGGGACAATTGAACACGAATCTGCAGCCACTGAGAACATGGGATGGAGGCTGGGGAATTTCTAAGCTGCTCTCCAGCTCCAGCGTCTTCCAGTCCTGTCCACCAACCCAGTCCTGTCCACCTGGTCCCATCTCCAGCCCCTCCAATGGTCTGGGGGGGGATATAATTTCTTAAAATAACATTTTTTAAAAGGCTTCCCCAGAAGGATATATTTTATTGGGATGGGGGGAGAAAGTAGGCACAAGGATGTGGCATTTATTTCCTCTTTGCTCCACAGAAGAGATTAAAAAGACGACCTTCCCTCACTTCCTCTTCCCATTTGAGCAGTGGGACTATGTCAGAAATGTTCCTGTCATGTTCCCTCTCCTTGGCTGTTGGTCCTGGTCCTGGTCCTTCAGTTGTCTCACTGCCATGGCAGATAAGGCTGAGTTTCACTCGCCCAAAGGACTTTGAATACATGCTGAAGTTGCAGAGACCAACATCAGGAAACGGTTTAATAAATCTCCCCACCCCACCCCCTCCAAGCAGCCCTTGCAGTCCAACAAAATCCTCCAGAATTCTCTCTTCAATCCCCTCCACAGCCCCATTGTCATTATTTATTCTGGCAAAAGTGGGTAGTATTTAAGTCCTGCTCAGAACAGACCCATTGAAGTCAATAGGCATGACTTAGGCTCATTCATTTCAATGGGCTTACTCTGAGTAAGACATACCTGGAACCAACCCAGAATGTATAGGATTGCTAGCCATCCTAGCCCAGAAGTTTCTCCCCTGCATTTCAGCAGAATCCACCAGAATTCTCTCTTCTCCACCTGGCAGGTTCTGCTCCACCAAACCTGCTGAATGGGAGAACTTGGCTTTCCAGAGGCCCTTTTTCTCACAACCCTCACAATCATGAAGATATGTGTTATTTGCACAGGCCCTGTGGCGGCAGCAGGTCAGGTCAGTGGGGAACTGTTTCTGGGACTGCCAGAACACAACATCATGCTATGAGGAACCTCCTGGCGCAGAGGCCGTCTACCTCTGAATAAGCTGAAGCTGTGGAGGCGAACAACAGGAAAGGGCTTTGGGTCTCAAACCCTCCTTTGTCTCAAGAGGGAGGGAGGTAGCCGTGTTGGTCTGCTGTAGTCAAAATAAAAAAACAAAAAATTCTTGAAAAAGATAATTTAAAAAACTCTTCTAGAAAAAAAAATCCTCCAAAAGAATCAAGTCCATTTTAAAAAAACTTTTTTTTCTAAAAAAACTCCTTAAAATAATCCTTCCAAAAATTGTTCAGTAGCACCTTTGAGACCACCTGAGTTTGTTGTAGGTATGCACTTTCATCTACATGCACACTTCTTCAGAAGTCACCAGACCGGTGTATTTGTGTGTGTTTGTGTGTGTGTATAGTGAGAGGGTGGGGTGGGGTATTTCTCAGAAGGGTGGTGGGAATGGGTGCTTGGCTAATAGGTGTGGTAAACCTGTTGATGACTGTTAACGACTGCAATTGGTCTTGCAGGAAAAAGCTTCAGTGTATCTGAAGAAATGTGCATGCACAGGAAAACTCATACCCACAACAAACTTAAGTGGTCTCAAAGGTGCTACTAAACAATTTTTGGAAGGATTCTTTTAAGGACTTTTTTAGGGATTTTTTTTTTTAAGACTTGATTCTTTTGGAGGAATTGTTTTTCTGGAGGAGTTTTTTAAATTATCTTTTTCAAGAATTTTTTTGTTTTTTTATTTTGCCTTTAAGTGGGTGTGCAAGTCAGTGGCCAACACCACACAGTGTGCTGTGTGAAGAAGAGAATCACCAAAACCTGTGAGCTAATCCTTTTCGTCAATCTATAAAAACATAGGCACTCCTATGTCTACTCAGAAGTAAATCCCATTAAGTTCAAAGGGACTTTCTCCCAGGGAAGTGGGCCCGGGGCTGTAGCTTTAATTTCCTCTTCGCTCCATAGAGCTCAATTAGAAAGTGATACGGAAGGGGGGGGGCATGTCTTCTTCACCTTCTTCTTCACTACAATATATCCATTTATTTCCAATTGTCAATGTCAAAAGGGACTAAAATCTATAAAATTCATAGAAAATCAACGTGCCAATTTGCTCAATTTCTCTAGGACTCCATGACACCTCCCCTGTCCTCCATAATCCCTCAAGCAGGGTGTCAAGACCCTAATCCTGTCAAATCGCTCTGCCAAGCCCTTCCTCAGGGCGATGCCGGGTGACAGACTATGCATACATGGACCATTGTCTTCTCAGGATGTGCTTATCTGCGCATATCTCCAGCTCTGCATATTCCCCCCTCCCTCCTCCATATGTTAATCCATTGTAACCCAACCTCTTCCTAATGTATTCGTGATGTAATCTGTGTAACCCAACCTCTTCTTAATGTATTCATGATGTAACTGGGATGTATTTTGCACTGTATTCTGGGACATGGAGGGAAATTTCAAAAGTTCATGTCACCCCTTTCTCGCTGTTCAATCTTGCCTTGAACCTGTTGCGCAATAAACTTGGATCTGCTGCAGTTTGCTCCTGTCTCCGGCTGAGCTCATTTTCTTCCGCAAGGACCCGCGGACTTAGTCCGACGAGCTGGGTGGCAGAGTAACCCCGCACCCAGATTTTACCGTAACAAAAGACATGCTGCCCTCACTTCGTCTTCTCATTTGAGAATCAGCTTTTGGGTGGCAGAAATGAGGAAATGAAGTTGAAAGGGTTAAGTAACAAAGTGGGGGCAGCGGCAAACTATTGCTGTGGGGATCAGATGGGATATCACCCTGTTTATATCCCTGGGGGAAAGTGTAATGTGGGGTGGATGGGGCCATTATACCATCGAGTCTCAAATAACATAGGAGCAACAATAAGTAGCATCTTTAATAAAATCAAGCAAGTTAACAGATGAAGCATATTTCCACATTTGTTCAGGCAAGTTACACAAAAGGATGAGAGGTGCTCTCTAAAAACATGTAGAGTCATACCTCTAGATATGTTGCCTTCGGGCAACGGAATTTCATGTTATGGACAGCAGCAAACCCGGAAGTCCCGGAACTGGTTACTTCCAGGTTTTGCCGTTTGTGCATGCGCAGAAGCTCGAAATTGCGCCGCGTGCATGCGCAGACACAGCACTTCATCTTATGGACGCTTCGGGCTGTGGATGTGCCTCCCTGTGATGGCCTGGGACTCGGGCTCGGACTCAGAACCAGAGGAGTCTCAGTCGGCACCAGATCCTTTGCCTCAGGCGGCATTAAACCAAGTCTGGGGCCTGATTCTGAAGAGCCCCAGTCTGCACAGGTTCCCCTGCAACAAGCACCAGCTGGGCCGAGTCAGGGGCCTGAGCCTGCCCTGGCTCCAGATGCGGGGATTACCTCGTGGCCTTCAGCTGGGCCATCACTTACAGCTGCTCCACTACCGGTTGGGTCAGGGGAGGCTGAGGTGGCCTCTGGGTCTAGTAACCCACCAACATCTCCCGAGCTGCAGAGACAAAGGTCTGAGAGAAGGAGAGACCTGAGTACTTGTAGGAGGAGTGCTCGCCTTCGTGGGAGACAGGGAGGTGAGTCACCGGGGGATTAGGACTGGTTACCCCGACAAAGATAAAAGGCTGTTGGACCCTGCCCCAGCTTGCGGGAGCAACATTCTTGTTTGCTAGAACCTGCCTGAGACCCTGTGCCTGACCTAGCCTGGTTTCCTGCCTCGTGTCCTGCCTCGGCCCTGTCGGACTGACTCCTCGTGGAATCCTTGGATTCTAGACCGGACCTGGACCACATTGCTCAGGTTAACCCCCGGGCCCAGCACACTCCCGAACGGATTACGTCCACAACCTGAGGCACCACTGTAGATGTTTCTGATTGTTTGCAAGAAGTCACCTTAGAGAAAATAATTGTATAAATGGGAATTTACTACCGCTCCCTGAAATCCCCCAAATTGACTCTGTTCTGTCCTTGGAACTGTCAGAGGCTCTTTCGTTCTGGGGATTAGCAAGACAAGTCAGGGAGACCCCTGCAAATGCTTTGAGGAACCTTTCCTGGAGGTCAGTAAGCAAGGCGGAGGGCTCAGAAACTATTTACAGAGCAGGATTTGGGCACCAAAATGGTGAGCCTCCATCTTGCTTTCTGGGCTCTGGAGGTTCTTGTGAGATCTCACACGGCCCCTTCTGACAGTCACCGCCCCCAGTCTCCCAAACTCTTTTTATTTATTTTTGTTTTGACAAAATGCACAAGGCTGCGAATACCTAAGTGAGTCGCGCACAAATTTTGGATCTCTTTGGACAGAGAGATTATGCTGAATTGCCACATAAGCTGAGGGAAAGGGATTTTGGTTGAGACGACTGAAATGTCATCGTGGTGATGAGTTGTTGGCGTGAGGGTGAGCGTTCATTCTTTCCAGAACTAACTGGAAGTTCTTGAAGATTCCAGAGAATTCTGGAAATTGCTAGAAGCTGTCAGAAAGCTGGACCTTTCGTCAAGGCCACATCTGTGAGAGGAGCAGCTTCTGTTCTAACAGAAGCTGTATAAAAACTGTGTTTAGTCCGCATTTATCTGGCAAGCTGACAGAATGCAAGAAAGGGATGTGGGTCGCAAAAAGCAAAGCCCAGAAAACTCTAACTAAGAAACGCTTCAACAGACAAACTGTAAAAGGGAACCATTATGCTTTTGACCCGGTAGTAAAATATTTCTGTCTGTGCTTAATTGCCTCTGTGAGTTACTGCCTTCGTTGTCTGGGTCAGAGCTCCTGAAGCGCTTTGATGTTGCACATCTCGCTGCTGATTTAGGACTGCTGGCATTGAGAAGCGTACTTAGCAGTGAACTGGGAAGCTTGTCTGTCTCTACATTCAAGAGACTGTCAGGTGGCCTTTGGTGAACATGTAAAAGAAGGGCTGGAGAGTCTCTCCTGAGAAGGAGGCTGCTGAGAATGAGTGGAGAAGGGCTGCTCTATCTGCATCGTAAAAGGACACCCGTCCCCCTTCACAGTTCAGGGCCACTCGGATCCTCTTGGGCTCCCCACCCAGCATTGAAACAGGGGGCCCATCGAAGGTGGAGACCCTGTACTGATCACCCCACTTCCCTATGCGCCAGATCCCTTCCTTAGGACCAGCGGTGAACTTGCCTTTCCTCTTCACAGACTCTCTGGCCACCCCCACGGCCCATTCCCCCTCGCTCCCCACAAAGACGTCCCAGAAACACCCGTCTTCCCTGAACGCCTCACTTCCCAGCACATAGAAATGTCTGTCAAATCTCTCAGGGATGTCTGTCAGCTCTTGACACACTTTTACCCCGCTAGGACCAAAAGAGAAAAGGCCCTTCCTCTTCATAGGCTTTAGGGCAGCCATCCACTTCCTCCTCTCCTCTCTTCCCACAGTGACCTCCCAGAAATGTCTGCCTGATGTGAAACCCTCACATCCCAGTACATAGCCATGCATGTCAAATCTCTCAGGGTTGTCTGGCAGGTTTTGATAGACTTCCCCCCATCTCACACTCTTGCGATCCTCAGACAGGATGAGCCGGGGATTTGCTGTGTCTGGATCCAAAGTTACGTTTTCTGTGGGGGCAGAGGAGGAAAGAGAAGAAAAACAACGTCAACTGGAACCTGACTTTTCATTAGGCACATGACAGAAATAGCATCCCCTCTGAAATGAACAGGGACTCCATGGATCTGCATTCGAGAGAGGAATGTTCATCAAGTTCTTAGTAAGGTTTCTTGAAACATTTGCAGTTCTTTCAAGTGTTTGAAGTACTTAGCGCACATTATCTACAGATAACCCTTGCAACGACCCTGTATGTTAAGTGAATCTTACTATGCCCATTTTTCAGATGGGAGGACTGAGGCTGAGAGACAGTGGCTTGTCGAAGGCCACCCCCACCCCCCACAGTTCATAGCAGAAGGGAGTCAAAATAGGGACTCCCTAATTCACATCTTAATCTTTTACCTCACATCACATTACAGACCACGCTTGACATGCCAGGTAAATCTGGCAGCAGGTGCTCTCGCCCGCCTTGTAACCACCATTCAGGTTTCAGTTGTATATTTAAAGTATGTTATACTCCATCCTTCCAGGTAGTGCATAAAAAGCAAGAAAGTGGTTAGGTTACCCCGCCCCCTGTGTGAAATGTCCTACTTGGGACTCATGACAGCACATCAAAGAATCATAGTATTGGAAGGGACCCCAAGGGTCATCTAGTCCAACCCCCTGCAATGCTGGAATCTCAACTAAAGCACCCATGACAAATGGCCGTCCAACCTCTGCTTAAAAACCTCCAAGGAAGGAGAGCCCACCCCCTTCCGAGGGAGAAGGTTCCACGTTGTGCAAAATTCACAAACCGGAACACCTACTTCCGGGTTTGCAGTGTTCTTTTTCCAAGTTGTTTATAAACTAAGTGTTCCAAAACCAAGGTACCACTGTATATAAAATCAAACCAAAAGCAATAACCCAATAACGCCCCCCCAAAAAACCCCACATTCTAAAAGGGTGTTGGATATCAATAAGATCAACCAAAGGCCTGTTAAAAAGGAACATGGTTGCCTGGCGCCTAAAGGTGTGTAATGTAGATGCTAGGCAAACTTCCCCGGGGAGAGCATTCCACAGATGGGGAGCCACTGCAGAGAAGGCCTTGCTCTTGTGTTGCCACCCTCTGAACCTCGAGGAAGAGGCACACGAAGAAGGGCCTCGGAAGATGATCTCAGGGTCCAGGAAAGTTTATGTGGGAAGAGGCGGTCCTTGAGACATTGTGGTCCTGAACCATTTAAGGCTTTATAGGTCAAAACCAGCACTTTGAATTGGGCCCAGAAACTAATTGGCACCAACTTAAATTTCTGAACCGTCTTCAGGGGCAGCCCTACGTATAATGCTTTGCAATAATCTAACCTTGAGGTTATCAGAGCATAGACAACAGTAGTTAGGCTAACCCTGTCCAGATAGGGGCGTAGCTGGACCACTAGCCAAAGCTGAAGGAAGGCACTCTGGGCAACTGAGGCCACCTGAGCCTTGAGTGACAGCAAAGGATCCAGGAGGACCCCAAGCTACAAACCTGCTCCTTCAGAGGAAGTGTAACCCCATCAAGAGCAGGCAACCTCCCAGCCATACCAGCTGTACCTTTTCCAGCTCTTATGATTCCCTTTTTGTGGTGTCCAGGATCAGGCCAGACTGGACTTCTGTCTTCCCATTGAGCCTTTTCCCCTGGTCTGTGGTGCAATTCTGCCCTGCTCTTTTAGGTTTACTCAAGTTTCTCTTGTTTTAGCAGAGAAGCCATGTCTCCGCTCCAATACAAGACCCCCAATCTTGCAGGGAAGCCGGACCCCTGGAGTTCACACTCAGGCAGCCCCCACCTCCCTCCACTGACACCAGAACCCTTTTACCTTCCAGCCCCCAAAGCCTGTTGCAGCCATTTTCTGAGCTATTTGTGCTCATGCATTTCCCACTCTTACACCTTTCTCTTACATAAACTCTCCTAAAAGGGGTGTGGATCTGGTATGGATCAAAGGGATATTTCCCCCTCATGTGCCAGGAGCCTTTTGCTTCACACCAGCCCTGTGTCTTATGGAGATTTGGCACAGAAAAGCCAGCCATCCTGGGCTGGGGGCTTCCTAAGAGTCTGCAGGATCAGGCCAAGAGCCCCTCTAGCCCAGCAAGCTGCTCTCAGGGAACAGATGGCTCTGGAAAATAAGGGGAAATAATGCATGGACAGAAAAGCTGCAGTGGCCTGGTCTTTTGAGAAGCGGATACCATCTCTCCTGAATTAGTGCCTCTGTTTGATTCAGAAATGGCTGAAGAAACTCAGCCAGATGAGCGGGGTATGAATAAATTATTATTATTATTATTATTATTATTATTATTATTATTAAATGTACCTTTTCGCAGCTTAAGCCCATATTCCACAGTGTCTGGAAGAGAAAAGGGAACAGAGATTTAGCATCACACCATCATTCAGATAACAAATCTGGAAAGAACAATATGAGCTCATGACATTGTAACCAGGTGTTGTGGACTACAAGTCCCATCCTCCCTAACCATTGGCCACGCCAGCTGGAGATTATGGGAGTTGTAGTTAAAGCTATCTGAAGCTCTCCATACTGGCTATCCCTGCATGAACAGGGCAGTGGTGATGTCAAGGTTCAGGCCTGCCCAAATCTTGGGAGGAGGAGCAGGACCCCCAGAAGATCACCCATCAGCAACAAGATCCAGACACCCCTGTTGCAGGATGGGAGGCCTCAACCCCAGTCCCCTCTGCTCCTGGCTGGCTCCTGGACAGCCCCCCTCCTTCTGCCCCCCTTACATCAATCTCAGGGCCAAAGGAACAGAGGAGATGCCCGAAAACCTGTAGGTGAGGCTACTTGGGGAAATGGGTGAGATGCGTGAAAGCACCTAAGGCCTGACTGAGAGATGGGAAGAGGTCAACGACAACTTTTTATAGACAACTTGTAATCGTGCAAAGTCAGAATGACCCCGAAATCACCGCTGCCATCTGAGATCCCAAGGCGGCCCCATGAGATTTCACAGGAGCCTCTCAGAGTCCTGTAAACATGGCAGAGGTCTTAAAAGTGATTTGTATGGTGGCCAAACCCTTCCTGGCAAGAACTTTCAAGCCCTTTACCTTGCTGACTGGAATCTGGGAGGCTCCCCCAAGATCTCACAGGAGCTTCCAGAGCCCAGCAAGAAGGAGTTACCGTCCATTTCAATTGCCTAAGTAAAATCATTTGTGAATCATCTACATATGAAAGTGTGGCTTTTAGATATTGAAAGAAAATAAATAAGCCTTCTATTTTCCTGGCACTGCTAGTGAGCTGGAGCCTTTCATGAACAATTTTAAATATTTTCAACCCATCTTTACTACCTCTCAATTTCTTCATGACACCCTCCAGGAAGGGATTTATATCACAAAAGTCCCAGATCCTCCACTTCAGGACAAGAGGAAAAGCCACCGGAGGAGCCTCTAAGTTCTCCTTCGCTTGAGACCTGGGAGGAGAAGAACGAAGTCAAGCCTCCATCCTTCCAACACAAGGAGCTTTCTGACAAGGCAGGGGTCTCATCCTGATGATAAAGGCACTATGGATATATCATGAAGACTTGGGAGCAGAGTTCTTCCTATGGCAAAAAGGAGCATCAAGGTGATGTCTGAATCTAGAAAGTATCTAAGAAGTTGAAGGAAAACCGACACACCTGCGTTCAAAGCATTTTGAATGAAATATATGAAGAGGAAACTGAAGATAAAGAAGCTGATATATGCACAATTTTTTTTGGAAGAAAAATGAACCATACTGGATCCTTACGCAGAGATTTTAAGACTACACCAGATTTAGTGAGGCATTTCAAGTGATTAATGAGCAAAATAAAATAGATTTGGTATGTGCATTTCTGAAATATAAGGAAGTTCAGAATGCTTTAGAATGGCTTTTGCAATTAACATTATAAATGTGTTTTAGCACAGTGGTTATATTTTACAAATGGACAAAAAAATAAAAAGTAAAGCAGTATGCTCTGAACATGGGAGGGTTTGTAGTTGTCTGGAGGACAAGCCTCTCAGCGGCTGCTATTCGCGATGGCTGGTCAAAGGCCTCGGTGCCTCTGAAACCACAGGAGGGAAGTGTCCTCTGCTGTGGGTTTTGCACTGGCATCTGCTTAGTCACTGTGAAAACAGGATGGTGACTAGATGGGCCACTGGCCAGATCCAGCAGGGCCCTTTCTCACATTTTTATGTCTGAGGAAGAACCTGCAGAAGCCTGAAATATGTCAAATATTTATGGGTAAATTATAGTGAATATATTTACAAGCACCTTTGGGATGTCCCCGCTTTTTGTATCAATTGCAGAATAAATGAATCTATCACGGAGAAGGGCTTTCAGAGATGTGTAATGGGAATAGCTTCCTTCCCATGTTTATAGATGAGACCAATTGCTACAAATGACTGTGAAAACGTGTCCCTATTTTTGTTTGTGATTTTGTGAAATGGACGATGGAGTCCTAAGCTATTTCTGGATGGAGGAACTGGAACTCTGGACGTTTTTCACCCGAACTTTCCCAATACAGTATCTTAAAGCAGCCGATTTCCATCACTTACCTCTGCAAGAAGCTTCTGGTATCCTGGAAGGAAAGAAAGAAAAAGATATCCGTGGAGCCATTTCTGCAGTCAGTTATAAATACTATGGTAAGCAGTTGAAGTGGAGAGAGGTTAGCCAAGCACAAAACCAAAGACCCCCAATAAAATACGCAGTGCCACAAAATTTTGGAATAACCATCAGATGACAAAAGTCAGCCACTCCAGTGATGACTAATAAAAGGTCCCTTTCTTCTCTTTTGACCAAGTCACCCAAACACCTGAGAGATTCAGTCCCACCTCCCTGATTTGCCATTTTGCCCTGCAGTGCATGCTGGTTCCGTGTTCACCTGCGACCAATCGGTTCACTGCTATGTACATCCCACACTCAATCATATCCTGGGAACCACCCTGAGACCTGTGGGTATAGGGTGGTACACAAACTTATTTTAACAACAACAACAACAACAACAACAACAACAACAGGTCACCCCCTCTCTGGCTGGACCCAAGAGAGCATCTGAATGAAAAAGTGATGCAGTGCCAATTTGGAATGCCTGTGTTGGAGGCAGTATCGGTTGTATTCAACTTGCTTTTACTCAGGCACACTGAAATTAATGAACCTAAGATAGTAATCCCCATTAATTTCAATTGTTTACTCTGAGGAAAGATTAATTGAATACAGAGCTCTAGTTGCTTGTGGGCTTCCCAGAGACCTTTCGTTGGCCAATGCGAGTACAGGAAGCAGAAAGGAAAGGGCCCGTGGTTTGATCTAGCAGGGCCCTTCTTGTCAGCTCAGGGGTGACAACTTGAACAAAATATTTTTTTTGGGGGGGGGACATAATCAGAAGATGCAGTACAAACACACCATTTCAATAGAAGTGTCCATTATTTATGGGGGGTCTGGCCCCCTCAAATATTCTACTGGGGCGTCCAAGGGACCTCAGCCCCTCAGAGTTGGCTCCTATGCTGACACCTTTTAGCATTCATGTATTGTTTGTTTCTCTTACAACAGTATTTTTATGTGGGGAAGGACTAAGAAATGCCTGTAGTCTGAAGCAGCACACTCCACCCTCTCGCGCCTCACCTGCAGGAGTTCACTCGCTGGTTCCTGAAGCTTCTCCTCCATCTCCCGGATGAGGCTGTCAAGAGAGGAGAGTTCCCTGGAGAGTCTGGCCAGCTGCTCCTCCCTTTTCTTTGCAATCTCCTTCTCCACCTCTGCCATCTGGGCCAGAATACGTTTCTCTTGTTCTTCCAGAAACTGGTGCAGTCGCCTGAACTCAGCCACCATCTTTTCCCTCTCTGCTTGCATTTGCTTCTGCACCAGCAAAAACAGGAAAAGGAAGAGAATACATCAGATATCTAGTCTGCTGTTGCATGATAAAAAGACCAGAATTCACTTGGAAGGGCATGTCTGTCATTTTAGAGAGATCACAGCAGTAGGAAGAGAGTTTCATAAAAATCTACAAGCCCACCCCCTCCTTCAAATGGTCTTTCATGCCCTGTATTTCAGTTTCCTCACATACTGATTCTAGACCATGGGTAGGCAAACTAAGGCCCAGGGGCCGGATCCGGCCCAACTGCCTTCTGGATCGGGCCCGCGGATGGTCTGGGAATCGCCGCGTGGATCTGATTCTGATCATTTGGGCTGCACCATTTCCCCCTCCCTCACACACACCACGGTGGCGCCTCCTCTTGGCTTCTCTCCGCCCTGCCTAGAGCTGAGAGCAGTGGCGGAGGAGGGAGGAAAGCAGGGAGAGGGGCTGGGGGAGAGGGGGGGAAGTGAAGCCCCCCTTCACCGGGATCCCCGTCACCCAGGCCTGGGGTCGACCCCCGATTGCATCTCCTTTCAGTCTCCAGATATGTGTGTGTCTGTGTGTCTGTGTGTAGTTTGGCCTGCCACAAGATCTGAGGCACAGTGAACCGGCCCCCTGCTGAAAAGGTTTTCTGACTATAGCACTTTTTCACTTCCAAGAAACAGTGATGCTTACAAGCAGGTCTTGGCTTTCCTTTTCTGCATCTGCTTTAAACACCAGAATTTTGTTTCTCTCCTTTCTCATGTTGTCTAGGCAGCTGCTGATCTGATCCTGAAAAGAAAACAAAATTAGATAGATTAGATAGATAGATAGATAGATAGATAGATAGATAGATAGATAGATCTTTATTGTCATTGTCCCATGCAGGACAATGAAATTGCAAAACTACATAAAACTACATTAAAAATACATAAAACTACCACAAAACTATGTAAAAACTACATAAAACATTCAAAAACCCCTAAAAACTCTAAAACCCTATTTTAAAATACACTATACTGTAGAAACCCCTTATGCTGCCTTTAGAACCAGAATTGCATTTGCATAGAAACCGTTTCTCAGGCGGCTAGTCTGAGAATTCCAGCTGGGTTGCTTTTTCTTTCCCTTTTTCGAGCGTTTTAGTAATAACAGGCAACTGAATCATATGCTTGCTCCCTGCCCCACATTCCCGGGTCCTTCCGGAGGTTCCCCTTCATTGCTGCCCCCTGCCTTGCCCCACCCTCCAGTTCTAGGAGCCTTCACTGGGAGCCGCTTCCAGAGGAAGAACTGTGGGGAGTGACTCCAATATGCTGCAGGGGGACATAGAGGGAAATTAATCCCTCGAAAAAAAGAAGAAATGTTTTTTGAATCGAGTTTTCAGAAGTTTTAAGTTTCATAAGGCTGCACAAACACTCCTGCTAGAGGGGGTGGGGAGAATACATTACAGTGGTACCTCAGGTTAAGTACTTAATTCGTTCCGGAGGTCCGTTCTTAACCTGAAACTGTTCTTAACCTGAGGTACCACTTTAGCTAATGGGGCCTCCCGCTGCGCCGCCGGAGTACGATTTCTGTTCTCATCCTGAAGCAAAGTTCTTAAACTGAAGCACTATTTCTGGGTTAGCAGAGTCTGTAACCTGAAGCGTCTGTAACCTGAAGCGTCTGTAACCTGAAGCATCTGTAACCCAAGGTACCACTGTATCACAAGGTTATCTTGGCATTATTCCTGCATTGCAGGGGGTTGGACTAGATCAGGCATAGGCACTTTTCGGCCCTCCAGATGTTTTGGACTACAATTCCCATCATCCTTGACGACTGGTCCTGTTAGCTAGGGATCAGGGGAGTTGTAGGCTTAAACATCTGGAGGGCCGAAGGTTGCCTATGCCTAGACTAGATGACCTTGGGTCCCAGAGGAAGAACTGTGGGGAGTTTCTCCAATATGCTGCAGGGAGACATAGAGGGAAATTCATCCCTTGAAATATGATGAAATGTTTATTAACAGTGTTTTCAGAAGTTTCACAAGGCTGCACAAAGGCTCCTGCCAGAGGGGGTGGGGAGAAGACATTATTTCAAGAGTACCTTGGCATCATTCCTGCCTTGCAGGGGGTTGGACTAGATGACCCTTGGGTCCCTTCCAACTCTATGATCTTGCAAGCCTGGCTTGTCTACAGCTATTCCATCCCCCAAGCAAATCCAGAGCAGAGGCGTAGCATGGGCCAGCCTGGGGGGCGCCTCTTGTGAGCTGTTGCGTCCTTCGCGCAACGTCTTCCATCTGAAGGACTAACAGGCTGGTACCCTGCCAGCCGCACACAGCTATTGCAAATCTCAGAAAGTGGTGTTAGGCTCGCAGTGCACTGTGAGACTTGCACCCCTCAAAGCAAGGCAGCATCAGCCACGTTGGTTGGCCAAGTTCCCCACTACATGGCCGAGCAGGCGGCGCAATGCCCCCCCCCCTTAGCCCCAGTTACTGGGGGTCGCTCCACTGGCACAACTTGTCCCCATGGGGTTCGGCATGCTGCAGGCACCAGCAAGGAATGCTACGCCACTGATCCAGAGTGTTTTCCTACCTTGTACTCCAGGGACGCCTCCTCTAGAGGAACCACCTCGTGGCTTTTGTGCTCCTTGGATCTGTCACACACGACACAGATGGGGCTTTCATCCTCCTTGCAGAAGAGCTTCAGGGGCTCCTGGTGCTTCTCACAAACTCTCCCCTTTCCTTCTGCCTCCTCTTTTCTGCCCAGAAGGCTGAATTTCTGGGTTATTTCCACAAAATTTGCCAGCTGCTGGTTTGGCCTGATGCTGCCTTGCTCCACTGTTTTCCTGCACTGAGGGCAGGAAGCCTCTCCCTCGGATTTTCCCCAATATAGGATCAGGCAGGATCGGCAGAAGTTGTGCCCGCACTCCGGGATGATCACTGGATCCCTGAAATACTCCAGGCAGATGGGGCAAGTGGCTTCCTCACAGAGATCCACGATGGGACCTCCAGAAGCAGCCATGGCCACCGCTCCAGGGAGAGAGAGTTGGTTTCGTTTTCTTTGCTTTTCCGTCTGCAAATGAGTGTGTTTCCTTTCCAGGAAATTCAGACTCAATGCGTCCAAATATGATATGGAGCTGTGGAGTTAGCTGGAGCAGAGAGCCTCTTTCGTGTAGAGGAAATTAATTCCTTTATTTCAAAAGGAATGCTCTGGGCGGCTGCTCATTAAAGGAACCATTTCCAGTGAGATCAGGAGAGAAGTGAGGTTGTATTTTCCCTAACTTCACATGAGCTTCAGACTAATTTTAAAACCGATGAATGAATCCTAACTCCATTGCCCCCACAAATTGCTCCATTTCTAGCTATTCGCCTCAATGTAAAGAGTAGAAGCAGCCCAACACTCCATCACGGTGGCTATTTTTAGTGTGGACAAAATCACCAGCCTCTCTGATAACGTGAAAAAACACTGGATCCGCCCCCTAGGTGAAGACTGGGATCACACAGCATTTTTAGCAATATGAGAAAATGGGGTCCTTCATAATCAAAAAAATGACTGGGTCTTTTTTAATCTGCTGTGAAGACCCAGTGAAGCTGAAAGGAGGGAGAGTCAGGGCACACAGAAGGAAGGACTTCTCTTGTTACCGGAAAAATCCGAGGGCTCCCTTGGACAAAAAGTAAAGACACCAACCAGAGTTGTTGTTGTTGTTTAGTCGTTTAGTCGTGTCCGACTCTTCATGACGCCATGGACCAGAGCACGCCAGGCACTCCTGTCCTCCACTGCCTCCCGCAGTTTGATCAAGCTCATGCTGGTAGCTTCAAGAACACCATCCAACCATTTCATTCTCTGTCGTCCCCTTCTCCTTGTGCCCTCCATCTTTCCCAACATCAGGGTCTTTTCCAAGGAGTCTTCTCTTCTCATGAGGTGGCCAAAGTATTGGAGCCTCAGCTTCAGGATCTGTCCTTCCAGTGAGCACTCAGGGCTGATTTCCTTCAGAATGGAGAGGTTTGATCTTCTTGCAGTCCATGGGACTCTCAAGAGTCTCCTCCAGCACCATAATTCAAAAGCATCAATTCTTCAGCGATCAGCCTTCTTTATGGTCCAGCTCTCACTTCCATACATCACTACTGGGAAAACCATGGCTTTTACTATATGGACCTTTGTTGGCAAGGTGATGTCTCTGCTTTTTAAGATGTTGTCTAGGTTTGCCATCGCCTTTCTCCCAAGGAGCAGGCGTCTTTTAATTTCGTGACTGCTGTCACCATCTGCAGTGATCACCAACCAGAGTAAATTGGAGCAAATCAGCAGCTTGTAGGCTTGGTCTTTATTGAACTGTTGCAACAGGGTGTTCCCCTCACTTGCAGGAGAGAGGAAAAGACACAGAAAATGGTGTGCAAGACCTTATAAAAACTTTTGAAATTCCCATCCTCTAGGTCAAGCCCACCCCCAGAAACATCATGCATACATTACAGAAAGGAGGGGTTGAGGGAGGAGTTGTGGTGGTAACCTGAGTGTCCTGTCACCTGGCTGGTTCCCCTCTACTCCTCCCCATGAGTCATTTTCTGAAGACAAAAGGTAGTCACAGTTTCCTGCCCCCTGAGGGAAGATCTGATCATTGTCCTTTGTTCCAGTCCATGCAGAATCCACTCCCATATACAAGTTCTTTGTGATCTTGATTGTCTTCTGTCTGGGACCATCAGGGTTGGCATAGCAACTGGGCAGGGCTCCTGTGGATGTGCTGGGCTGGCCTGTATCAAACCTTCCCCATTTTGTAGTCCTTCCTTCATGGAGTAAAATAAAAGTGGAGCAGTGCAAATCCGATGTATGGTTGATTTTCTATGAATTTATAACAGAAGTGTAGCGTATGTAGTGTGTGAGTGTGAGTGTGTGTGAAGTTTGTACAAACTGAATGATGGGGGGGTGTTTCCTGCTACACTCTTCACACCGGATTTTGTGCGATTCCGATTAATTTTGCAACATGCAGAAGGGCTCGAAGGTGACATGAGGGAGGGGATCCCAGAGACCATGAAATAAATATTTAATTGCCTCCCCAAGGGGCCCCTGCCTCAGAAGGAGGACTAGGACCTTGGAAGGAGCGCGATGGAAGGCTCCGTACCAGTCGGGAAAAGACAGAGACCACACCAGGATTTGGAAAAAGCAAAGCCTGATCTTTGTTTAAAGAACAGGAGGGGGGGGGAACACCACAAAAAACTGTTGCAACAGGGTCCCTGCTCACGCAATGACACGGAGTCAGAGACCCCGAACAAAAGGACTGCCTTGATTCTTATACCTTTTGATTTTCTTTTTTTATATATATATAAAATAATATTTATTAGTTTTCCAACAAATTAAACACAACACTACAAAACACCAAAAAAGAAAAAACATACAATACCAAAAAAAGAAACAAACAAAACAAAACAAAAACCATTTAAAACACAATCCAATTTCAACATCTTATCTTTCTTTCCCTTATTTCCTCGACCTCCTCACACCTCCCCTTTTGTATTCCACTTCTGTTAATTGTTTCAGCAATTCCTTTCCATCTTCCTCTGTTTTCTATCCTATAATTGTCTTAACACATTCTAAGCATATTTTTCCCTTTAAAGCTCTATTAATCTATTTATACTTAATTCCTTGTAACATTTCTACTAAAGCCATATAATTTCATTCCAACATTTTTCTAACATTAATTTTACAGTATTTCTGTAAATAGTCTTTAAACTTTTTCCTGTCTTATTCCACCGACTCTTCCCCCTTGTCTCGGATTCTGCCAGTCATTTCTGCCAATTCCATGTAGTCCATCAACTTCATCTACCATTCTTCCCTGGTGGGTAAATCTTGTGTCTTCCAATAACATGCGATGAGTATTCTTGCTGCTGTTGTTGCATACATAAAAAAAGTTCTATTCTTCTTTAACACCAATTGGCCGACCATGCCCAGGAGAAGGTCTTATACCTTTTGATTTTCATCCAGATCAATAGCAGCGGAGGTGGCGGGAAGCGACAGGAGTGGTGCGAAGAGTGGATTAACATAAGGTAAGTAGGATGTTGAAAGACTTTTGGGAGGTGTCAATTTGCTGAAGGGCTCAGGTGATATGTGTTATTTAATTTTGGATCTGCTTAAATGGCTTTTCCTTTAACTACAGGAAAGCCTCCGCAACTGCTGATAATCCACATGCAGATGTGAGGCTGGATGTTTGAGAAGATGTTCAGGAAATGGCTAAAATATTAATGTGAAATCCTATTCTGTATTGCTATCAATTCAGGTGTGATAGCCTGATGTTTGCATACTTTTTGGAAAATAAAACTGCTTTATTTTGAGCTCATGTCTGTGTGCATTCATGGTATGGTTTGCAGACCCAGTAGGAGCCAGTGTGGTGGATTGAGTTTTGGCAGCCTTTTAGATACAATATTGAGTCAAGTATATACATTTTGAAATACTTAGATTGTTACAGTGGTACCTCGCAAGACGAATGCCTCGCAAGACAAAAAACTCGCTAGACGAAAGGGTTTTTTGTTTTTTGAGCTGCTTCGCAAGACGATTTTCCCTAAGGGCTTGCTTCGCAAGACGGAAAGGTCTTGCAAGTTTGTTTCCTTTTTCTTAACACCGTTAATATAGTTGCGACTTGACTTCGAGGAGCAACTCATAGAATGCGGTGTGGTAGCCTTTTTTGAGGTTTTTAAAGACTTTGGTGATTTTTGAAGCTTTTCCAAAACTTTTCCGACACCGTGCTTCGCAAGACAAAAAAAATCGCAAGACAACAAAACTCGCGGAACGAATTAATTTAGTCTTGCGAGGCACCACTGTACATTCTTTAAAACTACATTTTGGATACATTCAGAAAAGTACAGCATACTACGGCATTTCATTAAAGATATATTCACAAATACATTTTGTAAGGGAAACACATTTTAAAAGGATAGCTTCATGGAGAAAAGAGGTACACTTCGTAGAGAAAAGATTCATTTCAGTAAGGGCACCTCAGGGAGAATACATTTAGACTCATTTCAGTGAGACATGAATAGCAACAGGCACATTACATTAAGATGATGCAAAAAAATGGAAAAGGCACACATTATATCACATTCAACGATGTGTAAAAAGTCACAGGAAGATGACATATTCCCAACGATGCGTTCTTCAAGGCACAGTTTATTATTGTTGTGGGGCTTTTGTGTAAAATGATATCATTATGATCATTTCCCCTTTATTCCCCTCTCTGACCCTGATTCTCTTATGACAACCGAGGCTGACAAGTGGAAAAACAAACTCGGACTCTTTCTGGAAAAAGGTGAGCGATGGGGAGGCATGGTAAGAGTTATAGAAAATGTGGCAAAAGTGGACAGGAATATGATTTTCTCCTCATAGGCTGTGAGCTCAAGTTCTTGTATGCGCCAAATGCTACAATGCTCCTAATTTTGGGGCGTTTCCATAGGAAAAACCTCCTGCTTGATGTTTTTATTGTTTTTAAATATGCTGTAAGCCGTCCAGAGTGGCTGAGGAAACACAGCAGATGGGTGGGGTATTATTATTCTTATTTTATTATTTAAGAAGTGTGCCCCACTCAAAGGTAACAATTTGCATGCTAAACATGCGGTCCTTGATCTAACGCCACTGTCTCACACCCACCTTTAACTGATGAATGAGTGGGAAGGGAGAAAGAGAGGCCAGGGCCGTAGCTAGGGGGTGGTGAGGTAGGCCCCTGCCAGGGAAACAGGTGAGGGGAGGTGCAAAATCGGCTAAAAATATGTCCATAAATATGTCCATAAATAAAAATATTGATTATTGCCTCATAAGAAAAGGTTTTGTGATAGGAATTTTGAGGTCTTAGATATATTGTAATGTTCATAAGCGTACCAACCAAGCACGTACATAGATCAGCACAGGAAGACCGACCTGGAACCATTTTGATTCCTAAACTAAGCAAATGTTTTCTCTGCAAGGTCAAAGTGGGAAACTTCCCCATTGTCTCTTTCCTCTCAAATCCTGTCTTAAGGGCACATTTAAGATATGAATAGGGTGTGAGCCTGTGACCTGGCCCAGGAACTAAGTATTTATCATTACAAAAGGTGGGCCAGGCTCCCCAGGAAATCCAATCAAGTAACCTGCCAGACAAGAGATAAACAACGACAGGAGAAAAACAACATTCAAATTTCTGTTTTACACCGCCTTTTCTGTGATGTATGTGTGCTGTTTCTGGGGTTGGTCATGATCTACAGGGTGACAATTTCAAATGTCTTTATAAGGCCTTGCGCGCCATGTTTCTGGGTTCCTCCTCTCTCCTACGGGTGAGGGGAGCACCCTGTTGCAACAGATCAATAAAGATCAGGCTTACTAGCTGCTTTGCTTCTCAATATTCTCTGGTTGGCCTCTGTTATCTTCTCCTACCAATAGGGAACCTATGTAAGGACTCTATATGGGCTCTTTGATACCGCATAAGGGAAAAGGGCAATTTTTGTTCACAGCAGTTTTTAATAGAGGGTGAATTGAATGGGTGGAGGGGTTGGAGGAGAGGTGGAAAGAAAAGCTAATTCGTCCATGGTTGGGGGTGCAATCTGGACAGTTCTGCCAGGGGCACAAAATCACCTAGCTATGGCTCTGAGAGAGGCGAATGCTTTTAATATTTATGGCCAGAGCCTGGATCAGGTAAGGAAGGAAAGGGATTCTGGAGCTTCGAACTCTATGACCAGTTCCTTGCTGAAGGAAAAGGGAAACTGAGAGCAGGATTGAGGCTGAGGGAAGTTTCAAGTGGTACCCATTCAAAATTCAAATTTTATTCAGAATAGTTGATGGTATTGTCTATAGGAGGCTGTCTCTCACTGTCTTTCAGGAGTTTGAAGAACTAAATCAGAACAAGAGCGAGAGTAGGATTGTTTTTTTATTCCAATTACTAGGTCACTTCCTTTCACCTCTGTTCCCACTGCACCTATTGAAGGAGCTAATTCCCAAGGGAGAGCATGAGAGACGAAAGGCAGGTTTCAGCTGCTAGAATAGTGATTGCTGCTAGGTGGAAGTCACAAACTATACCCACAAAAGAGGAATGGATTTGTAAACTAAATGACTATTTAATTTTGGCAAAATTAACTGCTATAATAAGAAATCAGTTGAATCAAAAATTAAAAAGGAGTGGAAATGTTTTGATGAATATATGGCAAAATATTGTTCAAAAAAATATGCTAATATGCCTAGATTAAAATGTGAAGTACTGGATGGAAGAAAAATTAGTAAGGAAAGATAATTAGAATATAGAGATGACTTGAGAAGACTGTAGAATGCAAAGATTTTTTTTTAAAGTATTTTTTATTGGTTTTACAAAAAAATTTTATAGACAAAACAAACAAATAAAGAAACAAACAAACATGTATAATTTCATATCCTTTTTTTCATAAACCTCACTTCTCTGACTCCCCCAGACCTCCCCTTTCTACATCCCAATTTCCAAAATTATTTCAGCAAATCCTAAACTTAATTTTATCAAATGTACCCTTCTTTATTCTTTTCTTTTACTTGTAGAATGCAAAGATTATTGTAAATATGTATAATGTGGAGGAAATCGAGTGGGGGCGGAGGGAAGTGGGAGGAGGGAGAAAAGAATAATATGATGGATTGAGGAAATAGAAACGTAAATGTATGGGGGGATGGGGAGGAAGTGGTGTTGGCTTTGGCACATTTGTATTATAATGTAATATGTGAAAGGCAGGTTTCAGGACTGGCAGGAGAGTCAAGCAATCGGTGCGGTTTACAAAAGTGGCCTGAGAAAAGAATTACGCCATGACAGAGACTCGGGTCAGCCAATCACTGTTCTTCCAATACGGCTTCCCCTTTAGTGCCTCTGAGAAAAGTCTGGAGAAGACTTGTCTGTCTCTACACTCAAGAGATTGTCAGGTGGCCTTTGGCAGACACGTAAAAAAAGGGTTGGAGGGTCTCTCTTGAGAAAGAGGCTGCTGAGAATGTGTAGAGGAGGACTGCTGTATCTGCATCGTAAAAGGACATCCGTCTCCCTTCACAGTTCAGGGTCACTCGGATCCTCTTGGGCTCCTCACTTGGAAGAGGGAACTCATGGGGGGAGGATAACTCGTACCCACCGCCCCACTTACCCAAACCCCAGATCCCTTCCCTAGTATCAAAACAGAACTTGCCCTTCCTCTTCACAGACTTTCTGGCCACCCCCACCCCCACCCCTCCTCACCTCCCACAATGACCTCCCAGAAATGTCTGCCTGCTGTGAAACCCTCACATCCCAGCACATAGCCATATGTGTCAAATCTCTCAGGGTTGTTTGGCAGGTATCTAAACACTTTCCCCCTTTGCACACTCTTTCGATTCTCAGACAGGGAGAGCCAGGGATTTGCTGTGTCCGGATCCAATGTGACGTTTTCTGTGGGGGCAGATGAGGAAAGAGAAGAGAAATGACGTCAGCTGGGAGACTGACACTTCTTTAGACACATGAGAGAAATATGAGAAGGGTTTTCATGCACTGCGTTCAGAACTGGGGTGCTCCTTAGGTTCTTAATAATGATTCTTTAAACATCTGCAGTTCTTTCAAAGCACTTCACACACCTCTCTCCTGAAACTGTGCCTCCTTTAGATCCTGAAATTTACCTTGATGCAGCTGAAGTCCAGAGTCCAGAGTGTCTGGAGGAGAAAAGGGAAGAGAGATTTAGCATCACACCACCATCCAGAGAACAAATCTGGTAACAACAATATGAGCTCCTGAGATTGTAGATGTGGTGCCAACCCATCAGTCCGAACCACCAGCCACACCAGTTGGAGCTTAGGAGAGTTGCAGCTGAAAATGTCTGGAAGATACCACAATGGCCATCCCTGCATAAGCCAGGGCAAGGACAATGTCCAAGTTCTAGGGCTGCTCAGACCTAAGAAGAAGAGCAGGACCTCCAAGAGACCTCCCCGTCAGTATCAACCTTGAGATGTAAGATCTCTTCCAGGACTGGAGATCTCATCCCCAGTTCCCTCTGATCCCAGATGGCTTTTTGACAGCCCCCCCACCGCCTCCTTCACATCAATCTCAGGGCCAAAGGAACCGAGGAGACGCCTGAGAGGCTGTAGGTGAGGCTACCTGGGAAATGGGTGAGGAGTGTGAAATGGGTGAGGAGTGTAAGGCCTGGCGAGAGAGATGTGAAGCAGTAAAATACAACTTTCTACAGAGAACATACGTGAGGGTTACTTTCCTGGGGATTGTGCATAAAGTTGTGTAATGTCAGAATGACCCCTGGAATTGCCCCTGCCATCTGAGATCTCGGACAGCCCTGCGAGACCTCGCAGGAGCATCTCAAAGCCCAGTAAGCAAGGAGGATGGCTTAAAAGCAAATTCCGTGTAGGGATTAAAAGCGCTTTTTCTCATGAGAGCCTCCAGATCCCAGCCAATGAGGGCTTCCTGCTTGCTTTCTGTTTATTTATCTGCAATCCACATAAAAGTTTTTTTTGTTTGTTTTGTTTTTTAAATAACGTTTATTGATACAACAAGAAAAAAGAAAAAGAACACAAATACCAAATTGCACACAAGAGTAACCATAGACACATAATTTTCTTAGCAAATAATAAAACATCTATTGGTCTTAACACTAAAGACCCAACCTCCCGTCTATTCCATATTTCAAATTCATATTACTTATTGCCAATACACACTTTTATCATAATTAAACTTATTCTTAATAAATCTAATTTCTTATATCTACCTTGCAACTATTACTGAAGTTCCTCGAATTTAAACTATTATATTTATTTTTCATATATTCTTTGAAAACCTCCCATTTTGAAACAAATTCCTGTTTTGATTTATTCTTTATTTTTTCTGATAAACCATCTAATTCGGCATATTCTGTCAGCTTTTGAATCCAATCTTGTATAGAGGGGATTTCATTACTCTTCCATTTTGCTGCGATTAAAACTCTTGCTGCCGCCATCGCATATAAAAAGATACCCTTCCTCTTTTGTGGAATATCCAAATCTATTATTCCCGGGAGGTAGGCCTCTGGTTTTTTATTGAAAGAGATCTTTAGCATTTTTTGCAGTTCTGCATGTATACTCTCCCAGAATACCTGTATTTTCCTACATATCCACCACATATGGTAGAATAAAAGTTTTGATTGTGTAAGTAAAACCAGCATGATGTGAGTCATCTGTATATTAAAGTGTGGCCTCTGGACATTGTAATAAAACAAAAACATAAACTTTTCCCCGCATTACTAATATTACGTATGACCTGGAGCCTTTCATAAACACTTTTAAACATTCAGTATAAAATCCCTGTTGCCTTTCTTCATTACCTTTGAACTGCTTCATGACTTCCTCCAGGAAGAGATTCATATCACAGAAGTCCCAGATCCTCCACTTCAGGGCAGGAGGAAAAGCCACAGGAGGATCCTCTAAGTTCTCCTTCTCCTGAGACCTGGAGGAGAAGAACAAAGTCAAGCCACCATCTTTCCAACGCAGGGAGCTTTCTGAGAAGACAGGTATCTCATCCTGATGATAAAGGCACGATGGCTATATCATGAAGACTTGGGAGCAGGGTTTTCCTATGGCAAAAGGGAGCATCTAGAGAGCACCTAACAAGATGAAGGAAAACCGACACACACCTGCTTCCAAAATATACAGAAGGAAATATAGGAATATGAGATTGAAGGTAAAGAAGCTGATATATGCAAATTTTTTTTTTTTGAAGAAAACTTAACAATACAAGGGTCTTAGGCAGAGATTTGGACTACACCAATTTTAGTGAAGCGTTTCAAGTGAATATAATAATAATTATTTTTTAGCCCAGCGGTTACATTTAAAAAAGGAAAAAATATTAGAAATTAAAACTGTATTTTCTAAACGTGGAAGATTTTAAAATATGTTGCAGTTGTTTGGGGGACAGGGCTCTCAGCGGCTACTATTCATGATGGCTGGGTCAAAGGCAGTGGTGCCTCTGAAACCACAGGAGGGGAGTGTCCTCTGGGGCTCAGATCCTGCTCACGGGCTTCCCACAGGCATTTGGTTAGTCACTGTGAAAACAGGATGCTGGACTTAATGGCCATGGCCTGATCCAGCAGGGCCCTTTCTTATGTCTGAAGAAGAACCTGCAGAAGCCAGAAATAACGCTGGATACTTAAGGGTAAGTTATAGTGAAGATATTTACAAGCCCCTTTGGGGTGTCCCCCCCTTTTTGTATCAATTGCAGAGTAAACGAATCCGTCACAGAGAAGGGCCTTCAGAAATATGCAGTGGGAATGGCTTCCAGTCTGTGATTGTAGATGGGACCAATAGATACAAATGACTACGAAAACGTGTCCCTGTTTTTGACTGTGATCTTGTTAAATGCATGATGGAGTCCTAAGCTATCTCTGGAAGGAGGAACTGGAGAGCGAGTTTCTCACCTGTTGAACTGGAACTTTCCTAGAATCAGAATAAGGCAGGGGTTTTCCATCACTTACCTCTGCAAGGAGCTTCCGATATCCTGGAGGGAAAGAAAGAAAGATGTCAGTGGAGCCATTTCTGCACTGATCACTGCAGTGATGACTAATAAATGCTCCCCTTCTTCCCTTTTGGCCAAGTTGTCCAAATAGCTGAGAGATTCAATCTCACCCTGGTTTACCATTTTGCCCTGCAGTGCATGCCGGCTCCATGTTCACCTGCGACCAATTTGTTTACTGCTAGGTACATCTCATACTCCAGTCATAGATCCCAGGACAGCACCTGAAGGAACATGTGCTTGATGCAGTAATGATCACCAACTTGGAAGGGTTTGGAAGGTTGGGTTATGAAAACTAGCCACAAAGTGTGGGAGGCAGTATCAGTTGTATTCAACTAGTTTTACTCAGATACACTGAGGTGGCAAGAATACACAGAGGAATTATACCAGAAAGATATGGATGGCTCGTACACCCCAGGTAGTGTGGCTGTTGACCTTGAGCCAGACATCCTGGAGAGTGAAGTCAAATGGGCCTTAGAAAGCACTGCAAATATAAAATTGATGAATGATAAAAAAATGTTGGAATGAAATTACTTGGCTTTAGCAAAGATGCTTAAAGAATTATGAAAGAATATTATGATTATAAGAAGCTGGTAAGGATAAGATTTAAGTTTTAAGTTTTAAGGTTTATTTTATTATAGAAAGATAAGATCAAAATAGTCTAGGGTAATGCAATGACAGAATTTTATGAAACATGGAAAGGATTTGCTGGGATAATTAATAACTAGGATACAAAGAAAGGGAGGAGGAGGAGGTCTAAGAAAGAAGGTAATGACAGTTAAGGATCTGAAAATAATGAATTTGTTTTTAAATGTTTGGGATTTTTGTATTTTTCTTTTTTTTGTCATTTTTTTTCTTATTTTGAATTTTTTCTTATATGGTGGGAAGGGGTTTGTTTTTTTCCCCTTTTTTTCTACTTTGTTAACTATTCTTACTTTTTGTATTTTCTTCTGTTTCTACTTTGTTTGTTTTTCCTTTTTGTAACATTTTGAAAATTTTAATAAATATCTTATAAAAAAAAAATAGAAAGCACTGCAAATAACAAGGCCAGTGGAAGTGATGGTATTCCAGCTGAACTATTTAAAATTTTAAAAGATGATGCTGTTAAGGTGCTACACTCAATATGCCAGCAAGTTTGGAAAACTCAGCAGTGGCCAGAGGACTGGAGAAGATCAGTCTACATCCCAATCCCAAAGAAGGGCAGTGCCAAAGAATGCTCCAACTACCGCACAATTGCACTCATTTCACACACTAGCAAGGTTATGCTTAAAATTCTACAAGGAAGGCTCAAGCAGTATGTGGACCGAGAACTCCCAGAAGTGCAAGCTGGATTTAGAAGAGGCAGAGGAACCAGAGACCAAATTGCAAACATGCGCTGGATTATGGAGAAAGCTAGAGAGTTCCAGAAAGACATCTACTTCTGCTTCATTGACTATGCAAAAGCCTTTGACTGTGTCGACCACAGCAAACTATGGCAAGTTCTTAAAGAAATGGGAGTGCCTGATCACCTCATCTGTCTCCTGAGAAATCTCTATGTGGGACAAGAAGCTACAGTTAGAACTGGATATGGAACAACTGATTGGTTCAAAATTGGGAAAGGAGTACGACAAGGCTGTATATTGTCTCCCTGCTTATTTAACTTATACGCAGAATTCATCATGCGAAAGGCTGGGCTAGATGAATCCCTAGCCGGAATTAAGATTGCCGGAAGAAATATCAACAACCTCAGATATGCAGATGACACAACCTTGATGGCAGAAAGTGAGGAAGAATTAAAGAACCTTTTAATGAGGGTGAAAGAGGAGAGCGCAAAATATGGTCTGAAGCTCAACATCAACTAAGATCATGGCCACTGGGTCCATCACCTCCTGGCAAATAGAAGGGGAAGAAATGGAGGCAGTGAGAGATTTTACTTTTTTGGGTTCCATGATCACTGCAGATGGTGACAGCAGCCACGAAATTAAAAGACGCCTGCTTCTTGGGAGAAAAGCAATGACAAAACTAGACAGCATCTTAAAAAGTAGAGACACCACCTTGCCAACAAAGGTCCGTATAGTAAAAGCTATGGTTTTCCCAGTGGTGATGTATGGAAGTGAGAGCTGGACCACAAAGAAGGCTGATCGCCGAAGAATTGATGCTTTTGAATTATGGTGCTGGAGGAGACTCTTGAGAGTCCCATGGACTACAAGAAGATCAAACCTCTCCATTCTGAAGGAAATCAGCCCTGAATGCTCACTGGAAGGACAGATCCTGAAGCTGAGGCTCCAATACTTTGGCCACCTCATGAGAAGAGAAGACTCCCTGGAAAAGACCCTGATGTTGGGAAAGATGGAGGGCACAAGGAAGGGGACGACAGAGGACGAGATGGTTGGATAGTGTTCATATAAGGTTCATTAATTTCAGTGTGTTGCTGTTTAGTTGTTTAGTCGTGTCCGACTCTTCGTGACCCCATGGACCAGAGCACGCCAGGCACTCCTGTCTTCCACTGTCTCCCGCAGTTTGGTCAAACTCATGCTGGTAGCTTCAAGAACACTATCCAACCATCTCGTGGGGGATGACAGAGAACCTTAGATAGCCATCCCCATTAATTTCAATCAGTCTACTCTGAGTAAAGGTTAATTGACTACAAGCTTATACCTCTGGGAATCACAGATGGGGAGAGCCCCATTGGCTTATGGGCTTCCCAGACACCTCTGGTTGACCAATGAGAGAAGAGGATGCTGAACTGAAGGGGCTTGCAGTTTGATCCAGCAGGACCCTTTTTTTGTGACTCCAGAGCCAATAGCTTTCACCCTTCATATACCAACTGTTTTCTTTACAATGATATTTTTCTGTGGGGAAGGACTAAGGAATGCTTGTAGTCTGAAGCAGCACACTCCACCCTCTCACATCAGGATGAGGCCTCACCTGCAGGAGTTCAGTCGCTGGTTCCTGAAGCTTCTCCTCCATCTCCCGGATGAGGCTGTCAAGAGAGGAGAGTTCCCTGGAGAGTCTGGCCAGCTGCTCCTCCCTTTGGGCTGCAATCTCCTTCTCTAGTTTTTCCATTTGTGCCAGAAGAAGCTTCTCTTGTTCTTCCAGAAACTGGTGCAGTCGCCTGAACTCAGCCACCATCTTTTCCCTCTCTACATCCTGTTTGTTTCTGCAGCAAAGAGTTTGAAAGAAGAGAACAGTGGGCCAATATCAGGCATCTAGTCTGCTCTTGAAGGATGAAGAGGCCAGATATCTGAATTCACTTGGAAGGGAAGTCTGCCATTAGACGATCACTCAGCAGAGAAAGAACTTCGTAAAAATTTACAAGCCCACCCGCCTCCTTTAAATGGTATTTCATGCTATGTGGGAGATCAGACTGTTCAAAAGAAACCTCTTTCTCTATTTCCCAGATTTTGATCCTCTAAGACTACAGCACTTTTTCACTTCCAAGAAACAGTGATGCTTACAAGCAGGTCTTGACTTTCCTTTTCTGCATCTGCTTTAAATTCCAGAATTTTCTCTCTCTCCTTCCTCACATTGTCTAGGCAGGTTCTGATCTGATCCTGAAAACAAAACAAAACCAAAGTTTGGTTGCTGTTTTCATTCTTGGAGTTTAATATTCATAATAACAGGAAAGTTGAATCACATGCTTGCTCCCTGCCCCAAAGACTGTGGTCTTTGCCTTCGTCATCCTGGGAGCCTGTGGCGCAATGGGTCAGTGTGTCTGGTTGTTAACCATGTGGGAATGTTCTGGGGTGCAGGAGAGGATATATTGACTAATTATATCCTTATCCAACTTGTGCTAACAAGTTCCCAAAATATCAGCAGAGTTTATAGACATTCCCCTTTAAGTTCGCAACGGTAACGTGTGCACAGGTTCGCTAGAACCTCTAATAATTACCTGGTATTTCCTTAGTTCCCTCTTATACCTGGTAATTTCCCTTTAGTTCCCTCTTAAAATACAAGACACAACACAGTCTTTATAAAAGTATAAAAGAGTTTACTCACGTTCTGCTTCCACACTAGGATCCAGGAGGACAGATCCAGCGCTTAGAAACGGTTACAGTACAGGCTTGCATGGAAATCTAATCTTGTAAGCAAGAATAGTCCTATATCTGCCTCTCTTGGCTGGGAGGCCGAGAGGGCATCCTTAGATGTTTCCTCATTGAAGAAAAATGGCAGAGAGAGAAGATGAAGCTGCCTGCCCTGTGCTTTTGTCATTACCTGCACAGGTGAGGCCACACCTCAGCCTCTGGTCACATGCAGAGAGAAAGTCCGATCCTCCAGGAAGTTTGACCTGCTTGCTGGACAGACATCCCTCCCCATGTTCTAACATGTACACTCTAGGAATGTTGTCATTGACTGCTCCTGTGTTTACATCCCACAAACCAGAAGGTTGGTGGTTCGAGCCCAACCAGGGATGGGTGTGGGCAGAATTTCTGCATTGCGGGGGGTTGGACTAGATGGCCCTCAGGGTCCCTGCCATCTGCACTGCCCCACCCTCCAGCCCTTTCCTAAGGGAGCTGCTTCCAGAGGAAGGACTGGGGGTGAGTTACTCCTGCAGGCAGGAAGGCAGGGGGACATTGGGGGCACTGCACTCCCCCGAAAAAAGGAAATGTTCATTGAAGAGTTTTGGAAGTTTAGTTACTGTTTGGCTGCAGGAGGGGAGAATACATTAAAACATTTTCTTGCAAGACCCCCTTCTCTGTATCTCTTTCACCCTCACCATCCCCAAAGGAAACCCAGAGAGATTTCCTACCTTGTACTCCTGCAACGCCTCCTCCAGAGGGATCACCTCGTGGCCTTTGTGCTCCTTGGATCTGTCACACACCACACAGATGGGGCTTTGGTCCTCCTGGCAGAAGAGCTTCAGGGGCTCCTGGTGCTTCTCGCAGACTCTCCCCTTTCCTTCTGCCTCCCTGGAAGGGAGACTTTCTCGGCTACTAGTATTTCCACAACATTTGCCAGCGGCCGATTGGGGATGAGGTTCCTGTGCTGAATGATTTCCCTGCACAGAGGGCAGGAAGCCTCTCCCTCGGACTTCTCCCAGCACTGGATCAGGCAGGATCGGCAGAAGTTGTGCCCGCACTCCGGGATGATCACCGGATCCCGGAAACACTCCAGGCAGATGGAGCAAGTGGCTTCCTCGCAGAGATCCTGCACGGCACCCCCAGGAGCAGCCATCCCAGGAAGAGAGCGAGCTTGGTTGCTTTTTCTTCGCTTTCCGCGTGCGAATTGCTATGTTTCCGTTTCCCGGGAGGAGATTATTCCACTGTGGTGACTCAAGATTTCCCTTCCGCTCCGCAGATGTGGAGTTAGCAAGGAGATCTGGGATATTTCCTCTCCCGCCCAGGAAATTTAAGCAGGACATCGGCTGCCTTAGAGATGTCTCTTTAAATGGATCAGGGTCTCTTTGATATGAAAATTTATTTATTTGTAATGAGAATTCCTTGCTTCTAATTTAAAGGGCCATGCACCTAGGAGAGGCAGAGATAAGTGCTTTTGATTGTTTTTTTAGCTTCACTGCCAGCCTCGAACGCCACTGAATGAATGACTCTGCCGACTCCTTCCAACTGCAGGTCACAATGTTCAGCCCAAACTCCACTGCGATGCACATTCCCACGGGACAATTGGACCCTCGTCCGCACCCACAGACCTGGGAAATTTTTAAGCTTATCTTCAGGACCAGTTTCTTCCCATTTCATCCCCCCCCCATCCGTTGATCCCATCTCCAGTCTGTCCATCCTCTCAGAAAAATTAACATTAACCATGGAATATCTAAAAACCATTTTGTTTGTGTGTGGGGGGGGGAGTGTTCTCTCTTTTTACTTGTGGTATTTATATCTTTATATACTGCTAAAGTATTATTGTTTGGTGGTTGATACATATTTTTCTGTGTATAAGATGTCCCCATGTATAAGAAGACCCCTATTTTTTGAGCCCAAAATGAAGAAATAAAAATATTTTAAACACCAAACAGAACAACTTTGATATTTTATTAAATATCTAGGCAATCACCAAAACCTGTGAGCTAATCCTTTTTGTCAAAAAAATTAAAGTGCACTCCTATGTCTACTCAAGAGTAAGTTCAAAGGGACTTATCCCAGGACACAGGGCTATAGGCTTAATTTCCTCTTTGCTCCACAGAGCTCAGAAGAGGTTAGAAAGATGTGCTGTCTTTACTTCCTCTTCCCACTTGAGAATTGCCATTTGGAAGACCATGATAAAAATGTTGAATGAAAACACCTATTCCTATTTGTTGCCCCATCTGTTTGGCATTGGTTGTGTAGCAGGAAACCCCCCCCCCCATCATTCAGTTTGTACAACCTTCACACACACTCACATTCACACACTACATACGCTACGCTTCTGTTATAAATTCATAGAAAATCAACCATACATCGGATCTGCACTGTTCCACTTTTATTTTACTCCATGAAGGAAGGACTACAAAATGGGGAAGGTTTGATACAGGGCAGCCATAATCCTTGAGCATACCAGCACATACACAGGAGCCCTGCCCAGTTGCTATGCCAACCCTGATGGTCCCAGACAGAAGACCATCAAGATCACAAAGAACTTGCATATAGGAGTGGATTCAGCACAGACTGGAACAAAGGACAATAATCAGCTCTTCCCTCTGGGGGCAGGAAACTGCAAACTCCCCTCTGTCACCTGGAAAGTACTCATGGGGAGGGGGAAAGGGAACCAGCCAGGTGACAGGACACTCAGGTTACCACCACAACTCCTCCCTCAACCCCTCCTTTCTGTAATGTTTTACAAGGTTTTTACAAGGTCTTTCTGTGTCTTTCCTCTCTCCTGCAAGTGAGGGGAACACCCTGTTGCAACAGTTCAATAAAGGCCAAGCCTACAGGCTGCTGTTTTGCTCCAAGTTATCCTGGTTGGTGTCTTTGTTTTTGTCCAAGGGAGCACTCGGATTTTTCCGGTAACATATTTGCCCACAACTGTCTGTGGGTTAAAAAGTGGGTGTCTATAGAATACCTGCTCTCTCACTGACCTGGCAGATATGGCTGAGACTCACTTCTCTCCTGGTTGAGGGATTCCAAGAAATAAAGGGATGGGCAGACTTCAGTCTTGGTGGATTGGCTTTCATTTTTAATCGGAATGCTGAGATCCAGAAATGGACCCAGGTGCAAAATATGAGTTTATGCAGGGAAGCCCCTGAAATCTGCCCCTCACTCAAACTGGATTGACTCCTCCTGCAGACATTCACAGTCAAGACAGGAAGGTCTGAAGATGAGCTACAACATAGAGAGGAGCTTTGCAGGGAGGGCTTTGAAGCACATCTCTGAAATGACTCTTACCCTTGTTAAGATTTCACATTCTGAGTGCCCAGTGTGTTGGACTTGGGATGACAAGGCCCAGGTTCAAAGCCCTTTTGACCATAAACTTGAATGTTTCTCCTTTTTCTAAGACTCTCAGCTGAGCCTCTTCTACCTCACAGGGTTTCTCTGAGGATAAAACAGGATATCACCCTCCTAAAACCCCTGAAGGAAGTGTCCCGTGGAGTTTGAAGCAACAAAAGAGCCACAAGAAGCACAATCTTTAATAGAATCAAACACGTTAGCACAGGAAACATATCCCCATATACTTTCAGGCCCGTTACACAAAAAATATAAGAAGAGGTGATCTCTAAAAATACAGATAAGTATCTGACTGTTCACTACAAAGCACCTTGGAGAAAATAATTGTATACATGGGAATTTACACCCACCCCCTGAAATTATCTAGTCTAGATTGTCATTCAGAACCTCTGACAGAGGCTCCTCATTGTCAGAGGGGATTTTGCTACATCAAGGCCTAAGACCTATGTGGGGGGTTACATTCCTGGGGTCAGCACTTTTGTTGTTGTTTAGTTGTGTCTGACTCTTTGTGTATGCAAGGGCAATATTGCATTATTGCAATATTGCAATAAGTCAGGAAGACCCTCGAAAATGCCCCCCAAGGAACCATCCTTACTTGTCCAAAGCCAGAGATCTTGACCTTTCTAGAGGCCGGTAAGCAAGGTGGACTTAGAAATTTTCCCCCCCACTGCCAAAGCCGCCTTTCTGGGCCCTGGAGACTCCTGAGAGATCTCACACAGTCTCTTCCAACAGTGTTTCCCAGTCTCTCGCGTTCTTTCCATTTATTAATTTGTGTTTTGAGGAATGGCTCAAGGGTGCAACTGGCACTCAACTAGCAAACAGGTCTCTTTGGATATGGAGATTTTGCTGAATTGCCACATAAGCTTCCCTGAGGAGCAGCAAAAAAAGGGATTTTGAAACTTCCATCTCCCTGGCCAGTGGAGATCTTGGGGGAGGAAAAGGGAATCTGAGAGCAGGATTGAGGCTGAGTAAGGTTTTCAGTGATGCTCTTTGCATAATTCTTATTTTATTCAGAAAAAATGATGGTATTGTCTCTAGAAATCTTAAGTCAGAGTTGGGGGTTGGAGAGAGAATTACATTGAAACAGGAATGTGTGTAGGGTTAGTTTATTCCTAAGTTTAGGGAATGACAGGGCACCCAATCAATCAGTGTCGTTTAAAAAGCTGGCCCAGGAAGAGAGTGTTGCATCATGATTGATGCTTGTCTGTCTGCACCCTCAGTCAAGAGAGTCTCAGGTTCCCTTTCTCACTCACGTAAAAAAAGGGCTGGAGGGTCTCTCCTGAGAAGGAGGCTTCTGAGAATGAGTGGAGGAGGACTGCTGTGTCTGCATCGTAAAAGGACACTCGTCCCCCTTCGCAGTTTAGGGCCACTCGGATCCTCTTGGGCTCCTCACTTGGAACAGGGGCCTTACGGGGGGTGTAACCAAAGTCCCACTTCGCGAAACCCCAGATCCCTTCCGTACTTTCAAAATACACGACACCCTTCCTCTTCACAGACTTTCTGGCCACCCCCACCGCCCACTTCTCCACTCTTCCCACAATGACTTCCCAGAAATGTCTGCCTGACGTGAAACCCTCACATCCCAGCACATAGGTAAGTGTGTCAAATCTCTCAGGGTTGTCTGGCAGGTCTTGATAGACTTCTCCCCAACTCACACGCTTGTGATCCTCAGACAGGATGAGGAGGGGATGTGCTGTGTCTGGATCCAAAGTTACATTTTCTGTGGGGACAGAGGAGGAAAGAGAAGAGAAACAACGTCAACAGGGAAGCTGACTCTTTTTTAGGCACATGACAGAAACAGCATCCCCTCTGAAATGAACAGGGACTCCATGGCTTTGCATTCGAGAGAGGGACGTTCATCAAGTTCTTAATAAGGATTCTTGAAGCATCTGCAGTTCTTTCAAGGATTCACACATTATTTACATCGAACCCTTGCAAAGACCCTGTAAGTTGAGTCAATCTTACTATGCCCATTTTTCAGATGGGAAAACTGAGGCTGAGAGGCGGTGGCTTGTCTAAGGCTACCCCCCCCCCACAGGCAGGGACTCCCTAATTCACATCTTAATCTTCTACCTCACATCAGAGACCATGCTTGACATACCAGGTAAAACTGGCAGCAAGTGCTCTCGCTCTTTTCTAACCAGTTTAATGTTTAATGTAATGTTAGACCCCATCCTTCCAGGTAGTTTATAAAAAGCAAGAAAGTGGTTAGGCTACCGCGACCCCCTTGTGTGAAATGTCCTGCTTGGGATTCTTGACAGCGCATTGTAGAATCGTAGAGTTGGTGGGGACCCCAAGGGTCATCTAGTCCAACCCCCTGCAATGCAGGAATCTGAATTAAAGCATCCACGACAGGGGGCCACCTAACCTTTGCTTAAAAACCTCCAAGGAAGGAGAGTTCACCACCTTCTGAGGGACTCCCTTCCATGTTCTGCAGTGTGGGCCTATGGTCTGTTTCCCCCAGGCAAACTATGAGCAGTCAGCCAAGAACAAACTCAATTATCTCTTATGGTTTGGTTAAAGCGGAGCTTTTATATTCACAGCTATTACATCGTTGACATGAATGGCTTTCTTTTCCTGTGAATTGTGTTAATGCATTTATTGTTGCATTTATCTCAAGATGAAGGGCAAGATATATAAAACCCAGCAAGTGCCATTCCCACCTGTCACCTTCAATGCAAAGACCCCATCCTGGTTCCCCAGGCCTGTGGCTATATGATCATCACATTTATGGAAAAGGTGGGCAGTGGAAGCATAATGAGAAACCTATTTAAAAATTGGTCAGGCTTGTGGACATTACAAAGAAGATCTGCTCTGCAGTCCTCTCACCCCCTCCCCACGTTATGGAAAGTTTGTCAAGCGATTTCTTTTTAAAGACACACATTTGTACAGCGGCCTTTGGAGATTATACTGTCTGTGATGTTAGATGATGCCAGTGCTGCTATTAGTCTTCTGTTTTGTTTTGTTAAATGTAATGGGTTTTTCTTGTTTATTGTATTGATTAGCCATTATTCATTTTACTCACTGTTTTCTAAAAGAATATCAGAATATGATTTTAAAGATAAGCAAGAGGTTCCTTTATGCTGCCATTTGCTGCATTTTTTCCAGCTCTTATAATTCCCTTTTTGTGGTGTCCAGGATCAGGCCAGACTGGTCTTCTGTCTTCCCACTGAGCCTTTCCCCCTGGTCTGTGGTGCAATTCTGCCCTGCTCTGCCCGGCTCTTTTAGGTTTACTCAGGTTTCCCTGGTCTGCCCTCATGTTGAAGCAGAGAAGTCATGTCTCCCCTCCAATTGCAGGGACGCTGGACCACTGGAGTTCACACTCAGGCAGCCCCCACCTCCCTCCAGTGACGCCAGAACCCATTTACCTTCTCGCACCCAAAGGTTGTTGCAGCCATTTTCTGAGCTATTTGTGTTCATGCATTTCCCACTCTTACATAAAAGGGGTGGGGACCCTGTATGGCTCAAAGGGATATTTCCCCCTCATGTGCCAGGAGCCTTTGGCTTCACACCACCCCTGTGTCTTATGGAGATTGGGCACAGAAAAGCCAGCCATCCTGGGCTGGGGGCTTCCTAAGAGTCTGCAGGATCAGGCCAAGGGCCCATCTAGCTCAGCATGCTGCTCTTACGGAACAGATGCCTCTGGGAAATAAGGGGAAATAAGGCATGGATGGAAGAGCTGCAGTGGCCTGGTCTTTTGAGAAGCAGATCCCCTCTCTCCCGAATTTGTGCCTCTGCTTGACCCTAATTGACTAGGGAAATCCAGCCAGGGTATAAATAATAAAGGCACTGGGTATAACTAATAATAATAAATAAATAATAAATAATAAATAATAAAGGCACCGGGACCAGATGAATTTACAGCAAAATACTATAAAAAACTTAGGTAAACAATTGTTATTACCAATAAAGGATGTGATGAACAATATTTTGCATAAAGGAAAGATTCCACTGACATGGAAGGAAGCGTATATCACATCATTTATGTATTTATGTATTTATGTATTATTATTATTATTATTAGCAGTGCCCTCAAATTAATACTTGCACTTATTTCAATTAATTTCTGCAAAATAATTTTTGGTACTTAAGTTAAAAACAGAAAGAATAAGAGATAATAAAAAACTAAAAAGGAGACAGTTTACCAAAAGTTGAAAAGAGAACCGTGTTGAGGATGAAGGAAGTCAATTGGATGAAAAGAAGAGTTGAAATATGGTATATATATATCATGGACGAGATGTTTTGTATAAGTTTCCATACGCCAATATGTTTTATTTGTAACTTTTTGTTCTGTTGCTGTTTATTTGGATTTGGCGTTACTGTTTTTATGTTTAGTTTGATAAGCGTGTATGTATGTGTTGTAAAATAAACTCAATAATTTTATTTTTTTTAAAAACTAATAAAATTATTATATAAATGAATATTGTTATTATTAAATGTACCTTTTCGCAGCTGAAGTCCATATTCCACAGTGTCTGGAAGAGAAAAGGGAACAGAGATTTAGCATCACACCATCATTCAAACAACAAAGCTGGAAACAATATGAGCTCATGAGACTTTAGCCAGGTGTTGTGGACTACAAGTCCCATCATCCGTAACCACTGGCCATGCCAGCTGGAAATTATGGGAGTTGTACTTAAAACTATCTGAAATTCTCCATACTGGCTATCCCTGCATAACCAGGGCAGGGGTGATGTCAAAGTTCAGGCCTGCCCAAATCTTGAGAGGAGGAGCAAGACCCCCAGAAGATCTCCCCATTAACAACAAGGTCCAGACACCCCTGTTCCAGGACGGGAGGCCTCAGCCCCAGTCCCCTCTGCTCCTGGACAGCCCTCCTCTCTCCTTCTGCTCCCCTTACATCAATCTCAGGGCCAAAGAAACAGGCGAAAAGCCCGAAAAGTGAGATGTGTGAAAGCACCCAAAGTCTGGCTGAGAGATGGGGAGAGTTCAACTTTTTCCAGGGTTACATTCCTGGGGATTGTGCATAATCCCCCCAGGTCACCCCTGTCATTTTCCTGGCACTGCTAATGTCTTGGAGCCTTTCATGAACAATTTCAAATATCCAGTATAAAATATTTTCAGCTCTTCTTTACTACCTCTGAATTTCTTCATGACTCCCTCCAGGAACGGATTTCTATCTTTGAAGTCCCAGATCTTCCACTTCAGGGCAGGAGGAAAAGCCACAGGAGGATCCTCTAAGTTCTCCTTCTCCTGAGACCTGGGAGGAGAAGAACAAAGCCAAGCCACCATCTTTCCAATGCAAGGAGCTTTCTGACAAGGCAGGTGTCACATTCTGATGATAAAGGCACCATGGATATATCATGAAGACTTGAGAGCAGAGTTTTATGGCTAAAAGGAGCATCTGATTGTTGTGTGGATCTAGAGACCACCTAACAAGTTGAAGGAAAACCAACAAACACTAGCTTCCATAATACATGGAAAGAAATATATGATTATGAGATTGAAGGGAAATAAGCTGATATATGCATACTTTTATGAAGAAAAGTGAACAATACTCGGTCCTTACACAGAGATTTTAGGACTACACCAGTTTTAGTGAAGCATTTGAAGTGACTAATGAGCAGAACAAAATAGGTCTGGTATGTGCATTTATGTGTATGTGTATCTGGTATGTGCATTTCTGAAACATAAGGAAGTTCCAAAGAATTGGAAACAAGAGTCAAAAAAATTGAAAGCAATCCCAGCATCTTTTCAGAGCATAATTCCCTGACTAGATGGAGATTAATGATCATTTATCAGATGATCAAAAATGTGTTTAAAAAGCAAAAGAGACCTCGATGGATTATTTTGAAATAAACAGTCAAGGGCAAACAAAGTTACAGACGGTCTGGGACGCAAGCAAGGCTGTAATGAGAGGATTCTTTATACAACAAAACTCATTTAAAAGGAAATTGAGAGAGCAAAAGAAAAAAGAAATATTAGAGGAAATTATGAAAAAGGAGAAACAGCTGTCAAAAAAGGCAAATAAAGAGGCAGTAAAACAGGCAATCAAAACATTACAAACCCAATATTCAATGATTATAAACAAGGAAATTAGCTGGAAAATAAAAAGAGTAAAACAAAAACATTTTGAGCACGCAAATAAACCCAGGAAGTTGTTACCCTGGCAGTTGAAAAAAGTGAACAAAGGAACTCCATAAATAAAATTAACATAAATGGCAGAATTACAGACAAACTGAAGGAAATAAGAGAAGGATTTGTTAAATATTTTTCTAAGCTGTATAAAAAAGGGAAAGAAAAAACATCTAAGATAGAAGAGTACATCAGAAGTAGCAATATGCCATATTTAAAAGAAGAACAAAGGAACATTCTTAACTCCCAGATAACAATGCAAGAATTATTTGAGGCAATAAAAAGCTCTAAAAACGGCAAGTCTCCATGGCTTTACGGTAAAATATTACAAGAAATTAAATGAACAATTAGCGAATCCATTGAAAGATGTTATGAATGAAATATTGAACACAGGAGAAATCCCAGAAACATGGAAACAGGCCTATATAACAGTAATTACAAAACAAGACGCAGATTTGCTGCAAGTTAAAAACTATAGGCCTGTCTCCTTGTTAAATAATGATTACAAATTGTTTGCAAATATTCTAGCTAATAGATTAAAAAAAATATTAATTGAATATATACATCAAGATCAAGCCGGGTTTTTACCAGGAAGACAAATGAAGGAGAATATAAGGAATATTTTGAATATAAAAGAATATTTGGAGGTTAAAAATGAAAAGAAAGTGGCAATGATGTTTATTGATGCTGAAAAAGCCTTTGATAATGTTTCTTGGAAGTTCATGATAAAGCTGTTAGAACAAATCAGAAGTGGTTCTAAGTTTTTAAAAGGAATAGAAGCAATCTATTCAGAACAAAAAGCCAAACTAATTATAAATAAGGTGATAACGGATGACTGTAAGATCCAAAAAGGAATAAGACAAGGATGCCCATTATCACCATTATTGTTTACCCTGGTCTTGGAAGTACTTGCCAAAAACATAAGAGCAGGTAAAGAGATCACAGGGGTAAAAAATGGGAAAAGTGAATTCAAGTTAAAAGCCTATGCAGATGACCTAGTGATAACAGTGGAAGAACCTAAAACTTCACTCCCTAAAATGGCAGGATTTAAGTTAAATAGGAATAAAACTAAATTATTAGTTAAAAACCTGAAGGAAGAAGAAAGAACCGAGTTAGGACAAAACACTGAAGTCCATAAAAAGGTTAAATATTTAGGGATTTTGTTAGCATCAAGAAATATAAACCTATTTAAAAATAACTATGAAAAAAATTGGCTTGAGGTAAAAAGAAATTTAGAAATATGGAGTAGAATGAATCTCTCATTGTAAGGAAAAATATCGGCGATTAAAATGAATGTGTTGCCAAAAATGCAATTTCTTTTTCAAGCAATACCTGTCATTCTGAAAGATGAATGTTTTAAAAAATGGCAGAAAGAGATTTCAAAATTTATCGGGGGGGGGGGGGCAAAAGGCCAAGGATAAAACATAAAATACTTACAGACGTAAAAGACAGAGGCGGGTTTGCCCTCCCTGACCTTAAATTGTATTATGAATCTGCTTGTTTGGTATGGATCAGGGACTGGATGAGACTGGATAAGCAAGAGGCATTTGAACTAGAAGGACATGACAACAGATTTGGCTGGCACGCATACTTATGGTACGGGAAAGGGAAGGTTCATAGAAGCTTTCACAACTATATAATTAGGAAATCACTAATGAGAGTATGGGAGAGATATAAAGACTTATTGGAACAAAAGACCCCGTGGTGGCTTTCACCACATGAAGCATTACTGCTCAAACCACTTGGAAAGAAAGGAAAATGGCTCACATATGTTGATTTATTAAAGGACCATGATGAAAAATGGAAATTAAGAGATTACGATGAGATCAAAGACCACTTTCAGAGTTGATTGCATTATTGACAACTATATGAAACACATAAAGAAGACAGCAAGAAAGGATTCAGTTACACAAGATCTAGGTTTCAAACGGAAGTGATCAAAGGTAAAGTGAAATTACTGAAGGCAGCATACAGCATATTATTAGAATGGGAGACGAAAGATGAAGAGGTAAAATCAGTTATGATTAAATGGGCACAAGATGTAGGTCACAACATTATGATGGAAGATTGGGAAAAATTATGGAAAACTGATTTAAAATTTACAGATTGTTCCCTACTGAAGGAGAATTACATGAAGATGATGTACAGATGGTACACGACACCAGTGCAGTTAGGGAAAATGTACAAAACTAGCTCAAATAGCTAGTGTGGTGTAGTGGTTAGGAGCGGTAGTCTTGTAATCTGGTGAACCGGGTTCGCTTCCCTACTCCTTCACATGCAGCTGCTGGGTGACCTTGGGCCAGTCACACTTCTTTGAAATCTCTCAGCCCCACTCACCTCACAGAGTGTTTGTTGTGGGGGAGGAGGAAGGGAAAGGAGAATGTTAGCCACTTTGAGACTCCTTTGGGTAGTGATAAAGCGGGATATCAAATCCAAACTCTTCTTCTTCTTCAAATATATGTTGAAGTGTAAGGAAAAGGAAGGGACATTTTATCACATGTGGTGGGATTGTAATGTAATTAAAAATTTTTGGGAAATGATATACAATGAATTGAAGAAAATGTTCCATTTAACATTTGTTTAAAAACCTGAAGCATTTTTGTTAGGTATTGTAGGGAAAGATCTGCCAAAAAAGCTGAAAAACATCTTCACGTAGGCGACAACGGCCACGAGAGTTCTAATAGCACAAGGATGGAAGACTGAAGAAACCCCAACTAAAGAATCATGGCAAGAAAAATTGATGGACTATGCAGAACTGGCAAAATTGACATATAAGCTACGGGACAAGGATAACTGTGGCTTTAAAGATGAATGGGAATCCTTTACAAAGTATTTGAAGACGCAACAAAGCGAACTGGACTCCTTGGCAGGTTTTGAATAAACATTCACAAACTTTTCTATTGATGACAATCAGCTAAAAAGTTTGAGGAACTATACAACTGTGTAACAGAATGCAGAAAACAGCATTCTTAGAGAAATCAAAGACTGGAACTGAGGGAAGTCGGGGGGTGGGGTGGGGGTGGGTTTTGTGTGGGAGGCGGGGAGGGAGGAAAAATGGGGGGGAAATAAGGATGATATGTTTCTGGATAATATGTTTTGTTTTAATTTTGAATAATTTCCACTCAATTGGCGTCACAAGTTATTGAGTGCTCAGTTTTCGAGCAGCTGGCACTGGGGATCACTTTGCATATGGAATCCAAGAGTATTATTCTCGTTTCAGCTTATATTCCACCATATACAGTGCAAACACAGATAGAGAGCACGTGGCGTAAATTCCATAGTTTCCTTTATTCCCTACAAATTAGGGACCCTGGATCGCCATTTTACCTAATGGGAGATATGAATGCCAGAATAGGCTCAAATGATGATAGCCTGGAAATAAAATTCCCAATATTAAGAGATCTAAAGGAAAATAGCACCCTCTTTCTAAACCCGCCCCCACGTAGACATTCAAAAGATTGCCAAATCAACTATGCTGGATTCTGCCTGGCTCTTTTACAAATAAGTCTTGACCTCATCATTGCTAATGGGGCATTCCCTGGGGACAGAGAAGGCGAGTATACATTCATAAATACAAATGGAGCCAGCACAGTAGACTACTGTCTCACTAACAGAGAGGCCTTCGAATCAATTAAAAAATTCACCATAGATAATAGGACTGAAAGTGACCACTTACCTCTAATCATCTCCACTACTGGCCAAAATTCAATTCAGCGCTCTCACATAGAACATGAGGTTATAGATAAAGCAAATGATCCAGCATTGCGTAGGAAAAAATGGACACCTGAGATAGCAATTGCAGTTGAGAATAGATTGAATTCACAAACTGCAATTAAGTTAAGATCAATTATAATAAACAATTTATCAATAGACTCCTCCCTGACAGCTTACAAAAATCTCATTGAGTCCTTGCAGGATGTGGTCTCGGTTAACATAAACTCAGCCGGCAAGCCACGCACTGCTAAAGGGCACGGTTGGTTTGACCAAGAGTGCCACACAAAGAAGGAAGCCTTAAGGAACGCCTATTTGGCCTATAGAAACGCTGGATTAAACTATTTACCTCAATCTTATTTCAAAATCAAAAAAGAGTACAAAGCCCTTTTGGCCTCAAAGAAAAGGCAGTCCGAACAAAATTCCTGGTCCCTACTATTGAATGCCTCACTAAACAATGAAACTAAACTCTTTTGGCAACTGGTCTCCGACTCAATGAAAAATAGTTCCTCAGTCCCCAGCTGTGTCATTCCAGCTCAGGTTTGGGAGAACCACTTCAGAAATATATTTATGGAAAATCCAAACCTCCCTTCCAGCTTACAGGAGGATGACAGGGCAGAATTGTCACTGCTCCCTAATTGGAGGCCGGTTACTGTGGAGGAAGTCCATACATTAATTGGGAATCTGAAGAGTGGAAAGGCTCCGGGAAAGACTTTATCCCAGCAGAGCTGATTACATCAAACCAGCACTGGTGGGCTCCGCTTCTGGCAGCACTCTTTACGGTAGTAAATAACTCGGGTAAGGTACCATATAGCTGGAAACATGCTATAGTAGTTCCAATCTTTAAGAGAGGCCACCCAAATGTACCTTCCAATTATAGGCCTATTAGCCTGCTCTCAATAATTGGGAAGCTGTATGCCCGTTTCCTCAGTAGCAAACTGACAACTTTTCTAAATGAACATAATATACTATCTGAAGCCCAGGCAGCTTTCTGTGAGAACCATTCAACAACAGACCACTGTCTAATGCTGTCCTTCCTAGCTGAGAAGTATACCAGACCTCTACAGGGTAAACTCTTTGTGGCCTTTATGGATCTGAAATCAGCATTTGACTCCATTCCCAGATCCCAGCTATGGTCCAAATTGAGTCTGATTTTGCAGGACAAATGACTTCTCTTTCTTATAAAAGCCCTGTACAATGGAAGCAAACTGCAGGTCCGATGCGGTCGACAGGGACAGCTATCGAACAACATCGAGATGACTAGGGGGGTGAGACAGGGTTGTATTTTGGCCCCCACATTGTTTTGTCTATTCGTAAATGACCTAGAAGAGAACTTAATGGACACAGATGGACACATTCCAAAAATAGGAATGAGAAGGACCCCTTTGTTGTTGTATGCTGATGACGCAGCCATCACCTCGCGTTCCAGACCGGGTTTGAATTATCTGTTGAGGAAATTTTCTGATTACTGTTCTGGAAATGGTTTATCCATTAATTATGAAAAATCTAAAATTTTAGTCTTCGAAAGAAGATTCTCCCAGTCTAAATGGGTGCTGGATGGCCATAACCTTGAACAGGTAAAATACTTCAGTTACCTAGGGCTCACATTCCATCATACAGGATCTTGGAAGCACCATTGGCAAACCTCCCTTCAAAAGGCGGAGATTACAAAGCTAGCCATACATAGATTCTTCTACACAAAGGGCGGCAAATATGTTCCAGCAGCCTTAAGGGTTTTCAACGCAAAGCCCGTTTCCCAACTCCTGTATGCAGCAAATGTCTGGCATAATGGGGACCTGCCAAAGCTAGATGGCTTTCAGGCAAAATTTATACGATCTCTGCTGCAGGTACCTAACTGCGTCCCCAACTCCGTACTTCTGTTGGAAGCTGGTGAATACCCAATTTCAGCTAGAGCGTGGTGGGCTGCCCTAAAACATTGGATCAGGATTTCAGTGTTTAATTTAGGGAAGGTTCTGTACCAACATTTGACCAATGAGGAATTTGTCAGCAAATGGCAGAAAACCATGGCTAAAAAAGCCACCTCTATTGGTCTGTCTCCCCCCCAACTGTATTACCTGGGTTATGAAGGCGCCCAAAAGGTTTTAAAGCAAAGATTATGGGACAATGCACACAGCGACTTGCGATCTCGATCACACGCAGTCTGTAGTCCGCTGGCAGCAGGAGTTCAATATGGGTATGTCTTTGAGTTAACATCTTACATCAAAAACGTGACAGTACCTAACTATCGAAGGCTTTTCACTAAAGCCAGATTAAATGTCTTCCCCTCTGCAGTGCTGGATGGTAGGTTGAGAGGAGTTCCCTACCAGGACAGACTTTGCTTGTGTGCTCAAGACATCGATTCCATAAATCATATTTTGTTGCATTGTACGAAGTATGAGCAGGCCAGGGCTGAACTGATACAACCTCTGCTGGTGCCTTTCCTGGGAAAGTCAGAGACTCACTATGTCAGGTTCCTACTGGAAGACCGGACAAAAGCTAGAATGTTGGCAGTGGCAAAGTTTCTATCGGTGGTTGCAAGAACAAATGAGCCCTATATTCTAAACAAAATGATTAATTAACCTGGAGGTAGGCTGTATGAACTGTGTATTGATTTGTAATGTTTGGTTGGGTCTCTGGACCGTAATAAAGATTGTTGTTGTAATTTTGAATAAAAAAGTTTTTTTAAAAAAGAAAAGAAATCAAAGCAGTATTTTCTAAACATGGAAGATTCTCAAAATTCGTAAGTGTTTGAATATGTTGCAGGTGTTTTGGGGACAAGGCTCTCAGTGGCTACTATTCACGATGGCTGGGTCAAAGGCAGTGGTGCCTCTGATCCACAGGAGGGGAGTGTCCTCTGGGGCTCGGAACCTGATCACCACGGGTTTTGCACTGGCATCTGGTTAGGCACTGTGAAAACAAAATGCTGGACTAGATGGGCCACTCGCCTGATCCAGCAGGGCCCTTTCTCACATTCTTATGTCTGAGGAAGAACCTGCAGAAGCCAGAAATACACTGAATATTTAAGGGTAAGTTATAGTGAAGATGTTTACAAGCCCCTTTGGGGTGTCCCCCCCCTTTTTGTATCAATTGCAGAGTAAATGAATCCATCACAGAGAAGGGCCTTCAGAGGTATGCAATGGGAATGGCTTCCTGTCTGTTATTATAGATGAGACCAATAACTACAAATGACTGCGAAAATGTTTCCCTATTTTTGTCTGTGATCTTGTGAGATGGATGATGGAGTCCTAAGCTATCTCTGTAAGGAGGAACTGGAGAGCGAGTTTCTCGCCCCTTAAACAAGAATGTTCCTAGCATCATAATAAGGGAGGGGTTTTCTTAAAGCAGCAAATTTCCATCACTTACCTCTGCAAGAAGCTTCTGATATCCTGGAAGGAAAGAAAGAAAAAGATATCCATGGAGCCGTTTCTGCAGAGAGCCCTGCGGTCAGTTAAATACTAAGCTGCTGAAGCAGAGAGAGGTTAGCCAAACACAAAACAAAAGACCCCCAATAAAATATGCAGTACCACGTAACTTTGGAATAACCATCAGATGGCAAAAGTCAGCCATTCCAGTGATGACCAAGTCACCCAAGTCACCCAAGTCACCCAAACAGCTGTCAGGAATGAGACAGCTCTCAGCGAAGATTTGCAGCAGGCTTCAGAAAGTAGCCCAAAACAGGGAGGCTTTGATGTTAGTCAGTCAGGGGGAGCTGGCTACAACACAGACAAAGCTCGCTGGAAGCTCAAAGAGGCATGAATAAACAGAGAGACACTGGAAAAAGAAAGGGGTTGGCACTAATCCTATCTCTCCAAGGAGCCAACGAATGGGAGGGCTTCTAGACAGGAAGCAAAACAAAAGATGCAACAGAAGAGTCATGTTGATTGATGAGGCCGGAGGCTATGTTACAGTCATCCGGACTATCTGTTTGTTTTTGCAATAAATTCTCCTTTTTAATTAACAACGCTTACTGTGTTGGACGCATGACAACACCTGAGAGATTCAATCCCACCTCCTGGAATTTTGCATTTTGCCCTGTAGCGCATGCTGGTACCGTGTTCACCTGAGATCTCTGATATGTACATTCCACACTCAATCATATCCCCTGAACAAACAAACATATTCTCTATACAAACTTATTTTTTTAATAATAATAATAATAATAATAATAATAATAATAATAGGTCACCCCCTCTCTGGCTGGACCCAAGACAGCATCTGAATGAAAAGGTGATGCAGTGCCAATTTGGAATGCCTGTGTTGGAGGCAGTATCGGTTGTATTCAACTCGCTTTTACTCAGGCACACTGAAATTAATGAACCTAAGATAGTCATCCCCATTAATTTCAATCAGTCTACTCTAAGTAAAGGTTAATTGAATACAGAGCCCTATTGGCTTGTGGGCTTCCCAGAGACCTTTGGTTGGCCAATGCAAGAACAGGAAGCAGGACGGAAAGGGCCAGTGCTTTGATCTAGTGACAACTTGAAGAAAATATTGGGGGGTGGGCAAGTAAGCTCCGCCCCACATAATCAATCACAAGATGCAGTACAGTGGTACCTTGGGTTACAGACACTTCAGGTTACAGACTCCGCTAACCCAGAAATAGCACCTCAGGTTAAGAACTCTGCTTCAGGATGAGAACAGAAATCACACAGCAGCAGCAGCGGGAGGCCCCATTAGCTAAAGTGGTGCTTCAGGTTAAGAACAGTTTCAGGTTAAGAACGGACCTCCAGAACGAATTAAGTTCTTAACCCGAGGTACCACTGTACACACACCCCATTTCAAAACAAATGTCCATTATTGGAGGGGGCTGGTCCTCTCAAATATTTTATTGGGGTGTCCAAGGGACCTCAGGCCCTCAGAGTTGGCTCCTTTGCCAGGGCTGACACCTTTTAGCATTCATGTACTGCTTGTTTTTCTTACAACAGTACTTTTATGTGGGGAAGGACTAAGAAATGCCTGTAGTCTGAAGCAGCCCACTCCACCCTCTCGCATCAGGATGACGCCTGACCTGCAGGAGTTCACTCGCTGGTTCCTGAAGCTTCTCCTCCATCTCCCGGATGAGGCTGCCAAGAGAGGAGAGTTCTCTGGAGAGTCTGGCCAGGTGCTCCTCCCTTTTCTTTGCAATCTCCTTCTCCACTTCTGCCATCTGGGCCAGAAGAAGCTTCTCTTGTTCTTCCAGAAACTGATGCATTCGCCTGATCTCAGCCACCAACTTCCCCTTCTCTGCTTCCATTTGCTTCTGCAGCAGCAAAAAGAGAAAGGGGAGGAGAACAGCAGGCCACTATCAGGCATAATGTTGCAGGATGAAGAGGCCAGATATCAGAATTCACTTGGAAGGGCAAGTCTGCCATTTTAGAGAGATCACTCCAGCAGGAAAAGAGTTTCGTAAAAATTTACAAGCCCACCCCATCCTCCTTCAAATGGTCTTTCATGCCCTGTGGGTGATCAGGGTGTTCAAAAAGAAACCGCTTTCTGTATTCGATATTCATCCCCCCCCCCCAATATATAATCCACTTTTTCACCTTCAAATAACAATGATGCTTACAAGCAGGTCTTGACTTTCCTTTTCTGTGTTTGCTTTAAACACCAGAATTTTCTCTCTTTCCTTCCTCACATTGTCTAGGCAGCTGCTGATCCGATCCTGAAAAGAAAAGGAAATCAAAGTTTGCTTGCTTTTTTTCTCTGTTGGAATTCATAATAACAGGAAAGTTGAATCACATGCTTGCTCCCTGCCCCAAAGACCGTGGTCTTTGCCTTCATCATCCTGGGAGCCTGTGATGCAATGGGTCAGTGTGTCTGGCTGGTAACCAGAAGGTTGGTGGTTCGAGCCCAACCAGGGACGGCTGTGGGCAGAATTCCTGCATTGCGGGGGGTTGGACTAGATGGCCCTCAGGGTCCCTTCCAACTCCACCATTCTGTGATTCTATCCCTGCCACCTCCATTGCTCCTCCCTCCAGCCCTTCCCTAAGGGAGCTGCTTCCAGAGGATGAACTGGGGGTGAGTTTCTCCTGCAGGGGGACATTAGGGGCACTGTAATCCCCAGAAAGGAAAAAAGAAATGTTTATTGAACAGAGTTTCCAAAGTTTAGTTTTTAGAAGGCTGCACAAAAGCTCCTGCTGGCGAGTGACTCTTTGGCTGCCGGAGGGGAGAATACATTAAAGCGTTTTCTTGCAAGACCCCCTTCTCTGTTGCTAATTCACCCTCACCATCCCCAAAGGAAACCCAGAGAGATTTCTCACCTTGTACTCCTGGGACGCCTCCTCCAGAGGAATCGCCTTGTGGCTTTTGTGCTCCTTGGATCTGTCACACACCACACAGATGGGGCTTTCGTCCTCCTTGCAGAAGAGCTTCAGGGGCTCCTGGTGCTTCTCGCAGATCTTCCCCTTTCCTTCGGGCTCCTTTTCACCTTGAAGACGGAGTTTCCCGACTGTATGTTTTTCCACAGCGTTTGCCAGCGGCCGATTGGGGATGAGGTTCCTGTGCTGAAGGATTTCCCTGCACTGAGGGCAGGAAGCCTCTCCCTCGGATTCCCCCCAGCACTGGATCAGGCAGGATCGGCAGAAGTTGTGCCCGCACTCCGGGATGATCACTGGATCCCGGAAACTCTCCAGGCAGATGGGGCAAGTGGCTTCCTTGCAGAGATCCTGCACGGGACCCCCAGATGCAGCCATGGCTGCTGCCTCGCCAGGAAGAGAGAGATGCTTTCGTTTTCTTTGCTTTTTGTGTGCGAATGGATGTCTCCGTTTCCTTTCCATGAGGAGATTTCAGGGGGTGACTCGAGATTTCCCTTCCGCTCCGCAGACGTGGAGACAAGGAGATCTGGGGTTCTGCTTCCCCCACCCAGGAAAGTCAAGCAGGGAAATTCAGGATCTCGGCTGCCTTAGAGACATGCACTGAAGTGGAACAGGTTCTCTTTGATATGGAAATTTATTTTTTAAAAGAGAATGGGCAGAATTCCTTGCTGCTGTTGTGGAAAAATTCTGGGTGCATGTTTTCTCCGCATCCCATCTCGTCGGGTGCCACTCCCCACAGGTCACTAAGGTAAGGTTACCAGATTTTTTTCAATGAATCCGGGGACAGTTTTCAACTTCAATGGATTTTGTATGGGAACTGATTTGTAAATCTGGGGACTGTCCCCAGGAAATGGGACATCTGGTAACCTTACACTAAGGCAGTGGTAGGCAACCTAAGGCCCGTGGGCAGGATGCGACCCAATCGCCTTCTCAATCCAGCCCGCGGATGGTCGTGGAATCAGCCTGTTTTTACATAAGTAGAATGTGTCCTTTTATTTAAAATGCATCTCTGGGTTATTTGTGGGGCATAGGAATTCGTTCATTTTTCTCTCTCTTCAAAATATAGTCTGGCCCACCACATGGTCTAAGGAATGGTGGACCGGCCCACGGCTGAAAAAGGTTGCTGACCCCTGCACTAAGGTAAAGGTAAAGGGACCTCTGACCGTTAAGTCCAGTCGTGGACGACTTGGGAGTTGTGGTGCTCATCTTGCTTTACTGGCCGAGGGAGCCGGCATTTGTTCGCAGAGCACGTTTTCAAACTGCTAGGTTGGCAGGAGCAGGGACTGAGTAAGGGGAGCTCACCAAATTGCGGGGATTCGAACCATCAGCCTTCTTATCGGCAAGCTCAAGAGGCTCAGTGGTTTAGGCCACAGCGCCACCCGGGTCTCATCACAGGTAACTCCTGGTCAGCAAAAGAAAGAATCTCCAGCCAAGTAAAGAAGCAAATCAGCGGTCAGTAGACTTGATCTTTATTGTTGTAACAAGGTTGACGTACACAAGGAGTAGGAACCGAAAGCATGGGGTTGCATGGACTTTTAAGACCTTCCCCCCTTCCCATAATAGATTTCCAGATACATCATTGATTCATCCCCAACTTGTCACCAAGAAGGAGAGGATCTTGAGTGGTAACTTGAGTCCATCATTCATCAGATTCAGTTCCCAACACCTAAGTACCCACTGCCAAGTGAACAATAAAACTATTTACACCTATCCTTGCCCTCCTGGCTTTCCTGAAGATGGGCTTTGCAAAGACCTGGCTTCAGCAAACTCCATCAACAGATCCATGGTCCATTGTTACCTTTCCCCCAATCCCTGGGGAGGTGGGAGGTGTATGTGTCTCTGTGCCTCAGGGAATATGGAGGCAGGGGAAGCCCTGGATTCCCCTCTTCCAGTGGAATCATTAGCCATTGGAACCAAGGAAATCTGTCAAACCACAGAATTTTGGCATTACAGTGGTACCTTGGTTTACAACCATAATCCATTCTGGAGGTCTGGTTGTAAACCAAAACAGGTTGTAACCCAAGACGCGCTTTCACCAATGGGACCTCCCCCCCCCCCAAAAAATTGGTTGTAATCCCCCCCCCAAAGGGTTGAAATAATAAAAAAAAGGGACACGCACTTCCGGGTTTGGTGTGGTTGTAATCCAAAACGGTTGCAAACCAAGGTACCATTGTATTTGAAGTTTCCAGAGTTTTCTATACTTGATAGTCAGAGGAAACTGTACGATACCTGGTATCTGCTTATTGCTACAATTTTATGGACTGCTTTTCTGAGCCTCTTTGCTATTGTGTATGTATGGTGCCTGTGTCAACAGTCATTGTCCTGGCCTTCGTTCGAGGCTGCGGTGGGGACTTGGGATTTTGGGGGAGTCGTTTAACTGCCCCCCCATTCTTGCTTTTAACACTGCTAATTTAAGGAGCCATGCACTTAGGTGAGGTAGAGAGAAGTGCGTTTGTTTGTGTTTTAGCTTCATCGTATTACGGTATTTTAATGTTTAGTTGGAAGCCGCCCAGAGTGGCTGGGGAAGCCCAGCCAGATGGGTGGGGTATAAATAATAAATAAATTATTATTATTATTATTATTATTATTATTATTATTTGCCTCAAACTCCTTTGAAAGTCAGTGAATGAATAACTCAGACTCTTTCCAACCTGCAGGGCACAATGTTCAGCCCAAACTCCACTGCGATGCACATTGTACACCCATCCACAGCAACAGACCTGGTGAATTTTTAAGCTGCTCTTCAGGTCCAGTTTCTTCCCATTCCCCCCCACCCACCCACTGATCCCATCTCCAGTCTGTCCATCCTCTCAGAAAAATTAACATTCACCATGGATTTTTTATTTTTTGGTGTGAGGGAAGTGTTCTCTCTCTTTTTACTTGTGATTTATCTTTATCTTTATATACTGCTAAGCATGATTGTTCGGTGGTTGAAACATATTCCTCTTAAAAAATACAAAAATACACACTTTTACATTTTATTTTCAGTGTTGATGCTCTGAACATTTTTCTCTGATGTTTCATTTGATCCTTGCTGATGTGAAGGTTCCCTTCTTAATTTGGGTCTATGTTCAAGTGTAAAAATGAAGATAAAACAATTGGGGCAATTGCAAATCCACCAAAAACTGTTTTCAGTTTGGTCATCTGGATCCTTGTGAATTATGATTCCTGCTGTCTCTGTGTTGACATTCTGCAGAAGAGAATGTTTGGGGTGGATGTCCAGCCTAACTGTTCCAGGAGAACACCAAAAAAGTAGCACGAGCAGCAGTTTATCCCGACGTACACACTAACATTTGTGTTGTATTCATAAGCTTAAGTTACTGATGATTATGATTATGATAACTGTAATCTGCACAGCTTGAGAGGATACCACAAAGCCAAATGGGCTGCAGAAAGTGGGAGAGGGCGAGGGATCGTGTCAAGGGCCTGAGCTGTCCGTATTGACCAGGGCTTCAACGGAAATGCCAGTCCTATCAGCCGGAAAATCCTCCAGAGCCACTTGGATCCGTTGACCTCTGAGGGTGGACCATTCTCATGGGTGCCCCACCTCTGCAGAGGGGAAATGGTGCTGAAAAAGCCTAATTTCCACAGGAAGTGATCTGACCAGGACAACAGACTGAGGTCCATATCTCCCAGTTTCAGATTGCTCACTTCATGCCCAGTTGAAAAGATAAGCTCCAGAGTGTGACCTGGCCAGCAACATGTTGGGACAGCCCCACGGCTGGGAGCCCTCAACCGAGATCAGCTCTGCCACTCAGGCAGGGAGGCTGTTGGGAAGTGAGGGGGGTGGTAAACCAGCAGAATCCCAAATCTGTCCCAACTAATTACTCAGTGCCAGGAACAAACACTGTAGATCCCCATTCATCTGGAGAGAGAAAGAGAATCTCTCTAGACTACAGCAACCCCCCACTTGCTGGCTCTCAAGTCTGCCCTGATCCTGCACTGAGTACCCAGGTGGGCACAACTGGGCCAGACCAACTCCACCTTGTTTACCCATCCAGGTCTCAGGAATACAGACCAAACTGCCCTACTCACCCACAATGAAGTCATGAACCTCAGCAGTCGTGGTCCTCAGGCTGGCTGATAAGATATCGGTTCCTCAGGTCGGAGGGAGGGCTGGCAAACAGCAGAACATCCCCCACCTGCCTCTGCTGTGGGCCCCTGATCCTTTCCCCCCTGTCTCCCACACCATACTTCCCTTTGAACAGGGCAGGAGATCCGTGGAGTTGGAGATGTCCAGTCCGGAACGGAAGAACGGGCTGTGTCACGGGGGACAAACTGGAAAACTTTTGGGGGTGGAGATCATCAGTCCCATAGACTGCCTAAAAGGTCGGGCGGGGGAGACATAAAAAGGGTAGTTGGGGGTATCCATATGTACACATTAATGTTTTGCTTCTATTCAGTAAGCCTATCTTAACGATGATAAAGGAATTATAACTGTTACCTGCACAGACCCTGTGGCAGTAGTTGGCCAGGTCAAAGGGGAACGGTTTCTGGGGCTGTTAAATGAAACCTCCTGGTGCAGAGGCAGTCTACCTCTGAATAAGCTGAAGCTGTGGAGGTGAACAACAGGAAAGGGCTTTTGGTCTCAAACCCTCCTTCGTCTCACCAATTTTTAAAGGGTGTGTAAGCCAGTGGCCAAAACCATTAGGATGTGCTGTGTGAAGCCGCCCTTTCTCTACGCAAACACCAAACCTGTGAGCTAATCCTTTTTGGCTGTACCCAGAATATAAAGTGTACACCTTTGCCTACACAGAGTAACTTCAAAGGGACTTATCCCAGGGAAGTGGACACAGGACTGTAGGCTCAATTTCCTCATTCTTCCACAGAGCTCAGAAGAGATTAGAAAGTTGTGCTGTTTCCTCTTCCTCTTCCAATTTGAGAATTGCCATTTGGGTAACTGTGATAAAAATGTTGAATTAAAACGCCTCTCCCGATTTGTATGCCCCATCCATCTGGCACTGGGTGCAATGCTTCTGTTGAAAATGGGGTGGGGGAACTATTGCAATTGGCATTTATTTCATTCCCCCCCTTCCATTTGCCCACAACTGTCTCTGTGTTAAAAAGTAGGGTGTCAATAGGGTACCTGCTCTCTCACTGACATGGCAGATACGGCTGAGACTCACTCTTCTCCCAGTTGTGGGATTCCCACAAATAAAGGGATGGGCAGACTTCAGATTTGGGGAATTTGCTTTCAGTTTTAATTGAAATGCTGAGGTCCAGAAATGAATCCAGGTGCAAAATACAAGCTTATGAAGGGAAGCTCCTGAAATCTGCCCCTCACTCAAGCAATATCAACGCCTCCTGCAGACATTAACGGTCAACACAGGAAGGTCTGAAGAGGAGCTACAATATATAGAGGAGCTTTGCAGAGAGGACTTTCAAACAAATCTCTGAAGGGACCCTTCTTAAGATTTCACATTCTGAGTGCACAGTGTGTTGGACTTGGGATGACAAGGCCCAGGTT